CTTAATGAGGAGATTTTGTAACAGATTTCATTGAGTAGGTAATGTCAAAATCGATCGATTGGTAGCGGCCTGCGTCCAATTCTTCCCTGCTACCTTTACGATGTCGTCGGTCCACCTTGTAGGTGGACGTCTCACGCTGCGTTTTCCGGTACGCGGCCTCCATTCCAGAACCTTGCTGCCCCATCGGCCGTCAGTTCTGCGTACTATGTGCCCTGCCCAGTGCCACTTCAGCTTGCTAATCCGTACCAATCGATCAACGTGAAAAGCATTGGGGGAGGCCTATGTTCAGCTGTGGACGTCCTATGGCTGAAATGATTATGATGATGATGAATGTCAAAATGGTATATTCGTTACTACACTGACTCTAGGGCCGTAATTTCTGTAGCTAACCCACATCATATAAAATTAAATATATCACGATAATATTAAATCTTGAGACTAATTTTACCTTACTTTTATAACTAGCTCTGTCTTGTCTTTAGATCTAATTGCGGCCTACGCCTTTTATCTTTATTCGGTGAAATAACGTTTCGTAATGACGACTGTGTCTGTTTATAATTATTATATTGCTGTATAGCAACAGACGGCGTGTTTGCTTTGTTTTCCGTAATTGGTGGTTTCAGAATTTAATTTTTCAAATCAAATCAAATCAAATTCGTTTATTTGTGGAACATAGGTAAATAACATAATTTTGTAAGGAAAACTTTCATTTAACCTTTCTTAACGATGTAATTTTTCACGATAAAAATTTACTGCCATAAGTAGAATTTGAACTCTCGATATTTTGCTTGAAATTCCCGCAGTAACCAGTGTGAGCTATTTTAAAATATTGCAAGCGCTTTAGTTGAGGCAGTTTTGCATAGCATGTAAAAAGTAGGTTTGATAGAATTAAATTTAATAAGTACTAAAGTGAAACACTCACATACGATCGGCTCATTAAAGCCAATTTATGAGACCATTTTGTACAGTTCTGTAAGCACATGATAGTCGTGGATAAGTCCCTAAGTATTAAAAATCATAACCTGCCTTCTTGCGCAGTCGGGTAATAAAATCTGTCTATTCCGCAGAGGGCGATCGACTTATAATTGGTAGGTGTTACACAGCGTCTGAAAAACTCTTTAAGTATTAAAAAGGCGTATGAAAAAGTCCATTAAGTATTAAAAAAACCAAAACCTATTCCTGTCTATAAAAACTGTAAGGGTTCGGACAAACCAACGCGATCACAGCGCGATCAGCCGGCGTGCAGCGATGGCGACCAGACCTAAATGCATTGATCGCCATCGCTGCACGCCGGCTGATCGCGCTGTGATCGCGTTGGTTTGTCCGAACCTTAACAGCAGTATTCCGCAGAGTGCGATCGACTCGTCAAAGTCGGTGCGCGGTCATAGACTAAGAGCTAGTGAACGCCAGACCTACGTCATCAAAAAATCAGATTTTATGGTATAGCGTAAGTCTAACTTTTACGGTGGCTTTTTCTGTATCCCAACTAGTCCCAACTAATATTATAAATGCGAAAGTAACTCTGTCTGTCTGTCTGTCTGTCTGTCTGTCTGTCTGTCTGTCTGTCTGTTACGCTTTCCCGCTTAAACCTCGCAACCGATTTTGATGAAATTTGGCATAGAGATAGTTTGAGTCCCGGGAAAGAACATAGGATAGTTTTATCCCGGTTTTTGAAACAGGGACGCGCGCGATAAAGTTTTTCTGTGACAGACAAAATTCCACGCGGGCGAAGCCGCGGGCGGAAAGCTAGTATTCAATAAACTGTAATTCTACTAACGATTAAAGATTCTTATGTATTACATAATATTTGGACAATAATTAGAAGTATTTTCCCCAACAGCCAGACAGTTTTGACAGTTCCAGCTCCTTGGCAGACAGTTTTTTAGGGTAGCTGCCAAAGCCACGATGACCCAAACTTCATAATTCACCAACATTATATCCTATATTGGGAGCATACGCTGACAAACTTTCAGCTTTTATAAAATGACGTAGGTCTGGCGTTGAAATTTGAAAATGCATTTTACAATTAAATTTGCTATCAAAAGCATGGGACATTCATAACTCTGCATAAATATTGTGTCATTTGGTGGCTAAAATCATCATGATAACATGGTACACCCTCTTTGATTTCCATTAAACTACATTTAACAATAATGCTGAGCTCTATTAAGATTTTATTGCTCAGGAAAAGCACACTGTTAAAAAGTCAAATTAATCTTCCACGAACTGCTTGGAGAGACCTAATGTAACTTTGACTGTACGTTTTGCGTCTCTAAAATTATTTTACCAATCGACTGTGATAATCGACTGAGATCAATAAACAATTAACTATAACGACCTATTCAAAGACCATTAAGTACTTGTAAATAAAAAATGCTAATTGGAACTCCTGGTGAAGTTGACATGATCGATTTGATAAATAACTAAGTACGCTATGCCACGGTGCTATGCGGTTAGGCTAGGCGAAGGTGGACAGAACTAAACGTATGACTTATTTATCGACGTGCTATTTTCAATGTTTTAAGTTAATAAAAATGTAATAACACCTTTAAAATTTAATGCCACCGATTTGTAATTCAATGTATTTAGATTACCTACTTATCAAAATGTCACGATACGAGTATGTAGTTGGTTCCAAAAATCATCTTAATAGAAGAAACAACTATGTGGTGTTATCTTTCAGTATCGATTCAGTAATCGAGTACCTACTTCTCCGAATTGTGAAAGGAAAACTTTCACGAAATCTTTTTAGTTTTACTTTTAGCAGGAAAAAGTAATTTTGCCCCATCCGAACGTCTCTTGAAACAGAAGTGTCATTTGGGATTTGATACAAACCTTACCACTTCGTGACCGATGGGAATCGATCAAAACTTTTATTATATCCCGAAATGTATCCGGCTCACAACGAATCTGGGAATACCGGATTTTCAGCCGCCAGAACTTTGTTAAAGAAACAACACAAGAAAATGGCGTTACATAAAATTGTCTTCAAACTTCTCTAAACATTCAATGGAAGTGGGTTGAAGATTTTCAATTAAGATTACCGAGCCATATTTCTGTATACCGAATTGGTACAAGGCACTAAGCATTTAGACAGCTAATACAGTCAAAATTCAATACAAAGAAGGCTGAAGCATAAACTCTTTACGTTAAATAAGAATTACAATTGGTGAATAGAACTCGACAATACCAAAAGAAGTTAAAAAGCTTTTGATTGCATCCTCCGAGCACAACACAATACCCAAATATGAAAAGGGAATAAGTTTCCCAAACTCCGAATATCTGGCTAATTCGGGAGGAATAGGGTGACGTCAAAAACGAGAAAGCGGGAAGCGATGCCGGATACTGGCAAAAGTCTCTCAAGAATGATAGACAATGGTTGGTTCTTCAACCGTCGATCCATTAAAAGTTTAAAAACGCTGTTCAGGCGGGTGCTTTATTAAATTGCGCATCATTACGTCGACGACATTATAACGTCACGGACGATCGTAAAAGTTTCATGTTCCCATAATGCACTTACATTTATCAGGCGTAGGGCGCAAATGAATAATAACTAGGCCTGAGACGTTTAAGCGGCTGAAGGAATGACGGCTTTTTGGCTTAGTGTACTCGTTAGCCGTCGAGTATCTTTGTAATCAGCTTTTTGCGCAAATTACCCTCATTATTTTGATAAAAGGAGGTACAAATTTTTATTCTGCCTTTCTTTGCCTTTAAGTTGAATAGTTTAAGCTTACGTTCTAACTGACCTTAGTTAGAACCTTAGTTACAATCTTAGATTCTGTCTATGTCAGAGATTCAGTGATGGAAAAGAGAGATGGGAATAGTTCCGTTAAGCCCCAAACTTACTTCTTAAATAATGTTACAATATCATCGTAGTCTCAGCCAAATGACGTCCACTGCTGGACAAAGGCCTCCCCCAAAGTTTTCCACAATGAACGGTCCTGCGCTGCCCGCATTCAGGCTCTTCCCGCGACCTTTACCAGATCGTCGGTCCACCTAGTACCACCCTCAATATCATATTGATGATTTTATAGGATTTTTTTTTTATTTATTTATGTGGTCTTTTCCTCCCTCATCTAGAGACTAGCTTGAAGGTTTCCGATTGCTAGAAAAGATTTGGTGATCCTACTGGATGCTAAAATTTTAAATTATGTAGTACGTCAGTGTTATGGGAGCCACTTAAAATTTCGTGAGTATGATGCGACATAAAATTTTATTCCAGCAGACTTTAAAACAAAATATGATATTCATACAAAATTTGTCTCTTAAGTGATAAATTCTCCAGATTAAGTATTAAGTTACAAAAGTTATTTCATATTCTGAAAGGCTTTAACGATGGTTGGTATGAAAATTCGTGCTCATTTTACTGTACAAAAAGTGAACTTTTTTTTATGAAAAGAAATTACTAAATTTCCTATTATAATAACTTTTTTGTTGTGACAAATAATGTATCAGAAACTAGTGTAGCGTATAATATCGATCGAAAAATCGTAGATAGAATGTAGTGTATCTGTTGGGTTCCAACACTAAAACTCATTCATTCCTTCATTCGTTCGATCTTGTGACGTATGTATTTGAGCGCCTTTCGCGCCCAGTAGCGTTTCGTACTCCGGCCATTACACTTGTGATTGTGTGTATTAAACTGTGCAGACCTGGCAATAAACTTAATTAGTGAAACCACGGCCTTTCAATAACAACACCTACTACAACAACCTTCGCTGCCCTACATGGTCCTTCGAGCTTCGAACTGCCTGGTCTGCACCATTGTGTATAAAGTGGGACAGGAGCCGCATCATCGCGCAACAAAACTCCTGCATTGTGCCTACATACACGTGAAAACTGCATTCACATAGTGCCGATAGTGCGCATCAAGAAATCGCACTCATAATACAACGGGAGCCGCATCATCGCGCAACAGAACTCCTGCAATTATATCTACAAAAATACAGTGGAAATTGCATTCATATAGTGCGCATCAAGAAATCGCACTCAAAATACAACGGGAGCCGCATCATCGCGCAACAGAACTCCTGCAATTCACACATAATACAACAACGGGAGCCGCATCATCGCGCAATATAACTCCTGCATTACCTACTTTTGTGGAATTTGCATTTATATGCATAGTGCGCATTAAGAAACACGCACTCAATACTGCAAGAAATCGTTCATCGTGTGCAAAACCAGCAAATTGCAAGATATCAAGCAAGTCAGTTTTGCAACAATCATCAAACGTCATCAAACGCAACCCGGCATTCCCGGCAAGACGGCGGGTTGGGGGGCGCCGGAACACGAGGCCAGCAACAAATTACTTCACGAAGTGGGCGTGACATCCATCTTCGCGCTGCCTGAAGTTCGCGCGCGCATCGAGGATTGGCCAACGCACAACATCGTTCGTTCTCTCGTCGGTCATCGTTCACTTGTTCGCTGCTGCTTCGGCTGTTTCCGCTGCCATCGGTCAACGCTGTTTACCGCCGACGCCATTTGCTTACAGTGTGCAGTGCTATTGTTTTTAAGTCGAAAGACATAACTCGTGCAGTGATACTCGTAGTGTATAATTTTAAGCCACATAGTGATTTATAGAATTTGTATTTTATTGTCTGACAAGTTTTGACAATGGAGCTGAACGAGCTAATAGCCGCGCGAGGCTACGTAAAAGGTACGGTTACACGATTAACTTCACTTGTTTCGACACTGCAGTCAGTTAAAAACTTGTCTAAAGAAAACTTAATGGCTAAGAGGCAAAAATTGATAGACTCCTTTAGTCAATACGAAAAGCTAAATATAAAGATCTTAACTATCCAACCAGAGGACAAGGAGAATGTCGAACTCTTTGAGGAAAACTATTACAACATCATTTCAGTAATTGACCAAGAACTTAACAGCCGTGAAAATAGGAATCACTCAGCTCCAATGTCCAAATTGCATTTACCACCAATTGATGTACCAATATTTAGTGGTAAGTTCTCGGATTATGTACCATTTAAAAACTTATTCCACTCATTAATAGATCAAAACGATTCCATTGACAATGTTCAAAAACTGTATTACCTTCGATCATATTTAAAAAATGAGCCATTAGATCTTGTAAAAAACTTACCCTTGACTAGTGAAAGTTACAGTCAAGCAATTAAAATTATTGAAGACAGATACAACAACAAACACAAACTCGTTAATGAGCATATTTGTTTATTGTTGGATCTTAAGCCAATCACAAAATCCACGGCAGTTAATTTAAGAGAATTTGTGTCCAATGTAAAACAACAAATATCTGCTTTAAGTAATTTGGAGCCAAACGTATCATTTTGGGATGCTATAATATTATGTATTTTGTACCGCAAATTTGTCGGCCGTTTGGTGTAGTGGTTCAGAACGGACTACTATGCCGAGAGGTCCCGGGTTCGATTCCCGGACGAGCAGAAATTGAAATGATGAATTTTAATTTCTGTGACGGGTCTGGGTGTTTTCTATGTATAATATGTATGTATTCACAAAAAAAAAAGTATTTAAGTATGTTTATATCCGTTGTCTAGTACCCATAGTACAAGCTTTGCTTAGTTTGGGGCTAGCGGCGCAGTGTAAAATGTCCAAGGATATTTATTTATTTATTTATTAGATGCATACACGTCACGCGCATTTCATATGGAAAGAGATGCCACGAAGGAGCCAACTATCAACACCTTCCTTGAATACTTGGATAAGAGAGCGCTGGCGCTTGAGAATGCTGATCCGGGCTTCCACGGGCAGCAACGCCAGCCGCAAAAGGAGCAAGGCAATACCGTTGGTAGGATGGTAGCCTACACAGCTGCGCAGGAGCCTACATGCTTATACTGTAAGTTGAAACACAAACTTTATTTATGTAACAGTTTTAAATTACTGCATGCAAATGATAGAATTAAATTTGCCAAAAATAAAGACCTGTGTAATATTTGTTTGGGGGCTCACACCGGAAAATGCAAATATCATTTTCGGTGTGCAGAATGTAAAGAGGCCCACAACACATTGCTGCATTGCAGCGCACATAAGAGTAATAACTCAGAAAAAACTCATACGGCCTCATCATCCACTGCTTCCCTAGCAGCAAGCAATAATAATAATAATGATGTACTTTTACCCACAGCTAAAGTCAAACTTATTGCTCGAGATGGTACCGAAGTTTACTTAAGAGCCCTACTAGACAGTGGGAATGAGGATCANAAGAGTAATAACTCAGATAAAACTCATACGGCATCATCATCCACTGCTTCCCTAGCAGCAAGCAATAATAATAATAATGATGTACTTTTACCCACAGCTAAAGTCAAACTTATTGCTCGAGATGGTACCGAAGTTTACTTAAGAGCCCTACTAGACAGTGGGTCCCAGCTGTCCTTTATCTCACAAAAGGCAGTAAGGCTGCTTGATCTGGACCTCACCGATAGCAATGTCAAAGTAGTGGGCATAACTTCAACACAGACAAAGTTAAAGCATTGCTTACCTTTAGAGATTTACTCAATAACTTGTCCATATAAAATTTCAGCCACTTGTCACGTTGTTGATCAAATCACATGCAATTTACCTCAACACAAATTCAGTGCATCTGACATATTGATACCTAAAAATATTAAATTGGCTGATGATCAATTTAATATACCAGCTGAGATTGATGTATTAATGGGAGCGGACGTATTTTTTCAGGTGCTGCTGCCTACAGAGCTGCCGGTGCTGCCTGAGCGCCAGCAGTCTGCATCAGAGGCCGGCACTCCGCAACCACGTCTTATCAACACTTATTTTGGATACATAATTGGAGGTACCCTACCACATATTTCATCTAAGGTCTGCAACAAGGTAACGTTAAAGTGTACTACTTGCGAGTCTGACATTAATGAAACCTTAAGTAAATTTTGGAAAACAGAAAGCGTTCCTCAGATCTATGATGAAAGGTCATCAGAGCAAGAGCTCTGCGAGTATATTTTTAAAAGTACTGTTCAGATAAAAGAAAATTGTTTTGAAGTCTCTTTACCTTTAAAATTACCTCTTGAGGAAATCAATGATGCGCTAGGTGATTCCTTTAATTTTGCTTTAAAAAGATTTTTAAACTTAGAGAAAAGGCTGCATAATGATCCATATCTTTTTATTGAGTACCAAAAATTTATTCATGATTATATTAACTTGCAACATGGCCAATATGTAGATATTGAACTGTATGAATTGAATAAAAATGCAGTTTATTTCTTGCCTCATCATGCAGTTTTAAAGCCTGACAGTAAAACTACTAAATTGCGTACAGTTTTTGACGGTTCCATGAAGACTAACAAAAAGGTGTCTTTAAATGATTTGCTTTTAAATGGGCCGACTGTACAAAGAGATTTGTTTGAAATTTTATTACTGTTTCGTTTTGGCGATTTTAACTTTACTTCCGACATAAAACAAATGTTTCGAAATGTGCGTATTATACCGGAGCATGCTAGTTTGCAAAACATACTATGGAGGGATAGCCCTGATGAACCTATTAAGTGTATACGATTAGACACGGTTACTTATGGGTTAAAAAGTTCAAACTATTTAGCAACTCGCTGTCTAAAAGAATTAGCAATGCAACATAAGCATACCTATCCTCTGGCTTCATTTATTATAGAGAACTGCACATATGTTGATGATATCCTGTATGCAAATAATAATTTAGATATTATCCTAGAGGCAAAATCACAACTTCGCAAGCTCCTAAGCTTAGGTAGTTTTCACACACATAAATGGTCATCCAATGATAATAGGGTACTGACTGACATTCCCTCAGCTGAACGCCACTTTGATGATATAGAGCTTCAGCAAGACAACTGCCTGTTAAAGACGTTAGGTTTGAAATTAATAGTTAAAGATGACAAGTTCGAAATGTCTTGTCCAGAGCCATGTAATAATAATAATTGCACAAAAAGAGACATTCTTTCATATATTGGGAAAATGTATGATCCCATGGGATTTGTTAGTCCTATAATTGTGCAAGCAAAGGCTATCATGCAAAGGTTATGGGCTTCTAAAACCGCCTGGGATTCCACGCCTGATGATGACATTAGGCATGCGTGGCATGAGTTTTCCGCTGCATTAGCTATGATGGAGCCAATTTATATTCCTAGAAATATACATGTTAATAATACAGATAAAATTGAATTGATAGGATTCTCAGATGCATCCAGTTCTACGGCATATGGATGCTGCGTGTACATGCGAGTTACAGATATTAATGGTAATGTAAAAATGCACTTGCTATGTTCAAAATCGCGCATCAATCCGCTTCAGGACAAAAACAAGACTGTGCCGCGCTTAGAGCTTAACGCAGCCCTGCTACTCTCTATTCTTATGTCAAAGGTCTATTGCACGCTAAAATTAATACATAATATAAACAATGTTTACTGTTTTACTGATTCAAAAATTGTACTCGCATGGTTGCACGCAGAACCCATGAAACTTAATGCATACGTCGCGAACAGGGTTAAAGCGATCACCAAAAATCTATCTGTTTGTCGCTGGCTTTATGTAAACACTGAAAACAATCCTGCGGACTATGTAAGTAGGGGCGTTTCACCCAGTGAGCTTCACGATTGTCGCATGTGGTGGGATGGGCCTGAAATTTTGCTCGATAATAAATACAATTTTGACTCTGAAATAGATTTACCTGCAAACTTACCTGAGACCAAGTCCGGGTCAGCATTCTCTACCAGTCAACTCTCCACATACACGGGTGACATTTTTGATCATTTACGTAATTATTCTAGCATACACAAGATGGTACGTACGTTGGCTTATGTATTGCGGTTTGTAAACAACATAAAAGGTGACAAAATATCTTACAATTATTTGTCATCTTCTGAATTGAATAATGCTTTATTGTTGATAATTAAGAATGAACAAGAATTATATTTTAAGGACGAAATTTCATGTTTAACAAATAATAAACCTGTTAACACGTTGAGTGCGAAACCAGGTCTATAGACCTTGTGTACGTCTCGCTTACCGTGCGGCTAAGAAAATTATAGTCTTCCTTGTCGTGCGAAGGGCATAACTTCAATTGGGTCCGGTGTAGGAAAGTGATGAATATATATCTATGATGTATTCTTAAAATAGAATCCAATGATGTACCTACCTTAATACCAGGTTTTTAGACCTGGTACCGCACGGAAGTAATAAAATGTCTTCACAATGCGAAACCAGGTCGAAGCACCTTGTACCCCGCGCACCTGGTACCGCACCCCACGCTAGCTTCGTGCAGCCAGTGTTGCCTCGCATTCGTAAGAAACGCACATGTCGACATGGCGTCAAGAGAAACAAACAAAATCAAAACTGCAAATTGATTATAATTTAATTTGCTACACGATTTATTGCTAATTTAAATAATGTTTTTGGTGACAAACATTTGAAGTTGTAACTAAATGTTATCAAATAATATGTTTTCTTCAAATATAGCTTATTTAAGTATTTATGCACGTATGTCTTATTTATAAAATATTTAGACTAAATTATTAAAACATGTTTGTTTGTTACTTTTTAAAAATTTTATTAAAACTTAATTTAAACTATCGATATTTGTATTTCACATCCCTAGAATACCCACCAGAATTCCCTACTTCAGTGCGGCACAAGGTGCATAAGCCTTGTATTTTGAATATAGCTATAATTTTTATACTAAACAAGTTATTCACGAACGCCTTTAGGTGTATATCAATAAATGCATTATTATTAATATTCAAAGAAAAAAAACACAATATCTATTAACATGAAGCCAAAAATAAAATTAATATATCTTAAATATTACAAGGTCTTTAAGCCTTGTGCCGCCACAATGTAAGTTTTAATACCAGGTTTACTGACCTTGTACCGAAGGAATGGAAAGTATTAGAAAGTTACTGCCGCAGCAAAGGTGTTAAGGGTCCCTTGCAAAGTCTATGCCCATTTTTAGATTGTAAAGGCATTTTGCGTGTTGGCGGCAGACTACACCATTCTAATATTCCATATGCACATAAGCATCAGGTTATTTTGCCCAAAAAATGTCATATTACTGATTGTATTATAAAGTCTGAGCATGAAAGACTGTTACATGCGGGACCGAAGCTATTATTGTGTAATTTAAATCAAAAATTTTGGATTACAAACGGTTTAATGTATGTTAAGAAATTAACTAAGGATTGTGTATTATGTTTCAGACACAAGGCTAGTGCCTCCAAGCAGTTGATGGGTTCCTTGCCAGCCGATAGAGTGACCGCTATGAGTCGCCCCTTTGAAAAGGTTGGAGTGGATTTTGCTGGGCCTATAAATGTAAAACTTTCGCGCGTGAGACGATCCCTGGTGGGTAAAGGCTATATCTGCGTATTTGTATGCTTTGCTACAAAAGCGGTTCATCTTGAACTCGCATCAGATCTTACCACAGAAACCTATCTAGCGTGCCTCAAACGACTTATCTCTAGAAGAGGGTTGCCCAGGGAAATCTACTCTGACAATGCTAGCACCTTTAAAGGCGCACGGAACCAATTAGCTGAGCTCTATTCACTGCAGGCATCTGGTAGTCACCAAAATAAAGTATGTCAATTTGCTGCCAATCAAGGCATAAACTTTCATTTTGTTCCGGCCTACTCGCCTACATTTGCGGGACTTGCAGAGGCTGCAGTGAAGAGCACTAAATACCACTTAAAAAGAGTGTTACAATCACAATTGTTAACCTATGAACAGATATTAATACGAATATAGACATCATGATTTTCAATAATATGGATAAATACACTTATGAGTAATAAATTTATGAAAACAAATATTAGGATACATCACATTTATGAATATTATAGTTATTTATTCGAATGATTATGAGTTTCGATCATTAGTATAGAAAAATATATGAAAACAAATATTAGTAAAAACTAAGTGTATGATTAGTGATATTATGAATATCAATGATTATGTTTTTAAATATGTAGGTTTTAAATTTTTTATGAAGAATGATCATTATGGTATCAAATTGTATGAGAAATATTTTCGGACCTCCAATGATAGGAATTGAAAAGTTATGTAAGAAAATGCGCTACCCAATAATACTCCCTATCCCCTCACCTGAAGGTTATGTTTAGCGCGCCTCTGTAACTACCCTTTGTGCTAGTCGTTCATAGACCAATTTCTGCTGGTTTCTCAGTAAGCCTACAAACAATTATACTCCTTATCCTCTAACCTTAAGGTTGTGTTTAGCGCGGCTCTGTATCTGCCTCTGGTGCTGGTTGTAGACCCGCTGCTGTTGTTCCTCAGTGAGTGCCTCATAGCACTCCCTTCCCATGAGAAGCACTCTGACTTGCCACGCGACTATGATCCTTATGCCCTCACCTGAAGGTTATGTTTGTCCTGCCTTTGTATTTATCTTTTAGGCTGGTCGTTCATAGACCAATTGCTGCTGGTTTCACCACAAATCTACACACAATTATACTCCCTTATCCTCTAACCATAAGGTTGTGTTTAGCCCACCTCTGTATTTGCATTTTGTGCTGGTCGTTCATAGACCAATTTCTGCTGGCTTGACCATAAACTTACAAACAATAATACTCCCTATTCTCTTACCTGAAGGTTGTGTTTAGCGCGCCTCTGTATCTGCCTCTGGTGCTGGTCGTAGACCCGCTGCTGTTGCTCCTCAGTGAGCGCTTCATAGCACTCCCTTCCCATGAGAAGCACTCTGACTTGCCACGTGACTATGATCCTTATTAGAGATGAAACGGATATCCGGCAACTATCCGGTAGGCCGGATATCCGGCCCTAATTTACTATCCGGCCGGATACCGGATAGTAACTCACTATCCGGCCGGATACCGGATATTAAAAAAAAACGACTATTTCCTATTAATAAAATGAAATACAATAATCTTTGAGGTAAATATCAATAAAATGGCTTACAATAATGACGGCTTTTATTTAAAGTCCAAAAAGTTACAAAAAGCCATATTAAGGCCTTTCAAAACTAATTTATTTTTCTGGGCTCTAATGACACTCTAATGACGAATACATAGATAAATAGTAAATATCTGTTAATGTTGAAATATTGCCAAAAAAATAGGCAATTTTTTTTCACTGATGGTCTTATGACATGATGCAACTACACTGGTCATCACAAAGATCGACCCTCCCGCGACAAGCACTTTCAAACGTATGCATCCCCACTTCCCACCAATATTGGCATCCTTTAAAACTTGACTTACTTGACTTATGGTCCTATGTCCCCTAGATGGGGCAGAGGGCGTCCACAACAGTCCTCCATCTAGTTCGGTCTTGAGCTTCTCGCTTGATCTCGCTCCAGGTTTTGCCGATCCTCTTCGCCTCGTCCGCTACAGTGCGCCGCCAAGTTTGCCTGGGTCGACCACGTTTGCGTTTTCCTTGGGGATTCCAATCCAGAGCCTGCTTAGGGATGTGATCGGGGTCCCTTCGGAGAGTGTGGCCGATCCAGTTCCACTTGCGGCGCTTGATCTGCTGGTCGATCGGAATTTCGTGGCAGCGTTCCAATAGCTCGACGTTGGAGATTTTCTCGGGCCAGTATATGCCGAGAATTCGGCGAAGGCAGCGGTTGATGAAGACCTGCAGCTGGTGCGAGATAACCTTGGTGACCTTCGACGTTTCACACCCATAAAGCAGAATGGATTTAACGTTGGACCCGAATATTTTGATCTTGACCCTTCGGGTCAATTTCCGTGACTGCCATATGGGGCGAAGTTGTGCGAAAGTAGCTCTGGCCTTGGCAATGCGCGAAGTGATGTCCTCTTCAGTACCTCCAGTTTCTGACACGACGCTCCCGAGGTAGGTGAAATTGTGGACTCGTGCTACATCCTCTGCACCAATCCGTAATGGCGTGCAATTTCTCACATCAGATCGCATCTCTTGGGTCTTCCGGCAGTTAATTTTGAGCCTTGTGATACCCGCTTCTCGATGTAGGTCATCAAGTTTGGACTGCATATCGTGATGCGTGTGGCTCAGCAAACAGAGGTCATCGGCATAATCTAAGTCTTCTAAGACTCCGGTTATACCCCACTCTATTTCACGCCGTTGGTCTTGATATGCGCGATTCACGACTCCATCCAAGACAACCAGAAAGAGAAGGGGCGAAAACCATTTAAAAGCCTAGTTCTAAACTTCATTTCATTAAAGGAAAGGGTTTTACCCCAAAAATGTGTCTGTAGAAGAATCCAGGGTCACTTCTTCAAAAAATAGGTAGTTACGCTTGAGCCGACTTTTATGACTATAAAACTGTTAAGTTGGGATTAATCGCTATCCATCTGTTAAAGAGGACACGTGTGATCATTATTTGGTGTTATAACCATAAAAATTGGTCTAGTTGATCCCAGAGGTGAGTCCAAAGTGAGGTCTTTTTTCAAGTCACATTTATTGTATATCGCGTTTATGTTACCCGTTTATTAAGAATATAATGTGTTTTTCTTTAAGGATATTTATTGGGCTTTCAAATAACACCAATATTGTTAGGGCACCATGACTGTATCAGTAGAAACGAGTTTTCCTGTAAAACGTAGGTGGGCCGATTTTTGTGATGACCAGTATAGTTAAATTTTCGCTATTCAATCACACACTCACGATTGCAGCCGAAATTGAATTGATCTGCCCCCTAGACAAGTGGCAAAATCTGACATTCTATTCGGACGGATTCGATTTTCCAAAAGTGTGACTAGTCTATTCTACTAATAGACCCACTGATCGCGTTCGAAGCACCTGTGCGGCACTATAATCGTCACGACATGCAACGAGACAATGGGCCAACTATCCGGCCGCCGGATATCCGGCTATCCGGCCTAGCAGCTGGCCGGATATCCGGTATCCGGTATCCGGCCAAACAACTATCCGTTTCATCTCTAATCCTTATGCCCTCACCTGAAGGTTGTGTTTGTCCTGCCTTTGTAACTACCTTTTGTACTGGTCGTTCATAGGCCAATTTCTGCTGGCTTGTCCATAAACCTACAAACGACAATACTCCTTATGCTCTCACCTGAAGGTTGTGTTTGGCGCGCCTCTGTATCCGGAGTCGTAGATCAAGCTGGTTTCACCACAAATCGGCACACAACAATACTCCTTATCCTCTCACCTGAAGGTTGTGTTTAGCGCGCCTCTGTATCTGCCTCTGGTGCTGGTCGTAGACCCGCTGCTGCTGCTCCTCAGTGAGCGCCTCATAGCACTCCCTTCCCATGAGAAGCACCCGGACTTGCCATGCGACTATACTCCTTATGCCCTCACCTGAAGGTCATGTTTGTCTTACCTTTGTAACTATCTTTTGTACTGGTCGTTCATAGGCCAATTTCTGCTGGTTTCTCAGTAAGCCTACAAACAATAATACTCCTTATCCCCTCACCTAAAGATTGTGCTCAGCCCACCTCTGTATCTACCTTTGGTGCTTGTCGTTCATAGACCAATTTCTGCTGGTTTCTCAATAAACCTACAAACGACAATACTCCTTATTCCCTCACCTGAAGGTTATGTTTAGCGCGCCTCTGTATCTGCCTCTGGTGCTGGTCGTAGACCCGCTGCTGCTGCTCCTCACTGAGCGCTTCATAGCACTCCCTTCCCATGAGAAGCACCCGGAACTGCCACGCGACTATACTCCCTATGCCCTCACCTGAAGGTTGTGTTTGTCCTGCCTTTGTATCTATCTTTTGCGCTGGTCATTCATAGACCAATTTCTGCTGGTTTGACTAAAATTCTACAAACGATAATACTCCTTATCTCCTCACCTGAAGGTTGTGTTTAGCGCGCCTCTGTATCTGCCTCTGGTGCTGGTCGTAGACCCGCTGCTGCTGCTCCTCAGTGAGCGCCTCATAGCACTCCCTTCCCATGAGAAGCACCCGGACTTCGGATAGCTGCTTCCCAGGGGTCACGTAACCGGTTTCTTCTAGCAGACGCTTGAATTGTTGGCACCACCTGTTTACGAATTAAATCACAAGATTAAAGAAACAAAATAATTAACTTGTATCTACTTAAGATTGACTTCTGATTGTGTTGAAGAAGCCTGTCAATGTTAAATCAAAAACATAAGGTTTCTACTAGAAAATGAAAATAGAAATTGAATTTTTATCCAACTGAAAAGCACATAAATGTGATTAGTAGCAGTAAAGACACGAATTCCAAGCACATATTTTATAAGGAAGAGAGAGTTTACACCAATAGAGGAAAGTTCCAGCACACTTTTCTAAAAAGTAGTTAATTTTCGTCCTAAAAGCCCCATTAGGGTCCTGTAAATTTCTTGTTACTGTTATTAACTTTTACCCAAATAAATTAGCTCAATAAAAACCAAAGCAGAATGGTTAGCTTGTGAAAGAAAGTACTCACTCGTAATTTCGTTGTTCCTCTTGCGCCTCGTGCAAGTAAGTCTTGAAGACAGAAGCCGCTTCGTTGGTTTCTAAGATCTCGTACGGTATCTTCTGGGACTGGCCCAAAGTCTGTAAAAATATCAAACTGGTAAAAATGGTGCTGAAAAATAAAAGAAATATAATTTATCATAATAATCTAACGAAATAATAACCCGTTTTTATTATTTTGTGGTTTGTTTTTTTTTAATAGGATAATAACATTTATGTAGTTTCATTCTAGTTTCAGTTTGAAAATAAGAAAGAAGAAAAATATTTCCATTTTTTCTCTCGCTCTCATCAAATTCTTTGCGATAGAACGAGACTACATGACCGGAAATATGTAGCTGGAACTGTGGCTCATAGTACTTATGTTGTTTCGTCGTTTCAGCCGAAAGACGTCCACTGCTGGACAAAGGCCTCCCCCAAGGATTTCCACAAAGACCGGTCCTGCGCCGCTTGCATCCAGGTACTTCCCGCGACCATCACCAGATCGTCGGTCCACCTAGTGGGAGGCCTGCCCACGCTACGTCTTCCAGCTCGTGGTCGCCACTCAAGAACTTTCCTGCCCCAGCGGCCATCAGCTCTTCGAGCTATGTGCCCCGCCCACTGCCATTATGTTGTTTGTTAGAAATAAAAATGGCAACCTCTCAGCATGTATCATGCTCTAAGATAGAAAGAACCCAGTACATATTATTATAACGCTGGTATTCTGCGAAAGCAGTTTCAATTTTCTATCTTATCTATCCATTCACTCACCTGATACCTAGTGGCGCGTTCGCCCACTCGCAGAGTAGTATCCGTACCGAGCGGACTCTCGAGGTCGGACCCGGATTCGGAGCCCGAGTCGGGCGCGCGGCCCTCACTGAAGTACACGGAGAAATCGCGGTGGGAACGCAGTTGTCGGACTACCATGGGCCAGTCGCTGGAATAATTACAGATTAATAATAAACTATGTTAATAAATATTGGCAATTTCGCAAGCCAATACATTTAAACACTTGACATTGACACGATTAAACCCCAGAAGTTTGGTTGCCATTATTAAAAGAAGAAGATTGACTGACTTGACACCGAATTTCCTTTGACTCTTGTATATCTTTGATGGCATAATGTCTACTCACGGACATTGCCCGCGGGCGGCGTGACCGGAGGGAGCGGCGAGCGTTCGGCGAACGAACGAGCAATGTTCGGTTCGCGAGCGAACATCGAAGAAGACGATCCGGACGCACTCTCTTCAACGACTTTGCACAAAACGGTGTCGATAACATTGTAAACTTATACCGAATAGATAATTAATTTCATACAGTCCACTCTTTTCATTTATAAACTTCCACTACACTCACTATCGAAGTAACACATAACAAAACACACCTCCCACACTCCATAACAGAAGTCCGCCTGGCTAGCTACCACCATCTTACCTAAAGTCTGTCGCCATAACAACAATGTTAGTTAACAGAATTGTTGCGTTCCGCAGATAAAGGTAAGATAGCCAGTTCCTCCGTGGTTAAGGATTCCGGGTGAAGCTCGCTTCCACCTTCGGCCTGATCATCACTAACCATCAGGTGAGATACAGGCCAAAAGCTTCCTCGTTGTGGATAAAAAAAAAGTAACCTACTAAGTTTTCCCTATGCCTGTACTCTTATACTCACTTCTCCTGCAGATCTTCAGTAGGCAGCTGCATTCGGGACAACACCTGGGGCAACTTGGCCAGCTGTTTGCGGAGTTTCTTGGCGGAGCGCTCCTCCTTCAGTCTTCTGATGTGACGCCGGTACACCACCTGGTAGAAAAAAAGCACTTTGATTAATAAACATGAACGCAGGAAGGCGCTGGATGCAGGCCGCTACCACTTTGGAAATTCAGTCTGTATGTCGTCAAAACAAATGTTAAAGTTAATATATTCTTGAATATGAATTGATATAATTAAAATTTGTTAAATTTTATACCCCTTGGTTACATAGAGGTGAAAACTATACAGTGTGTCCGGGCTTGTAGTGATCAAACTTTAAGGGCGTAATCTATGGACAATTTTATCGATGAAAATACTTCAAATTTGGGGCTTGACCCATTTCTCGCAAAATTACGAGGATTTAAGTTTTTAATGTTTAGTTTTCACCTCTTCCTTCAAAAACAAGTGAAAGCGTGGGTAGCTTAACACTAATAAGCAAAAGTTTTATATCATGCGATAGCCAATAAAATTATCCATTAGCAGAAGTAGAAAACAGATACAAGTTTCATACATTTTAAGGGAGTAAGAATGGATTTAATTAGAAAAAAACAAGACGCTTGAAATTTGGCATGTAGGTACCTTAGTAAACTCAAAGCTTAGTTACAACAAGGAATTCCCGAAATTCCCACAGGAATTAGCGGGAAAATCCTTTTGTATGAAAAATCTAAACCGCTTAAGTAGACCTGAAGTGATGCAGTGACCGCGCGCTCTCCGCCCTCTATCTCGAAAACGGTTCACCGTATAAAAAAAGTTTTTAAACAAAATTTGTAGAGAATTTAGTATTCTACAATATTGATAATAAATACAAATAGCAAAAAACCCACAGGAAATGAGATATTTCTAATAAAAGCGCAAAAAACCTATTTTTGTGACCGTTGACCTTGAAATTTAATAGTTGCTTACACCCTACCATATGTAGGTTTTGAGACAACTTTTAGGGTGTCAATATACACGTATTTACAGACTTACAGCTGGGTATCTCGAATTCCGAGGTGAACTTACTATAATGACTGGACTAATAGGCTTTGACCAAATACATTGTATCTATGCAATTTATATATTTGTAAGCTGTTTGTTTTCTGAATTCTGGTACCTGGTGGTTGGTATGAATAAAACAAAATAAATAAAATAAATATAATTTACCTGTGTCCCGTCATTCCCAAACTGCTGGACGAATTTAATCCACTCTGCGTAGTGACACAATCTCTTGCTAGCTGCTGACCACATCTCTCTGTAACAAACATAATACATTTTAGGTCATTTATTAATCGAGTTCTCCTCTAAAACATAAAATGGGTATGAAGCATTATGAATTGTAAGATATTTGAGTTATTTTTGAAACATTTTCTAAGATTATTGGGCAACATTCGATGACCATGATTTCATACAAAAGAAATAATTAAAGTTTTCTCACTTATGATCTTGGACGTGTATCCGAATGAGCTGCGTGAAGGCCTCCGTAACGAAGTCCAGGGTCTCCCTCCTTATCCTCAGCGCTTCTGCATAGTTAGCTACCTGTTGATCACATAAAAATACCATTAACAATATTGTACAGTCGCCAGAATAATATACCTAAGATTTAGGTAAGCTTCTTTAGACTTGTCCACCATCTACGCTACAAAAGTCTGGTCTACATTGACGATGTCATTGCTAGCCATCTCGACTTAAACTCCTGGCTGTATAGGATGTCATGGCTTAATGTCCCTACTTGAACTCCTGGCTGTACATAATGAGGGCTATCGTTTTAGCGCTCACCAGTTAGCGCCACTGTAGAGTAAGGTCCTGTCACTTGCTAGTAGCGAAGACAGTGGCACCAGCTGGTGAGCGCTAAAGTGGTAGGAGGACTATCGCATTTGCACTCATCAAGATGGCGCCACTGTAGAGTAAGGTCCTGTCAATCGCCAGGGGTGCCAACTGTTAAGTATAAAAACGATACCCTCATTGGAATTAAAGGAGATTAGTCTTGTTCTCACCTTAATCCTAGCTTTAGATTTGTCCACCATCTGTGCTAGCAGCACAAAGGCTTGATCCACGTTGACATTATCATGGCTGGACGTCTCCACGATGGGTATGCAGCCTTTGAACTCCTTCCTCTGAACCAACCGCTCGGCTTCACGAACACCTTGCTCGCATGCTTCGTCGTTCTTGGATGTGACGAGGACAACGGGCTTTTTGAGCTTGACTATGTTTTGGAGGATTGCCGCTAGGATCTCGTTCTGGAATTAAACAGAAGTAGATGTTACTTTGACTTAGTAGTTCTTAAACTGTAGGTCGGACGATTTCTAAAACTGTGGTGATCTAAGACTAGTTTAGGGAACAACGCTGTGAAATGCAATAAAGTATTGAGTATTGACACCCTAGCGCAGTCTTTCCCAAAGTGGGCGATAACGCCCCCTTGTGGGCGCTGCAGGCTTAAAGGGGGGCGGTAAGAGACCCAGAAAAAAACGGACGTTGTGTAGAGGTTTAGGAGGCGTCATCTACTAGGAGGACTCTTTAGACATCGACTGAGCTCGACTCTTGACTACAAAAATGGGGGGCGCTAAAAAATAATTAATTCTCAAAGTGGGCAGTAGACTAAATAACTTTGGGAACCGCTGCCCTAGCGCATGAAACATATTCACTTAGGACAAAGACGTCCACTGCTGGAGAAAGGCCTCCCCCAAGGATTTCCACAACAACCGGTCCTGCGCTGCCCGCATCCAGGTACTTCCCGCGACCTTCACCAGATCCTCGATTCACCAAGTGGAAGGCCTGTCCACACTACGTCTTCAGCTTCCCATCAGGCAGCATCGTCTTCTGTTCTCACTCCTCTATGTCGAGCTGGTGACACATTAATTGTATCCCTTGGTATCTCTCTCACCTGCTTCTCCCAGCTCCTCCCAGGAACCAGGCTGACGTCATAGACGCACAGGAACCCGTCTACACTCAGCTTCCCATCAAGCATCGTCTTCAGTTCTCACTCCTCTAAGCCCAGCTGGTGACACAAGTTGTATCCTTTGGTATCCAAGCTCACCTGCTTCTCCCAGCTCCTCCCTGGAACTAGACTGACGTCATAGACGCACAGGAACCCGTCTACACTCAGCTTCCCATCAGGCAAGGTCTTCTGGTATTTCTTCTCTATGCCAATTTGGATCTTGTATAGATACATCAGCTGTATCCCTTGGTATCCAAACTCACCTGCTTTTCCCAGCTCCTCCCAGGAACCAGGCTGACGTCATAGACGCACAGGAACCCGTCGACACTCAGCTTCCCATCAGACATGGTCTTCTGCTCATACTCCTGTTTACCGAGCAGGTGACATATCAGTTGTATCCCTTGGTATCCAAACTCACCTGCTTTTCCCAGCTCCTCCCAGGAACCAGGCTGACGTCATAGACGCACAGGACCCGTCGACGCTCAGCTTGCCGTCAGGCATCGTCTTCAGTTCTCACTCCTCTAAGCCCAGCTGGTAACACAAGTTGTATCCCTTGATATCTCTAAGCTCACCTGCTTCTCCCAGCTCCTCCCTGGAACTAGACTGACGTCATAGACGCACAGGAACCCGTCTACACTCAGCTTCCCATCAAGCATCGTCTTCAGTTCTCACTCCTCTATGCCAAGCTGGTGACACATCAATTGTATACCTTGGTATCCAAACTCACCTGCTTCTCCCAGCTCCTCTCAGGAACCAGGCTGACGTCATAGACGCACAGGAACCCGTCTACACTCAGCTTCCCATCAGGCATCGTCTTCTGTTCTCACTCCTCTATGCAGAAATAATGACGCATCAGTTGTATCCCTTGGTATATCTCTCACCTGCTTCTCCCAGCTCCTCCCAGGAACCAGGCTGACGTCAGAGACGCACAGGAACCCGTCTACACTCAGCTTCCCATCAAGCATCGTCTTCAGTTCTCACTCCTCGAAGCCCAGCTGGTAACACAAGTTGTATCCCTTGGTATCCAAACTCACCTGCTTCTCCCAGCTCCTCCCTGGAACCAGGCTGACGTCATAGACGCACAGGAACCCGTCGACGCTCAGCTTGCCGTCAGGCATCGTCTTCAGTTCTCACTCCTCTATGCCGAGCTGGTGACACATCAATTGTATCCCTTGGTATCCAAACTCACCTGCTTCTCCCAGCTCCTCCCAGGAATCAGGCTGACGTCACAGACGCACAGGAACCCGTCTACACTCAGCTTCCCATCAAGCATCGTCTTCAGTTCTCACTCCTCTAAGCCCAGCTAGTGACATCAGTTGTATCCCTTGGTATCTCTCTCACCTGCTTCTCCCAGCTCCTCCCTGGAACTAGACTGACGTCACAGACGCACAGGAACCCGTCTACACTCAGCTTCCCATCAAGCATCGTCTTCAGTTCTCACTCCTCTAAGCCCAGCTAGTGACATCAGTTGTATCCCTTGGTATCTCTAAGCTCACCTGTTTCTCCCAGCTCCTCCCGGGAACCAGGCTGACGTCATAGACACACAGGAACCCGTCTACACTCAGCTTCCCGTCAGGCATCGTCTTCTGTTCGTGACTTCCTTCCTTCTTCCTTCGTTCCTTCTCTAAGCCAATTTGGATCTTGTATAGATAGTAGATACATCAGCTGTATCCCTTGATATCTCTAAGCTCACCTGCTTCTCCCAGCTCCTCCCAGGAACCAGGCTGACGTCATAGACGCACAGGAACCCGTCGACGCTCAGCTTCCCATCAGGCATCGTCTTCTGCTCGTGACTTCCTTCCTTCTTCCTTCGTTCCTTCTCTAAGCCAATTTGGATCTTGTATAGATAGTAGATACATCAGCTGTATCCCTTGATATCTCTAAGCTCACCTGCTTCTCCCAGCTCCTCCCAGGAACCAGGCTGACGTCATAGACGCACAGGAACCCGTCTACACTCAGCTTCCCATCAGGCATGGTCTTCTGTTCGTACTCCTTTTCTATGCCCAGCTGGTTCTTGCAGACGTACATCAGTTTCTCAGCGGATTGGAGCTTGGTGGCCACGCAGCGTTTGATGTATGTTTCGGTTTTGCCGACAGCTAAAAGAATAGATTTATGGGTTAAGTACTGTACTGAAATGACATATTATCGAATATGTCGACTGTTTTCTTGCTCAAAAAAAGTACAAAACCAACTGTATCAATAAAATAAAAGAAATGGAGATATAAGCGGCCGTTCCTTGAATGGTAAAATATTTATTAAGCGCTTTTTCAGCGGTTAGAAAAGTTCCCTAAAACAGTTTCCCACCAAAGCGGGGACAAGACGAGCAACTGAGGGTAGATTATTTCCATCAAAACGGAGCTGAGTTCTGCACAACCACTTCTACTGCTCAACACATAATGACGAAATTCTATTAGTTAGTTATAAATATCATGGTTCCTTTCTTCTCTTCTCCACTAAGATGGAAAACTAGTGAGAAAAAAGGCTGTATTTCTAGCCAAATATGAATAAATACCTTTAAACGGCTGAAAGCAGGCGTCGTCCACAAACTCCGTCTGCTCCACGATCTCGAACCTGTACTCCTGATCATCATTCTCCTTCTGAACGCTGCCCCAGTACAGAAAGTGGTCGTTGTTCACCACGCGACCGCTGAAGTCCGACTGGAATAGAAGTTACGTTGTGAATGCTGGGTATTTTTAAGGACAAACCACACTTATCAACTCGGAAACGGATCGTAAACATTCGTAACTGTATCAACTCAAGGCGGTCAGTATTCTTTGTATGAAACTCTGTACTGCAACGCACTCTTATCCGCACCGTAACGACCTGTCAACCTCGACTCGCGGTTGACAGCGCGGCGAATGGCGATACTTAGGCTGGGTTCCCACTATGCCGGACCGGCATTTCTGCCGGAAACCGGACACCGGACAAGGGTGTTCACATTACACCGGATCACCGGATCCGAAGTGCGGGGAGCACGGGCGGGGCGGGGCGGGAAGCACGGGCGCGGCGGGGTGGGCCGCAACTCGTTCACATTACTCCGGTCCGGTGATTTTGCCGGCATTAAGTAGCGACAAAACGCTCGGTAAAAATGCCGGGCTCGGCGAAAATGCCGGATCCGGGATAATGTGAACAGCTTCATACAATTTGTACCTCCGCTAGGCCTTCCGGCGCTTTTGCCGGACCGGGAGATCTGCCGGTCCGGCATAGTGGGAACCCGGCCTTACGGTGTTGATCCCTTTCCGGGTTGATAGGTGTACCATTGTGACCTTTAGGGTTGAGCTTTCATCTCATCAAAGCCGAGAGGATCTGTAGGACTACTGGGAAACGCTGTTTACGTAGCTGCGTAGTTTCAGGCCTATCTGTCAATGTCGCTCATGTTGGCTTCTTTTTTTTTCTTACGGTCAATAAACTTAAATTTCCCTACTTTCAGGGAAATCGCCTTCACTGTCCACACTCCCCAACAAAATTGACACTAATGCCATAAGATTTTTGCCTCACTTTTGACGAAGCGTTTGTATGAAGGCTATCCATCTAGGCTTTATTAATATAACTAAGACAGAAGAAAGATTTTATTGTTTGTTTATTTACGTATTGAATTGAATAGGCCCCGAAACTCCTGGATCGTTTTAAATACTTTCACCATTAGAATTCTACATTATTTCTGATGAACATAGGCATATTTTAGGCGGTACGAAGTTCGCCGGGTCATCTAGTAGCTAATATAATGCCGGGAACTTCAGCGAATAATGATGAACTGTTAATTTTTTGCCCTTTGTGTTACCATGGTTGAATAGCCTCAAAACATGAGACATCACAAAAACTGTGTAATCGTAAATAAAGATTGCAAAAAGTATAATATGACAAGAAGTAATGCTTGATTAAGTTCAGTTTTCCAGCATTTAATTTTAAAATGCATATAACCAACTGATTAGTGTTAAATTGATATTGAAATGAGATTATAATGGTGGTAGGACTGGTATTTTTTATCATCATCATTTTAGCCACAGGACGTCCACTCTAATGATTTACAGATTGGCCGGTAACGTAACGACCTCCATCCAGCGCCTTTCTGCTACCTTCATAAGGTCATCTGTCCAACTTTTTTAAAAAATAACCCATAGACATTGACGGTCAAAATGTACTGTAGATAAGCTCGATTTCACTCTCTCGATTATTTCAATAGCCAATGTATATTACTTTATTCGAATTACAAGGGACATAGAATATTCAGCGTCAATGTTCGTCAGCTCAATTTGTTCACAAAACTGCAAACATTCATTACCGCGGTCTATAAGGTTATTTAGAGAAAAACAAACTCATTCAAGTATACAGTCATCTTGGTACTCTCAAGTAATTATTTACCCACTTATCTTGTAATCTGCATAACACCGCCGTCAGGTGATATGACGTTGGAATGATCTCACCTCCTCATTACACAGGTAATGCGGGCATATTTTAGTTAACTACAGTATTACCACCTCAATATTAATTAACTCGTCTGTTAACTAACTAAGATCTGGTGGTAATTATTAGCTGGGAGTTCGCTAATTGCCCGAGAATTCGCCGTATGGATTTCGATCTGTGACAAAAAGACTGTCGCGGGACCGAGTTAAAAACTCCATTGTATTTTTTTTAACAAAAATATAAATATGTTTAGATCATTATTGTAATACAAAGTTCCCAAGATAAAATACGAAAGAAACTCTGTTGATGGTACTTCAGAAATAGGCGTAAGTTATTAGTAACTACATCGTAAGTAGTTTTGTTGCAAACTTTATTGGAGAAATAGGTAATGATGACGTTTCGTGTGGGCATATACTTAGGTCGTTGAAGAAGGGCAGAAAAGTTCTCAAGTGGTTATTCGTACAAGTGAGCTATTGGGGCAGAAAAGTTCACAAGCGGGGACCACGGATTTGACGAAAGATAGGCCAAGGAGTGGGACTCGGTGGATCGTAGTAAAAGTGCTTTTTTAAAGCCTATTTGCAGAAATAAATGAGTTTTTTATAGGAGGGCTACTCCGGAACCCTGTTTGTTTACGTAGTTTTCGAATCTATCTGTTACCGTCGCTCACGCTGGCTTCTCGCTTTGCGTGAGAGGGATGGCAACATTCGAATTTCCGGAGTAACCCTACAGGTCGTCGTGGAAATAAATAAATATAGACGCCAAGCAGCGTCAGATGACGGCAATCAGCTCGACACTTCCCGGTTTTCAACTATTCGCATTCGGTAAAATTGACTGTTGCCGGTCACAACTGACCCTCACCAGTGTGGGAATCAAAAGCAGTACACACCTGTTCAATTAAAGTACCTACCTGACTCAACACAGAGATGTGGTCGACATTGTAGTCATCTGCGTGAGTCCGTACGAATCTGTTGCATAAACACGACTTGCCCACTCCAAGCTGCCCTTTGTCTTTCTCTGTGCCTGAAAAGAAAACAAAAAATAAACATTATTAGGAATTTGCATACATTTTTTGTCTTTTTTTTGCCTGAAAACAAAACACACATTAAAAGGCTCTGTGTTGACTTTATTTATACGGTTTATCTTGGTTTTACCCCAAAATTATACAACTATGACAGTTCCGTGTGCATTAATAAAGATAAAGATTTTAAATACATAGTAACTTGCAAAAAACAGTTTTGTGCAAAAAATAAGATAATGTTTTTACTGTTTAACCTTTAACTGGTGACCTGAAGTCAACAGTGCGTATTTGGTGAGGTGACGTTTAAGAGACGTCAAAGAAAAATTAATGTACAATAAAATTGGCTAACGTAAAATAAGTTTGAGGGTAAGAATTTAGTAACTTATATAGTTGTCCAAATAATATAAAAACATGGTTTAAAAAAACATTAGTTTTTGGTACAAAATCAGTCTTAATTTGAGCAAGGTACTTTTCATTAAAAAAAAAGTTAGACACCTAAAATGGGCATACTAGTCCCCAGAAATACACTTTGGGACCTTCCTAATCATCATTTTTAGATAGTTTAGATACTAATCAACAAAACTCAGCAGGTAAAGCTATCCTAAGATAAGAAATTAAAAAAACTACAATCATCAAACATCACTTACTAGAAACGTTCACGTCTACAGACATCACAATTTTTCTTGCAGCAATTTAGGCACATAGGTTTATCATAATAAGTTCTAGTGAACCTAGTACATTTTATTACATGGCTAAGACAAACGGCACATGTTCTTTTAACCCCAGGATGGTTTTGGGACGAGGCAGAAGTCGGTCTAGGTGGTAATTCATCAACACCAACTGAACGCAGCTCGCGGAGTAGGGTAGTCATTATAAGCCACGAGTTTCAATTGAGGTATAACTAAAGAGCTATCCAATGATAATAAGAAGCTGCCCCTAGTTAATTTGTTAGTATTGTCGCAATCACTGTTTAAGACGTAAGAATTTATTCCTGAAAAATATCGACTGAGCTAAGCTATAGAATATGATTATACATAGGCCAATAAGGATGTTGAATAGTTGAAACACTTTATTCCATCTCATCCATCAACCCCTCCTATTTCGTCAGGACACTGTTATTCAATGGTGGAGGTGTTGATTTCATCTCCAGATTGCTCAGATTGGGTAACATGCAGACTTTCTAAAACGAAGTCAGGATCGCCTATATCGTCGTCAAAACTACTATAATCGTCGTCGTTCTCTCTTAGAAGCTCCTGTGTTATACCTCGCTGACTAAGAACCCTTCTTCTTTTGGCAGACCTCTTTTGTTTATCGTGAGACATTCTATAAAAGATAATAACAATACATTACCACCGCTGTGACGTCCCTCAAACACTATGAAGTTGTGTAAACTAACTGTGAGGTGACGAACAACAGACACATAGGTAAAATACACATTAGCACTGACCTGACGTCTGTGAGACGGCGAAAGCTCCACACAGGCAACACAGGAGACCCTGAGCTCGTGCGCCTCCTACTGAGCGAAGGTGTATGGCAAACGCGGAAGGTACCAAAACGCACGGGGAGAAGCGACAAAAAGGCGGGGAGATAAATAAAAAAAACGAAACGCGGTGTCTGAGAGACGGGCAGGTCACCAGTTAAAGGTTAATGTATATTTGTTTACTCGTTGATATGGCCATTGCCCATAATAATTAAACTTGACTAGTTGGAATTTCTAAGATGAAAGAAATCTAGACAAGAATAGAAGGCTGGGTTGGGCTAAATAGCTCAGCTAGGCGGCAATTAATTAGGCCTTCTAATTAGTTTAAGTGTTAGCATTTAATATAATGAGATATGTTCATAAAACACACAATAATACTCTAAAATGATTAAATACTGAAAGTTGTATCATGTCATTCAATTATTGAGTAATAATAACAACTTTTTTCAGTTAGTTATCTATCTAATATAACATATTGTGTAAGCCCAATTGATAGTTTATAGTTTATCAACTTTCTCTCACATTGTAAACATCATTAACACCTACACACAGATAGCAGGAAATAGAACAGATAACAATAGTTTGGTGTCCATTCACAATTGTAGTTCGAGACGCTCCAATAGAGACTGGCTTCCTCTGCCTCAATTGCTTGGTATTCAGTCAATTGTGACGTTTAGAAAGTTGTGAAATGAAGGCACTGGGTTGAATATAATGATATTACATGTTTTTGCAAATGAATTGAACTATTTCAGATGCCTATGGTAGCTAATAGCATCAGATACTAGGGAACCTCAATTTTTTCAGGGATAAAACAATAAAATCTTACTGGATTACAATTGAACGTAAATAAACAACATAGCATAGCAGAAAATGAACCATATCATAATAAAATACTTTACAACCTTCCTTCTTCATTGTATAAGATTGGATTAGATTGAATTAAATGTAGAGCTAGCTAGTTAATGTATAACTAATTGACTGTTATAAAAGATACAGGTTTCTTGTCAATATTTTGTTCTCAATTAAAACATTATTTATGTTAACTGGCAGTAAAACATAAATATCGCCATTAAATAATAGAAAAAATAAATAAATATGATTCTAAAAGCTCCATTTAAGCATAACTATTTAACAAACAATGTGTTACAGTAATACAGTGACATTTCAATTTACGAGTGTCACTAAAGAACTCCAGGGTCTAATCTATTTATAGCAAAAATTGTGACTCAAATTCTCAACTCTATAGTGTGATAAACGAGGAATGCTGTACAGATGTTTTTGATATTCACTTCGATGATACTTTGCATGACAATTTAAATTTTTTAATACATTCTGCTGTCTGTAAATAGGTAATTTGTAAATAAAATGTAGACAATTGATTCTAGAATTACCTATGTGTGGCTATGCCACTTTATTTTATGAAATAGCAAAAATGTAATATTTAGTTTTGTTTTTCAGCAAATAATTTGTTGTTGTTATTTGCTCAGTAATTTTTTTACATTGGTCAACTTTATTGTCATTATTATGATAACTAGTGGTAAAAGATATTGTAATTTGAATCACAATAATTTACTATGATTTTGATAATTATATTTTTATAACTATAGAGATATTATTCTGTTGTGTAGTGGGATATTGTTTTTACTTATGTATGACTGTTTTCTTAAGATGTTATTGATTTTTTTATCACTACCATCTTAGCACTATTTAGTATTTCAGACTACTTCATTGTTTTTGATATACCTAGTCATACATTATTATTATTGATTTAGTTAACATATCCATGCAATTTATCAGGACCAAGGCTTATTATCATTCTGATACAGGTTATACAGGATTCATTCTTATTGGATAGAAGTTTGGAATAAAGTAATTTTCGGAAGATTCTTACCAGAAAGTCCGACCACTGACACGGTGACTAGCTTGCCGCCAGTGTTCTCCGACTTTTTAGCCATTTTTAACACTTAACACTATCGACGTATGTAAATAAAAACTGCAAAATCACTTATAAAACTCATCACAACACACGAAAATGTTCACTATGTTTTGAAGACACTACAACTCACACGGCAGCCTATTTATTGAGCAAATTCTGCGAATATCCTGTACCCAGAGAATGTTATTAAAAAGTAGGTATTACTTCGCCTTATCATTAATTTAACTGAACCGTAAAACAAGTTAGAATGTCGTAATGTTTAGGGAACGCATGGAACTGCTTTCGATGGTTAAAGTAGGCAGTGGTAGGGCACGATACCATCGCCAGATGTGCAGACGTCCAGGCTATGCCACACCTTCCCAGGCCTGATTACAATACTAAATACAAATTACATTTCAATTACGACAAGAAAATGATAAGAATAAGACAGAACACATTATCAAATAGGGATAAGAAGGCAATAATTTATTGTGCTCCGAGACCCCGACACTCTGACACACCAAATCAAAGTAGAAAATAGACAGGATATTTCAGCAAAATCTACTAATTCAACAAGCCACTTCATTCACCTAGTAATAAAACATTCTTCCGATGGTATGATTTACATTTTAGTACACTTTGATGAGATTATTTTACGAGAAAAAGCAATAATTCTTGACACAAGTCGCTTTTGCTTTGTACTGAAATCAGTGTCGCCAACATAATTAAATAAAATGCCATTTCATTCATAGACAATACCGTTTATTTACTGAAATAACCGGTACAAATCCAAATTTTGATTGTGTATCCAAACGAGAAAAAGTTTCAATGAAGTTAACATGAAAAAGTTTAAATTGAAATTAAAACAATGTTTAAAAGTCTATAATAAAATTCCCCTGAAATTCCCACAGGTCGGACGTATATTATTTTCTTATAGAAGCTTGTTTATTTACAGATAAACGTTACAATCTTTTAAATGAAAATAACTTCAACATAAGCTTAGAAAATAAAGTCCCTAAAAGAGACCTTTGTCCAGCAGAAAACTTTTCTATCACCATAACTTCATAAGATTTTAAGTTTTCGCATTTGAATGTAAGTCCATATTATAAGCCAAATCTATCCTCTAGCTAGATAAAATCTAATTTTACTAAACAAAATCGTGCTCCTTTAGAGAAACACACGCGATGATGAAAATTATTTCTATTAAGTATAATACAATTTAATGAACCAAATGTCGTGCATATCAAAACCAACGGCGTGGAATAGAGTGGGGTATAATCGGACTCTTAGAAGACTTAGATTATGCCGATGACCTTTGTTTGCTGAGCCACACGCATCACGATATGCAATCCAAAATTGATGACCTACATCGAGAGGCGGGCATCACGGGGCTCAAAATTAAATGCCGGAAGACTCAAGAGATGCGATCTGGAGTGAGGAATTGCACACCATTACGGATTGGTGCAGAGGATGTGGAACGTGTCCACAATTTTACCTACCTCGGGAGCGTCGTGTCAGAGACTGGAGGTACCGAAGAGGACATCACTTCGCGCATTTCCAATGCTAGAGCCACCCTCGCACAACTTCGCCCCGTATGGCAGTCACGGAAACTGACCCGAAGGGTCAAGATCAAAATTTTCGGGTCCAACGTTAAATCCGTGCTGCTCTATGGGTGTGAAACGTGGAAGGTCACCAAGGTCACCTCGCACCAGCTGCAGGTCTTCGTCAACCGCTGCCTTCGCCGAATTCTCGGCATATACTGGCCTGAGAAAATCTCCAACGTCAAGCTATTGGAACGCTGCCACGAAATTCCGATCGACCAGCAGATCAAGCGCCGCAAGCGGAACTGGATTGGCCACACTCTCCGAAGGGATCCCGATCACATCCCCAAGCAGGCTCTGGATTGGAACCCCCAAGGAAAACGCAAACGTGGTCGCCCCAAGCAAACTTGGCGGCGCACTGTGGCCTGTGGCAGACGAGGCGAAGAAGATCGGCAAGACTTGGAGCGAGATCAAACACATAGCTCAAGACCGAACGCGATGGAGGACTGTTGTGGACGCCCTCTGCCCCATCTAGGGGACATAGGACCTTACGTTAAGTAAGTCAAGTCACTAACCAAGCCACATTGACTTCGTTGTTTAGGTTGAACTTGAAACTGAGAGCTGTCAGCCCCCTAGACAAATTTATTGCAAAATATGACTGTGTTTATGTTAAAACATGATCGAAATGCCTTTTTTTTGTATTGAGTTTAAACGGATTAGATTTTTGATTCGATCAAAAAGTGCTACTGCTGCTTTTGACACACCGAACAGTGGGGTGGAGATGAATTTCATCCCCATTCACATCACATTGACTTGACTTGGCTAATTGCCGCGTAGTGTAAAAGTAAGCGGCATACTACTTATCACTAGTTCCCAATTCCATCCCACTTGGTCCCACAGCAGTCCCACTTCATAACTCGTCCCATACTCACATGAAAATGGCACAAATCAAATCGGCCTCGACGAGCATTGCCAAGAACAAAAAAGAAGAAGAAGAAGAAACTAGACCCACAGGCTTACTCTTTTTTGCAGATCTTTGCAAATATTTTTTTTTATTAGCAATTAACGTTATCGTTGCGTTCTGTGACTTAGATAATATTTTAATATTGCAACACAGATTTTGACAGCACCATTACGAAAACACAAGCGCATAAATGTCTCCCCGCGATATTTCCTTGAGAAATGACTTCTACGAATGATGGAAAAGACGTGAAAAGTAATCAAACGAGTGGCCAAAAAGGCAAATCATATTATATTGAACTTTACAAGGTGAGTTTGTTTTTTATTTCGCGTAAATTCGTCGTATAACATGAGACGCCGTTGTACTCCTAGATGTTCACTATGGCCGCCATATTTGTCTTCTTCATCTCTTGTTTTCATGTATTTAAGTTTATTTCTCTGTTAATTCATCAAAATGTGGTGCAATTACGTGGTTAGAATTATTATTTAGGCTCTTGTTCGACTTTTACCAGTGATACGGAGTGTAACATATGTGCGATGTTACGACAATTTGACCATCGGAATTCCCTTTATTTTCATGTTCGTAAGTCTAAATATTTTTGTTTTACGACTATTTCAAAGGGTAAATGTGAAACGCTGAGTTTTTACGTGGATGTTGGAGATAATTGTACATATTACTGTATGTATGGTTTGTGTTCACTGAAGTCACCATGTGTGATCTTGGTATGACAGCCATACTTAGTACATCCAAAAGTCACGTACACCTTCGCCGTATTTACCTACACTTAGAAGTATTAATGTATGTCCCATTAAAAAAATACTATCCTAGAAACATAAAACTATGCTAAGCAAACCAATCACTATTTTCTTACTAAAAAATAAAATGTCCAGTGATTGAATTTTATAGAATGAACATTGTTGAAAATCAATGCACTAGCTCAAAATGATTATGGTGATCCTATACCTATATTAGGTTAGGTAACCTAATATTTCTAAGTTGTAAAATTAAATTATCAAATACTTTGTGTAGCTACATACTTCGTTTGTAATTTTGTATAAAGATAAAGGTAATTTATAATTATGTTCCGTAAGCACATCCAATTTTTTTGTTTACAATACTCTTATCTACAAGCTTTAATTAGGTCATGACGGGAAGACTTATACTTGAACCCGGGAACAATTTTCGGTCATCACTTTAATATGTATTGAAATCTTTTTATCATAGTAGGTTCTGAAATTCATATAAAGAAGCACTATTTATAACATATTAAGTACCTATTGTCAGTGAAAAGTTAATTTATTTGATAACTTTATGAAATATTCAACTCTCACTTCGGCCACACTGTATAGAATATTGTTCGTTGATCTATATTTTCTTGAAATGATCGATTTACAGGTATAAAAAAGGTTATTCATAAATAATTATTATTGTTGGAAGAACAACTTTGGGGTTTACAACTTGTATTTTTTTTAATAAACTTGTATTTTTATAGTACTGTCATTGTAACATTTTCTGTATTTAATTCAAGTCAGTACATAATTTCTATACTTTTTACTAAAGTGCACATTATAACTAATTATAATTATAAAACTTTATTGCACAATAAAATAGTACAAAAGGTGGACTTAATGCTATTAAAGCATTCTCAGCCAGTCGACCCCTGGGTTATGCAGAAAGCTGTGAGTGCGAAGGTAGAGGTAGGTCGTCAGGACCTTTGTTAATGTTAATGAAAACTAGGTAAATCATGGCAATGTTATGCCGTTTCATTTCTGTTTCCACAATACAGTCTTGTTTAGTAAATCCTCCAACTTCTACAGTGTGTGATCAATTTGGAAGATATGTAATATTCCACTTTTTTCCCTATTTACCTTTCATATCATTTTTTAATTTAATTTACTTCAATATTTCAGCTTGTAGAACCTAGGAGAACCATTTGTACTATTATAATAATAAATTATAGTTGAAAAATAATAATAATATTATTATGTGACAAATCTTACTTTCAAAATAATATTATGAAATCTCTAACATGTGTAATTTATTTGATGAGGTATAATTAATAACGAAATTATTAGGCTCTCTGAGATTTGTTTGATAGGTTTTTCCTTATAATTTGTCACAGCCAATGATTCACCATAACAAACATATAAATAATAGTTTACTATTCTGTCACCACTTATCATTATTTGTTGTGTTGTTTAGTTATGATAAATAACATACATGGGTATTTGGAAATTAAAAACATTGTGTATAAAACGTAAAGGTGCGATTGTGGTCAAATACCTGCCCTGTTATGCATAAAAAACATTGAAAGTGAAGTTAATAAGATAGTGTGACGAATAAACCTGTCTCTTTCGCCCGCAGTCCCTCGATGCGCGGCTGAGCGGCGACTGCTCGCTCGGCGAGCGCACACAACACCTCTGCGAGGCGTGGCGCCGCGTGCACAGCCTGTGCCAGCACTCCGCGCCCGCCACACACCCGCACCTGCTCAGCTGGCTGCAGCGGCATACTGCCCGCACCGTACTGCAGGTGAGACCCTGACGTCACGCAGCTGACGTCACGACACCAGCGAGGCGTGGCGCCGCGTGCACAGCTTGTGTGTGACGTCACGACACTTCTGCTCAGCTGCCTGCAGCGACACACTGCCCGCACCGTACTGCAGGTGAGACCCTGACGTCACGCAGCTGACGTCACGACACCAGCGAGGCGTGGTGCCGCGTGCACAGCTTGTGTGTGTGACGTCACGACACCTCTGCTCAGCTGGCTGCAGCGGCATACGGCCCGCACTGTACTGCAGGTGAGGTCCTGACGTCACGCAGCTGACGTCACGACACCAGCGAGGCGTGGCGCCGCGTGCACAGCTTGTGCCAGCACTCCGCGCCCGCCACACACCCGCACCTGCTCAGCTGGCTGCAGCGGCATACGGCCCGCACCGTACTGCAGGTGAGACCCTGACGTCACGCGGCTGACGTCACGACAGCAGCGAGGCGTGGCGCCGCGTGCACAGCTTGTGCCAGCACTCCGCGCCCGCCACACACCCGCACCTGCTCAGCTGGCTGCAGCGACACACGGCCCGCACCGTACTGCAGGTGAGACCCTGACGTCACGCAGCTGACGTCACGACAGCAGCGAGGCGTGGCGCCGCGTGCACAGCCTGTGCCAGCATTCCGCGCCCGCCACACAGCCGCATCTGCTCAGCTGGCTGCAGCGACACACTGCCCGCACCGTACTGCAGGTGAGACCCCGTCACGCGGCTGACGTCACTCCTCTGCGAGGCGTGGCGCCGCGTGCACAGCTTGCGTGTGTGACGTCACGACACCTCTGCTCCGCACTTTACTGCAGGTAAGATCTTCTTAGTCGGGCACTCTTGTCAGAGTGGTCGTGGTTGCGCTGACGAAGTACACGGTGGGGTGATATCATCTCCGAGGGTAGCTCTCCTGGCGATGTGCTTTCATTTCTGACGGTTACGAGGCGTCGCGAGTACACTGGACCATGGTGGTCTCAGTAGTCTTTGTGATGGCGTCTATCCAGCGGGTTGGCGATCCGTGCTCTCTTGCTTTCCACACCTGTGAGATCATAAAGTTACAACAACAACCACGAGCTGTCAAACGAAACCGATTTTGTATGACACTTGATATCATTTGTGTGTCAGTGTCAGGATTATTTCACTGCTTTGTATAATAAATCAATTACTGAACGAGTCACCACGTTTCTGAAACAATATTTACACTTGCGTAAAATCTGAAAATCTGCAAAAAACGGTTCCGTTTGACGTGACGGCGATGGCTTCACGCATCTCTTTATCACGCTTCGCTCAGTTCTTTGTTGCTCTATTCCGCTAGGTATAATAATTACGCAATGGCCGACGTAATCTGTCTTTCCTTACTGACAATGCTGTATGAATTAGGTACTTCTATTTACTACAACTTGCATTCTAATAAATATTATTCTTTTGACAGACAAAATGGAGTAAAGAACAACAGGACAGCCTCGAGGAGGCGATAAATGAGTTCATCGAAGAGACAAAGACAGGGCGCGCCTGCAAAGGTATTTAGTTCCTCTTTTCATTGTATCTTGCATGATGTATCTGCATATGATTGTCATGTAACATTCTTCGATAAGATATAATTATTCCGCATCTTATTTTAAAACTCTCAAGTTTAAGTTTTCTATCATGTCATGTTCAGTGAGAAGTAGCCCTAATCAGAAGTAGCTAAAATGAGAAGTGGCCATGATGAGACGTAGTCCATTAGCGACTCGGTTGCCATAATGAAAATTAGCTTCACCTCACTCACACTGGTGCCTAAAACCTTCACAGGCATATAATTGCTGAATGATCTGATAATACAGAAATGACTTTTAAGAGCAGCGTTACAATAATATATCTTCAAGTATGTTCAGGTTTATAATTTGGCCCACATTTCTGTATGTTCTAACTCGTGTTTATTGTATTCAAGATGGCGTCAGCCCGCCGTGGGAGACACAGCTACTGCAGAGGGGGCAGTGGTTCAAGCGGGTGCTGTCCAACCCCTGGGGGCACCCCGTACTACGCATCCTGTTGGACCCGAAGTCCACGCAGCCGACGGATGACGAGAGTGAGTGTCTGGTGTTAGACTAGCATCGTGGAGACAGCTACAGCGGGCAGTGGTTCTAGCGAATGTTTCCTACCCCTTGGGAGCACCCTGTGCTCCACAGCCGACGGATGACGACAGTGAGTTTCTGGTGGACTCTAGCATCGCGGCAGAAATAAAGCAGGATTAGCAAGCAGAAATGACAATGGGCAGGTGGTGGTAGGCTGAAGATAGATCGCTAGAACAAGATAGCAGGATTCGTGAGCTGAAGTTGTAATTGGCAGGGCATATAGCTAACAAAAATGACGGCCGATGGGGCAGCAAGATTTTGAAATGGAGGTCACTTACCGGCGTGGGATATAAGGTGGATAGATGACCTTTCAAAGGTTGTAAAGGCGCTGGATGCAGGATGCTTCAAACTGGACAATCTGGAAATCATTGGGGGAGGCCTATGAAAATATTAGTATTTTGTTGTCGGTACATAAGTCGTGACATTTTTTAACAGTCACGACTTATCCTGAGTCCGGGACCCTTTTAGTACTCTTTCCTTTTGTATACCTGTTTGATTTGATCTACATTTTGTGTGCCATTTAACTGATTCCAACTTGGTATGAACGATGTCGTCTATAACAAACAAACTTCCATTCCTCTCTTTCTAATCCTCAATTTCATCCTCAGTTCTAGAATGGCTGAAGGAGGAGCGCGGCGTGATGTTCGTGACGCGGCTGCGTCAGCTCGCCACGTCAAAATGCGCCGACTTGGCCGTCATACTCGTCACGGCCGTCATGGACCGCGTTCGGGCCGGCGTCGAGCTGGCCACCGACAGCGAGCAAAGCGAGGAGCCCAGAGGTATGTGGCACTATAATCTGGTCTGCGAGCACGTAGAATTTTGTCCAATGACCCCAAGATACCTATCCTTATCGCTCGCGCGTAATTATGTTGCTGTCGCGCTTGCACACTCACTGCGGGCGCCCGTCGTACAGTCGCGACAGCAATATAATTACGCAGACCGGGCTTTACTAGATGTAAACCCGCCCTCATGGAGCGCCAAAGAGTCCCAAGTACCTCGCGGTCATCTAGGCCACCTGACAGCGAGTCAGCAGATGACAGCGAGCAGAGCGAAGAGCCCAGAGGTATGTGCAGCGCCAAAAACTTTCAAATACCTTGCTGTCATCTATGTCATCTGACCTGGAGCTCAGAATTATATTTCAGTCAGTTGTATTGCTCTGCTGGATGTAACCCTCCCTTATGGAGCGCCAAGGAGTCCCGTCGTCTAGGTCACCTGATAGCGAGGATGAGGTATGTCGCAGCCAGTTTCAGGTCTCTACAGGTGGTACAGCAGTCAAAATGCGTCGACTTGGCCGTCATACTCGTCACGGCCGTCATGGACCGCGTGCGGGCCGGCGTCGAGCTAGCCACCGACAGCGAGCAAAGCGAGGAGCCCAGAGGTATGTGGCACTATAGTCTGGTCTGCGAGCACGTAGAATTTTGTCCAATGACCCCAAGATACCCATCCTTATCGCTCGCGCGTAATTATGTTACTGTCGCGCTTGCACACTCACTGCGGGCGCCCGTCGTACAGTCGCGACAGCAATATAATTACGCAGACCGGGCTTTACTAGATGTAAACCCTCCCTCATGGAGCGCCAAAGAGTCCCAAGTACCTCGCGGTCATCTAGGCCACCTGACAGCGAGTCAGCAGATGACAGCGAGCAGAGGAGCGAAGAGCCCAGAGGTATGTGCAGCGCCAAAAACTTTCAAATACCTTGCTGTCATCTATGTCATCTGACCTGGAGCTCAGAAGTATATTGCAGTCAGTTGTATTGCTCTGCTGGATGTAACCCTCCCTTATGGAGCGCCAAGGAGTCCCGTCGTCTAGGTCACCTGATAGCGAGGATGAGGTATGTCGCAGCCAGTTTCAGGTCTCTACAGGTGGTACAGCAGTCAAAATGCGCCAACTTGGCCGTCATACTCGTCACGGCCGTCATGGACCGCGTGCGGGCCGGCGTCGAGCTTGCGACCGACAGCGAGCAAAGCGAGGAGCCCAGAGGTATGTGTTACAGCCTGATGCAGGTCATTGATCGATGTAACCCTCACCCAAGGAACTCTAAACAGTCCAAGTACTTCGCTGTCATTAAGGTCACCTCATAGTGACAAGTGCGAGGAGCCAAGAAGTAATGTGTTACAACCTGATGCAGGTCGTTAATTGATGTAACCCTCTCCCAAGACGGGCTAAAGAGTCCAAGTGAACAGACGTTGCCGTCATTTACATTACCTGACAGCTAGCAGAGCGAAAATACCAGAGATAATACGCCAGTTGCAGATGTAAGGAGAGCCAATCTCTGCCAGATGTTTTAATAATCTAAATCTTGAAGTGTGTCTTGTACCCTCCTTCAAGGAACGCCAAAGAAGATGGCAATCGTTCCACTAGGCTGTACTGTGTCCCGCCATCAGTCAGGTCAACTGAAAAGGCAAGAGAGATTAGGCACATAATGGACCACACTATATTGGCATTATTTTTAAATTAATTTTTTTATCGTATTAATTTCTGTAATTTGTTGTTCTAGTGTGCCAAATAAATGTATTTTCTTTCTTTCTATTGCTTACACACGTAACAAAACAGATTGACGGCTAATACGTGTCTCTGTTACAAACACTCTTACGAATATCAAAAGAGTTTATACGCGATGTAATAACGATAACCATAAAAAGCCCTAAACAATGTAGGTTATTTGTTTTGTCCTCGGGCTCCTGGCCTAGTGCCCAATCTATCCAGCTCTAAAAGTTTGGTCTGAAGTATATAGAAACTGTAAAAATACTTGCTTTTTTATTTCTTGGCTATTTTAGTACGTTTGGACTGATATTGATGTTTTGGATGCAACCCAACATGTAATTATTTATGATGCTTAATCAACGGTATTATTAGCTTCTCTAGACTAGACACTAAAGTTATTAGTAAACAGACTGAATATTTGAAAGATTTCATATCAAAATTTTGTCATTTATGTTGTCTTGAAGAGATGGTACTTACACACTATTCATGTGACAAATAAGACACTTATTATATTGGATTTCTATAGTCATTCTACAGACACTTCTCCTTTTGCTTGCTGTTTATCAAAAATATTGCCATTATGACGGGGATGGCCTGTGTGGTTAATTCCAGAACCTAGCTCAAGCTGGTAGCCAAAAAGATTCGCTCTGAGACTTCATCGCCCGTTTTTTAGAGGAATGTTCAGAAGGAGATTCCAGTTTCAGATATTCCTTCTTCATATATCTTTGGTGGTAGGGCAAGCTATTTGGGACGTGTATTAGTGCCCTGTAGGCCTAGGATACTCCACTCCGCGATAAGCGATTATCACGTCATTTTATCGATTTTGCTCATACATTTTGACGTCGATAAAGTATTTCACGGCGCGCATCCTATCGCGGCTGGAAAGGGCCTAAGTACTGAATATAAAACTATTGCCCAATTTCACTATCAATCCCTAATTTTTAAGTACCCATATGGTAACAAATAACAGGAATTTTGTTGTCATAAGGGCATATGACGTTTTTCTAACGCTCAATTTTGTCCGACAGACAAACCCAAGCCGCCGAATGAGAAGCCGACGTTTGCCGACATCCTGACGTCAGACGCCGGTTTTACGGTTGACGTTTGGGAGCTACTTACCGACATTGAGTTTGTGCTTCTACACAAGGGCGACAAACGCTCCAAATGTATAGACTTGGTAAGTGCTAACATCATAATAAACAGCTACAAAATTGAATATTAAACGTTGTTAATAAATTAAAAATTCGTTGTTTGCGTTTGTTAGACTTAAATCTTGCCTCTACAAGACCGCATACTGAATGTTGGTAGTTGTCATTTTTACTCCCAACGCCTAGTCAAACGATTTTCCGTGTATGGCCCTGTAAGCAAAGACGACTTACTAAAATTGACCGAAATGCATAAATATGAGAAAAAAGCATTCTTGACGTTTTCTCTAAGGCGACGATATGCAGCATAAAATACAAAGTCATTTAAAGATCGTTTACAAAGAATTGCGATTAATTTCGGTATGAGACCTAAAGAAACTACTGCAGAAAAAGGAGCCTTTATAACGAAAGCTGTTTCTTCACCAGGCCAAGCAGACTCCTCTCCGCAACGGCTATCAGCTGGTGGAGAGGCTGCAAGGCCGCCTGGAGACTTCGCCCCGCGAGAAGAAGCTGTGGAAGAATGCCAAAGAAGTCGCCACACTGATTTCTCAGGTAAGAAGTCTTTCAAACTGTTAGCACCTGTTGTTTTTGTAGTCTAGTGGTATGATAGTTCAACCTCTTTCCAACAGGATTATCTTTGAATCTGTTTTTTGAATTTTTAATAAAAATCCAGGGATAGCAACAACAACGATTTCTCTTTGAATTCTATGAGTTAGTTTAATCAAGTGGTGTTTCCTCAACGAATGTTGGAACTAATTTGACTACAAACACTAGCCTCAAACAATGACACCAACGAAAGCACGTCGACAATTTGGTGGTTTTTTACCACTATAAAACTGCACCAAGCCTCAGCAACTTTTTCAGTCGGTACCACCTTTTGTCGCTGCGATGTGGTGTAGGTTCGTGAATATACCCTAACTCAGTATATTCAAGACTATTCCCATCTCTAGTTCACTCCGCTACAACTCCTGTAGCTAGGACCTACAGCTTGATCGCATTGGCGATCTTGACTTTCACTGGTTGGGTTTGGCCCAGAACAGACGGTGAAACGCAACTGCTAGTTACTTTTGAGTTGCATCTAAGTTTCTGCCATAGCGTCCGTTGAGAGACCACACATGACGCGACCAGTTTGAAACTTTCAGTTTCATTCATCAGAATCATCACAAAGTTGCAGTTTCGTTGCAGTTGCGTTTCACCGTCTGTTATGGGCCTTTGTCCTAAGTGAAAGTTGAAACTGTCATTGAACATGCAAAGAAATGAATCAGAAGTACTTTCGTAACTCAAAATATTCTCACCAGGTGGTGATAGCGCGTTGCATGGTAGTACCAGTGTGCAGCAACACAGCTCGCACGGCGCTGTACTGCTGCGCGCGCTCGCTGGCGCGCCTGCTGCCCGCCGCGCGCCTCGCGCCCGCCGCCGCCGCCTTAGCAGCGCCCGCTGCCACTGCGAGGCATCTGCACACGCTGGCTGCGGCCACGCAGGCGCAGGTAAGGACCTTATGTAGCTAGAATAGGATCGGGTTTGCAATGACAGCGGTAGCCACGCCCACCGCGCTACTCGGGCGCAAGTATGATCCTTTTGTAGCTGTAATAAAGGTTAGATTGCAATGTATGCGCGCCGCGCGCCTCGCTCCCGCGGCCGCCGCGCTCGCCGCGCCCGCTGCCGCTACGCAGGCGCAGGTAGGGACCCTAGTATAGTCGCATTAAGGGCGAGTTTGCAATGACAGCTGTGGGCGACTCAGACGCAGATACTTAGCCTTATGCAGCCGGAATAGGAGCGAGTTTGCAATGACAGCTGCCCACACCGAGTCTCGCCGCCGCTGCGCGGCACTTACATACGCTGGCTGCGGCGACGCAGGCGCAGGTACCTTGTGTAGCTGGAGTAAGGGCGAGATTGCATTGACAGCCGCCGAAACGCCCACCGCGCCACTCGGGCGCAGGTATTCAACCTTATGTAGCCGGAATAGGGCCGAGTTTGTAATGACAGCTGTCTCCCGCGTCTCGTGCCCGCCACTACTACGCGGCACTTGCATACGCTGGCTGCCTGCGTAGCCGCAGCCAGCATCTTATGTAGTGGGAGTAAGAGCGAAATTGCAATGACAGCCGCCGCCACGCCCACCGCTCCACTTGCTTACTTGCGCTCGCACACTCACTGCGGGCGCGCGTCGCACAGTCGCGGCAGCAATATAATTACGCGCGAGCGATAAGGATGGGTAGCTTGGGGTCATTGGACAAAATTCTACGTGCTCACGGACCAGGCTTTAGTGTCGTGTGCAGCAACACAGCTCGCACGGCGCTGTACTGCTGCGCGCGCTCGCTGGCGCGCCTGCTGCCCGCCGCGCGCCTCGCGCCCGCCGCCGCCGCGTTAGCAGCCCCCGCTGCCACTGCGAGGCACTTGCATACGCTGGCTGCGGCGACACAGGCACAGGTAAGGACCTTATACAGCTAGAATAGGGTCGGGTTTGCAACGATAATGACCTTCCGCGCCACGCAGGCGTTAGTACTGAGCGTTGTGTAGCCGGAATAGGAGCGAGTTTGCAAAAGCTGCCCGCACCGAGTCTCGCATCTGCCGCCGCTGCGCGGCACTTACATACGCTGGCTGCGGCTACGCAGGCACAGGTAAGGACCTTATGTAGCTAGAATAGGGTCGGGTTTGCAATGACAGCGGTAGCCACGCCCACCGCGCCACTCGGGCGCAAGTGTGATCCTTTTGTAGCTGTACAGCTGCCCGCCGCGCGCCTCGCGACTAGGCGACGCAAGCGCAGGTAAAGTTCTTATGTGGCTGGAAGTAAGGATGAGATTGCAACACCGCGCCCCGGCGCAGTAATGGCGAGTTTGCAGTAAACTTGTATCACCTGACGCGTCTCGCACTTACCCTTGCAGTGTCTACACTGGCGCAGGTACCTTGTGTAGCTGGAATAAGGGCGAGATTGCACTGACAGCCGCCGCCGTGCCATCCGGGCGCAGATATTTAGTCTTATGTAGCTGGAATAGGGCTGAGTTTGTAATGACAGCTGTCTCCCGCGCCTCGCGACCGCCGCTACTACGCGGCATTTGCACACGCTGGCTGCCTGCGTAGCCGCAGCCAGCATCTTATGCAGCTACGTAGGCTCAGGTAAGATCCCTAGATCTTATGTATTTCGAGTAGGGGTGAATTTGCAACGAATACATACCGTCTCTGATGCGCTGGCGCATTGCAACGAACACGTACCGTCAAATGCTAGCGCATAGGTGACTGTACGTGCTCGTCGCTATCTATATCGTGCTTGGAATAGGTTCGATTTGCAAACATAATAGTTTGATATCTTGAGCACGTGTGTTTCCCGTGGCCTACCTCCACTTTAATTAATGAACTCAATATGTAAGAAAGAACGAAACCTAACAAAAGTATTTTATTCCAGTGCCCATCGGACATGAAACCTTTTGTGTGTGAACTGTACGTGCGTGCCATAACAGCCGGCATGAATGAACTGGAGAGGCTCAAGTTAAATAAGGAAAAGGTAATATAATACTTTTAATCACCTCCAGTATTTAATTGTCCCTGTTTTGTGCTCATTTTATGTTTCACTAGAATGCGGGTTTTCGCGAATGAAAAATCCGCCAGATGGCAATACGTAGACGCGAGGTCCAAATGCTGCATGATTGGTTATTTTTGACATGACATTGTCAGATATGTCAAAATCCACCAATCACGCAGCAGTCTGACCCCACATCCACGTCCCGCCATCTAGCGGATCTTTCTTTCGCGAAAACCCTCATTGATTTAATATGTATTTCAAGATTTTGGTTTCATTTATTCGGCTTTGACTATTGGTGTCCAACTTGTCAGAAGTCGTTTCAAATGGCAATGCCAGATTTTGTATGGAAAGTGGCGTCTTTTTTTTTTCGCGCGGCCATCGACCAAACTTTGTTTTTTGATTACAAAATAGTATAATTAACCAAACTTACTATGGCATGTATACCTCTAAACTCAGTCTGAACTGAGTTACGAGCATTAGAAGTTTGATGATTTTCATACTATATTTGCTTTTTGTGCGCAAGTTTTGTAAGAAATTGCAACAAAATATTGCGCTATTTTTTATTGCGCTGATTCTGCTCCATATTGATGTCTGGAGCCTTTAATGGATGATATTGTTTGTTTACACATACAATCTCACTATTTTGTTGCAATTTCTTACAAAACTTTGCGCGCAAAAAGCAAATCTAGTATGAAAATCATCAAACTTCTAATGCTCGTAACTCAGTTCAGACTGAGTTTAGAGGTATACATGTCATAGTAAGTTTGGTTTATTACACTATTTTGTAATCAAAAAACAAAGTTTGGTCGATGGCCGCGCGAAAAAAAAAAGACGCCAATTTCCGGCATTGTCTTTTACAGAGAGAGGTAGGTATTAAAAAAAATTAAATGTGTCGTCACAGCATTCAACTTCTTTTAGTAGTTGTGCTTGGCCTTACTGTGCCAGTGTTTTTTGGCCTTACGGTGCCCTGTAAATCTTGCATTCATGTTTATTTTTTATAGAATCCTGTTATGTGTGTTTCTGTTTCAGCAAGCCGAAGCGCGTCTCCAAGAACAGATGTTGGCGACGTGGTTCACTCAGCTGGGGTCGCTCCTGGCTGACAGCTCGCGTCTTCGCTGCGAGTGCGCGTTGACAGCTTTCAGCGTGCATCCCGCGCCTGCTATGTATGCGCTCATACAACAGGCGCCGGCGCTGCCCCGACTGCACGCGGTGAGTGACGACATAATTTGTCGGCCGTTTGGTGTAGTGGTTCTAAAACTGACTACTATGCCGAGAGGTCCCGGGTTCGATTCCCGGCCGGGCAGAAAATGAAATGATGAATTTTAATTTCTGTGACGGGTCTGGGTGTTACTATGTATAATATGTATGTATTTAAAAAGTATATATGTAGTATATCCGTTAAACTAGCACCCATAACACAAGCATATTAATTGCTTACTTTGGGGCTAGATAGCGCTGTGTGAAATTGTCGAAAGACATTTATTGGGGAAATGTATTACCATATTTAACAAAATACACACAACCTTGTCGAATTGCCAATAAACAAATTTAAGATACATATAAAAAATACCCTTATGTCCAAAGGGTACTACAAGGTTCGAGACTATATTGATGTAGGAATTGAAACCCAGGTTGTATTTCTTCAGCTGTATTTGTATTTAATCCAGGATAAACCACAAAAAATAGGAACGTCTTAGAACCGTCTTAATACTAATCGTCTTCTGTTTAAATCCCCTCGTTCTTACTTCCTCACTCATTCACTCCGTCTCACTCACTCCCTTGCGTTCCGTTTCACACTCCCACACTCGGCCATCCTGCGTACAGTCCGCCCTCGGACTGTTTCATTTCAAAACTTTACATTAAAGCGTCTTATAACTAATCTTGTTTAATACAATTCTTATAATCATCTTTCTCGTATGTTCTAGCTTTCTTTCTTTTCTTGTTATAAACTCTAACACTTCCATCTTGAATTGTCTCCACACATTCTCTTGCCTTTTCTCTTAACTCTGGTCTTGTCTCGTTCATTCTTTCTACGTTTTCCTCTTCTAGCATCTTAACAAGTTCATCATCTCCTTTATTAATCCGGTTAAACAGTCCTTCTTTCCCTCCCTCGTGATTATCTCTTATAATTTCGTTCTGCGTCTTCTCCGGTACTACAAATAATAATTCATCTTCATCTCTTTCTTGGTACAACATGTCATTCTGGTAGGATTCTTTCAGTATCTGAATATGTTCGTCTTCATCTTGTGCTTTCTTCAGTCGTGCAGTCGTCTCGGTAAGTACTAAACAGCTTAGGACGTTGGCTTGTTTCATACGTGATACAGGTCGGTGTTCAATCTGACAGTCGTTACTTTTCTTTATTTCATCTGTAGGCTTGCAGTCTTCTAATATTTTCTCAATTTCAGTCATGTGTCTAGAGTCGTCTATGTCGTGTACTACAACTTGATCATCTTTTTCCAACGGGACAACTTCGGTCTGTCCGAGTCCACTCAACGTCAAACATCTTCCGTCGTCGTATTTTGGGGAGCCGATAGTTTTGTACACGTCTTCCGTCATGAGATTCACCTCGCTGCCCGTATCAATAAGACTCGCCGTAGTTATCGCGTTGTTGTCAATAAATTGAACTTNACTTCCTCACTCATTCACTCCGTCTCACTCACTCCCTTGCGTTCCGTTTCACACTCCCACATTGATGACAAGGATGTGTGGTCAGTTCAGTCTGCACATATTTGATGTACTTAAATTTGACTATTCTTACCGTTAGATAATTCCTGGCAATAAGTGGTGACTGAGTTTGTTCCGCCGTTTCTTCTCAGCACTTGCCATATGTTTGTCTCGAAGCGCTGGTAGGGCCCAAAAGATAAGGAGACATGTAAAGTGCCCCATAAGGGCTACCTTTTCTTTTTTTATTATTTTCTATTGACGTTCATAAGTGCCACTTGTGGTCTAAACTGAATAAATATTTTAGATTTTTGATTGATTTTTTTTGATTTTTTGTCGAAAGATATTTACATAAGCTCCCCTGAGTGACGTCATAAACGCCCCTGGATGACGTCATAAACGCCCCTGGGTGACGTCATAAGCGCCCCTGTGTGACCACAGCGACGTCACGTCCCGAGCGCAGACAGATAGCTTCACCGCGGTAGACCATCCACGTACGCGCTCATCCTGCGGTGCTGGTGTCTCGTGACGTCAATCATTGCGCGCGCTGATTTGGCAGTGACGGTGTCGCGTTAGTCTGACATCACACGGACTGCATCGCAGCTACCGCGCGCGGTCGATATATTTAACTGCATGCAGTAGTACGTTCGACTTTGTGCAGTCATGTTATCAACTGCACGCGGTCGGCTGCAGACGAGTGAAGTCAATATCAACTGTTGCAGTAGTGCCTTCAACTTCGCGCGGTCGGTTACAGTTGTGTAGTGTCACCGCATACTGTCCACCGCCGTTCGCATGCAGTTAGTTTTGGAGCCGAACGCGCGTTGCGTCAAATGGTTTGAAAAATGGATTTCGACACCGACTTCTTCATTTCTTTACGCTGCTAGCTTACATACCCTGTAGTTAATAGTAGTATGTAGTTATTCTATAACACATAATTGATCGCACCATTATTAAATTATCATTTTTATAACTTCAGGAGCAAGACGTGAAAGAGGAAACCACATCCGAATTCGGCAGTTGGGCCACCGACAGCCGGACTCAGTCCAACCTAGTCAAAACGTCCGAGACGCTCAACATCAAGCACACGCAGCACCAAGGCAACGTGCTGTCCACGGCCATACTAACGGAGGGCGAAGCCCTAGGGCTCAGTCCGGAGCTCTGCCAGGACCTGGCCGTGCTGCTGTCCGGGCCTAGAGTGAAGACGCTTTCGTGGGATATGGACAGGTGGGGTTTTGTAGTAATTTCATGTTATTTTCATGTGTTTATAGCCTTGAAAACTTTGAACTATGTCTCTTTAACTTAAAAGTTTGCTTATTTTTTTTTATTACATGATAACTTGGAAATTAAGTAATATAAAGTCTGTTCGCCGAGAGTTAATAAATATTATGAAATGTCTTGCAATAGCGACTGTCGCTTAATTATCGCATTCTGTATGGCGGGAGTCGTTTGTCACAACGCCCACTGAGTACCATGGTACGAGCCACGCAGTTGTCGTCAAGCGCCTCGGCCGGCGGGCCGCAATGTGTGAAACGGAATAGATTTATTTTACACTAGCTTTCCGCCCGCGGCTTCGCCCGCGTGGAATTTTGTCTGTCACAGAAAAACTTTATCGCGCGCGTCCCTGTTTCAAAAACCGGGATAAAAACTATCCTATGTTCTTTCCCGGGACTCAAACTATCTCTATGCCAAATTTCATCAAAATCGGTTGCGAGGTTTAAGCGGGAAAGCGTAACAGACGACAGACAGACAGACAGACAGACAGAGTTACTTTCGCATTTATAATATTAGTTGGGATAAGACCGAAATGAATTGTACGACAGTGGGTAGGGCTTTGCCCAACATTGGGATACATTATAAGCCACTTGATAATAATTAAATACTTTTTATCCAACACATGGACGCCACGTGTTTGATCCGTATCCCCACGTATGCCCTAACCAGAATAATTCCCGTAAATTTAAAAGAGATAATAATGATAATGTACCAACTTTTTCGTTATATCGACAAAAATAATTAGCGGGCCGCAATTTATAATGAGTTTAGAACCTCTGATATTTAATTTTTTTTATCAACTCTCGGCGAACAGACTTTAGTAGGTACATATTAACTACAATAATTTTGAGATGCATTAATTAATGTATAAGAAATATGTTTCCAGGTTTCCGTGAACACCTCGGTAGGTAAGGTCCAATGCTATCAAGATGTGATATCGATGTGAAAAGATAAATCGATATGAAAACCCAGATATAGATTTGCTTTATGTGGCTAAACTTGAGCAAGTTTTGTCAAATTAAAACAGGTGTTCTACAAAGAAACTTGTAGTTACGGGTATAGGGGTATCCGACTTTAGGGTTAAGCTGGAGGGAGGCATTTTGGTCGGGAGGGAGAGGAGGAATGTGTATAATAAATAAATAAATAAATAAATATCCTTGGACATTTTACACTGCGCTTCTAGTCCCAAACTAAGCAAAACTTGTACTATGGGTACTAGACAACGGATATAAACATACTTAAATACTTTTTTTTTTGTAAATACATACTTATTATACATAGAAAACACCCAGTCCAATACAAACAAATATGTTCATGCACACAATTTTTTGTACTGTGCGGGAATCGAACCCGCTACCTCCGGAATAGTAGTCCGTTTCGAACCACTACACCAAACGGCCGACAAACCGACGGTATTCAGGCCTGGAAGTGGGTATTTTCATTTTGGTCCGGAAGGGGCGGATTTCAGGTCATGGATGGGGCATTCTGGTCAAGAAGGGGGTAGGGATTCTTGCCTGAAACGGTAGGAGGGGAGCAACTCTCACTTTTTAGTGAACTTCCATGGCAGCTGCCTTTTCTTGTCACACCGTACGCTCATGCCTACATTGCCTACGTTATGAGTTATTTGATGGGCAATTATGTTAAGTTTTGTCTATTCTCTCGTTTCCAGGGAGGCCCTCATAGAAAACTGCCGGGCGTACATGGAGCGAACCCACGGAGGCACCCGAGCGTTGACGACTGAGCTCAAGTACCTCAACCTCGACCCGAGCTCGTATATGCACTTGCCAGAGGAAGACGACTCTGCTGAGAACGACGCCTTCTACGGGATTGAGAAAGGTATGAACTTCTTATTTATACAGGGTGTTAGGTAAATGGGTATATGAGCCGATACTAGCCCAGGTTAACATGGGCATATAAATGGTATGGTGAAGTCAGAAATTTGATATTGTCATTTTATTTTTTTTTAATTTTCACACAAAATACATTTTATAAAATCCGATTTGTATGAAAATTAAAATAATTAAAATAAAGATATCCATTTTCTGACTTCACCATACCATTTATATGACCATGTTAACATGGGCTAGTGTCGGCTCATATACCCATATACCTAACACCCTGTATTGATGACAAAACAGAATTGGAATAAGAGATATTTCAAATTAGATGTTTTGAGCAAAACGTTTGCAATACGGCACACTAAGGCTGATTTCATCATCATCATCATTTCAGCCATAAGACGTCCACTGCTGAACATAGGCCTCCCCCAATGATTTCCACAATGGCCGGTTGGTGGCGGCTGGCCGGCAAGGCTGATTTGCGCCACCTTATTTTAACTGTAACTACCGGTGTTTTTGTATGGAGTTTGACAGACTTTTGACGTTTGTTAAACTTACAGTAAAATGGTTCAATCCAGCCTAACTGTTGGAACTTGACATTGCTATTTCAAGACAGTTGTCATACAACTTTCTGTGTATTGTTTTCTCCTTAACTGATTTTTAACAACTGCCTTGGTTTCTGTAAATAGTAAGTCAATTTGTTGAAACTACATTTTATTAAAATGGTAATTTTGTTTATAAACAGGCTACGAACATCTAGTCGAAGTTCAAGAGCAAGAAGAAATATGGCAGGACGCTTTCTCTGACGCCGAGAGGACCGAGAGCGCAAGCTCGGGCTTCGAGGTCGTCCAAACCTCAGTCAAAAAGAAGAAGAAGAAGAAAGTCCCAGTACTATCCTCAGAAGAAGATTCTGACCCATTAAGTCTAGTCGCCGAAGCGAAACGCACCGAGAAAAAGACAGAACGGCCCCACAGCAAAGAGAGAAGTAAAGAGAGAAAGGAGACCAAAAAGAAACCCAAATCCAAAGACGGCTCAGAGAAGAAAGAAACCAGTCGCGAGAGGCGGAAAGATGAAACAGACCCCAAAGAGAAGAAAGAGAGAAAACCACGGAAGAAGAAGATCAAAGAAGAATTTCCCATGGTCGATTGCAAACCTGGCTCTTTGTCCAGCCTCATCGGCATGAAAGTGTCTAAAGTCAAATTACCTGAAGGAAAATACAGAAATCTGCCAGACATGACAAGAGTTTCCGCGCCTTGTTTCACTGATAGCGACTATGACAGTCAAGGGAAGTCCTCCCTAGCGTCTCTGAACTCTGAGGGCAACGACCCCGATGTACTATTCGATGGACTATACAATATGGAAGACTACAAGTCGCCGGAGAAAGGCGACCCGTTGGCCCTTAGAAACACATTCTCCAACAGCGAGATGAGTGTCGCCAATGGTCGGGTTGCTTTCAACACTACATCTAATAACCAATACAGGCTAAAAACCGGCCCCAGTACTGCAAATACGACACAAGATCTCAACTCGCCTGACAACGCAGCCATTAGAGAAGAAGTCAAGAAAAGTATATCGAGGCTCATTGAATTCAGACGCCAGAAGTCGCTTCTTGAAGAGACACAGATCTTAAAGTCTCTAGCAGCAAGTCCGGCCATGTCCTCGTACAGTGATAAAAGTGCATCGCCCAAATCTAGTCCGATTGTGAAACCAAACAGTGATAATAGTGCTTCAATAATTAAGTCTCCTAACGCGATAATTCGCCACGAGTGTCCCGAACCGACTGTGTTCAGTCCTAAGGCTGTGGAAGTCCCGGAAATACCCAAAGCTTACATTAACAAAAAGCAGGCTGAGACACTGAAAGAGCTCAAACATGAAGTCGACTCGATGCTGCACGCCCAATACTCAAAAAATCCAGTCATCCACTACGCTAACAAGTCAACTGTACAACCTAGTCATGAGTCATCACAGCAGTATTGTCCACAATATTCAAAATACGGAATCAGTCCGACCAGGTCCAGTGAGAATGTTCCCAACCCATTGGACGATGAGAAAGAACTCCAAAAGAATTTTCAAGATTTCCTTAGGGAGTTGCAGGAGTCGATAAACGCCGGTACAGCGGCTGGCAAAAAGACTACCCCTCCCAAAAAACCCCGAGTAAGGAAAGACGTGAAACCCGTTAGTAGGGTGACGCCAATCTCTCCACATTTATCCAGAACGGAACCTGGAACCTCATCTCAATGTGCCAAATCAACAATTCAGTCGACTAAGAAAGTTGACAACCAGCTGAATACGTTCGCGCGACTCAGCTACATGCATAGAAACAAACAAAGTGATATGAGACTATATAAACAATTAGCTGAATTAGGCTATCCCGAATATCAAGCAGCGGCCCGTCGTTCTGACGAGCAAAAAATCAAGTACCTACAAGCCAAAGGTGACATATCGATACTGAGAGTTGGCCAAACGCATGTTCCGCCGAAAGACGAAATTCAAATTACCATGCGAAAAGCAGAGAAGCCATCGTCGATTACAAAAGATCACCCTGTCATATCAAGTGTGCTGCAGGGAAAGTATGTGACTCCAACCAAACCCAAAAACGAGACCCCAGTTAGGAGTTTTCCATATCAGTCTGAAAAACCTGTAGCTAAAGACTCTGCACTCTCGGAGAAAGACCAGAACGATTTGCTGCTTTTGCTACGGCAGCAGAGCAAACTAAATAGCCCTGCTTCTTACATGAGCTCAGATCGTTCGCCGATCGTGAATAATCCGCAGTACCCTAAAATTGCTAGTACCAGTCATAGCACCTCTCAGAACCACAATCAAGTACCACTTGTCAGTAAGTCAGTTATCAGAAGTCCGTCAACAGAAAGAAAAAGTACTAGTGTTCAACAATATGAAGGTTGCAGAATTATGCACTGTGAATCCTCACCGGATACGCGTACCAAACCCACAGACAGTAAATCATGTAACTTTAGTAAGACCACGATTAGCAAGAAAATAGATGCTACAATAAGCAAAGCGCTGAATATTACGCTTCCGGAGGAGACAGACATCAGTTTGAGTCCGAATGACAAATCGCCTGATAGTATGCCACAGAGTGTAGAAAATAAAAAACCAAAGAATAGTAAAAAATCTTCAAAATCTTCTGGATCTTCAAAGAAATCTAGCATACCAGTTGCTAAATGTGACACTAAACATCTGTATCATCATCCCGAACCGAGTCCGAATAAAACTGAACCACAGGATTGGGAGAGTGTTATGGATGCACTCTTATCACATAAGACTCCTAGTTTAGGACCCAATGCCCTTGCCGTGGCGTTGAAAAAAGACAGCTATGCAAAAACCGCCTTGCGAAATCAGAGGATCATAAGAAAGAAAGAACTGCAGTTTATGCATAAAGACCCACCTAAAACGCAGGAACCAGCGCATAGCGAAGCAGTTACGTCGACGGTTACAAACGATGGCCCAGCAGAGCAGACAACAGTGACTGACTTGAGTATGAAGAAGACAGCGCCGAATGACAGCAAAGCACCAGTGGAACCAAAAGGATCCTCCGAGATTCAAAAGACATACCCGTGCCCAGCTTTCAAAGAAAAAGACCCGTTCATATCTGGCATACCTAACTCAGACTACGATCTCCTAGAGGAGTTGATGGATGACGAACTTAGAAAAGAAATAGGTGAGCTGTCGTCAGATGATGACACATACAAAACACCAGCGGCTAGCAGTACAAAGGTCATTAAAATGGCCCCCAGTGCAAAGTATACTAATGTGATCAAAAGTGTACCACCCAAGGATATGCAATGCGTTGAACCGCGATGTGGCACTTCCAATGTGAATCAAAACGCTCGCGAGTCTATCATTCAAAGTAACAGGCGAATAATCAAGACTTACGAAACGGCCAAAAAGAACAACACAACAAAATCATCAGAACAACCAATGAACATCGTCAATACCAAACACAAAATTGACATAAAACCAAATAAACAATCACTTCTCAAAGTACAGGCACCTGCGACCACCGTGCATTCTCAGCCCCAAACTGTGGAGCCCCAGGCTTACGACAGCACTAAGAATACGAGGGCTCACATCAACATCGTTGACGCGAGGAATATATTGATCACAGCGCCTAAGCCGGCTGCTAACAAACCAGTCACGACCACGCCTGTCGCAACTAAGCCAGCTACGCCCAAAGTGGTAGTGCTTGGGTCTGAAGTACTGTACAATCCTTATGTGGCAGTACAAACGCCAATACAAACTGGCTTATGTAATATCAATCAGACTCCGTACGTCGCACTGAATACGACTTCGCCCAACATCAAGATTTATCAAACGACGCAGTACGCAGCGCCGGTAGTTAACCCGGTAATCATCGGCAATACTATGACTATGCCATCAGCAGAACCTGCACAAACCATGCTGTCACCTAACCAGACGCAAGCTAAATCTACTAGTCATTTTGAGTTCCCTGTACCCCACGATTTACCACAAAATAGCTCGAATGTGAGCCTAGACACTACAAATTATGATGAAGGTTATACGAACCTAATAAATGAGACGAATGTCGACCAACTTCTTCAAGCTCCTAAACCACAACCAGACGTCAACTCTGAATTACACGCCAAGACTAATCTAGACTACAATTACAATAATAACTGCGAAGTGCAAGATACTCAACCGGTCAATCTTTCCAAAACTATAAATGACCCGAAACAAAGATATGAAACTCAGATTGTGTTACAAACTCAAATCCAGCCAATTTTATACAATCGTGTGGAAGAGGATAGCGAAAAACCTAATGACGATGAAGAGCTCGCAAGGATAATGGTCAAGCGTTTGTCAATTATTGATAGGCAAATATTACATCGATCAAATGCGCCTGCCATTCCACTGGGCTATGCACCGTTAAATCCGCCTCAGGAAGAGGTGCGCGTTTTAAGCCAAGAGAAAACTGATCTTCCTGTAACTATTCCTGATTTAAGTAACGAAACCATCGTCAACGATAAAGCAAATGCTGAAACAGTACTTAATACCGAAATTGTTACCACACAAAAAGCCAGTGAAAGTAGCAAAGAAAGTGACAATAAAATACCGTGTCGACGCATACTCCTTCGTTCGTCTAACGATCTCAAAGCGATTACAACATCAAATCTTCAAGATCAGCGCAATCCGGTAGGTCGAAAAACCAAAGTGAGACTCAAATCAGAGACAGTAACAGAAAATAAGGATGCAGGACAAAAAAATGCAAATGACAAAGATGTCAAGGAGAAAGACATTGATTCACCAAAACGCATATCTAAGAGAATACTTAATAAAAAAAGTGAAGCTTCCCAAAAAGATGAAATAGTCGAAGATACTGCTAAAAATACTACTGAATCAACCCCAATTCAAACTAAAAAACGTAAAAAGAAAATACTGAAAGCAAAAAAACAAGTCATTGTTGCACCAGAGGAGATCAAAGAAAATATACAACAAGAAACGGTGGTGGAAAACGCGATTGTCGCTCCACCATCGGACAAAACCGTAAAAACTCAAGAAATTCAACCTAGTGTAATAGATACTGATACGTGTGATATTACTGATAATGGATATGACATGGACATAGAAGCCGCGTTATTAGGATCAAAAATACCAAAGATACCAAGCCTCATTACCGAATATATTTCAAAAAACGAGGCTGATAGTACTCCAGAGCCTGACGTAAAAATAGCTCGTCCGGTCAGGAGAAAGAGGAAGCCTAGGAAGTTCAGTGATCAAATAACCGAAGATGATGATAGTTTGACAGCATCCTCAGATAACCTTAATGATGAGTCCCAACAAGTAAACGACAGTATATCACCGTCTGATAAGGAACCAGGAAAGACTGGCGTTACCATATCAATAATAAGAAGCAAGAAAGGTAAAGGAAAGACTAGATTTGGCATCAAATTGATTAATTCGCCAATTAAACCTGTAGTGCAATCAGCACGTCCTAAGAGGATCAAAAATACAAAGAAGAAACAAAATTCAAAAACATCAGAACCTACAAATATTGCTGATAACTTACCTGAAACATCTGAAGTAGTTAATGACACTGAGACGACACAGCATGAAGGTCGCGTTATCAAAGTCAAAAAATCACATAAAAAGCAAGCGCCAGTATCGTCCGGTACTACAGATAATGTTCCACCCGAAACGATAACTCATGCTGAAGCAAGGTCCAACAGTGAAAAAGTTGTAAATTCTCATAGTGGCATAAAAACTAGGCGATCAAAATCAAAAGAGATTCATCAGACTGAATTAAATTCAGAAATCATTAATAACGTAGATACTCCACAAAATAACTCGGAAATTGCTAGTGTTTCTAGTGACGTGCCATCTCTAACTTTCACAGGTGTTAGCGTTGCGACACCCTTGACAGAAAGTGTTACAAATGAGAGTAATATCTCGCCGAAAATTTCTAAGCAGAAAAAGGCTACCAAAGAAGTAGCACCGGTCCAGCAAACTTTGACACCGATAACCACTGCATTGAATATAGATACGAATTTGGTCACCGTTACCAATGATAGCGTTCAGCCGAAGGTAGTATCGCCACTGTCACAAAACGCAGTACCAAACAACATCACACGAGAAACAATTGAAGAAAAATCTCCTGGAAAAAGCGTTCAGCCGAAGGTCGTATCGCCACTGTCACAAAACGCAGTACCAAACAACATCACACGAGAAACAATTGAAGAAAAATCTCCTGGAAAAACTACATCCGAAACTCATGATTCTTTCATGGATTTAAAGGATAAGATCTCAATTGAAGAATTGCCACCACCTCCAAACGATCCAACAAAGAAATGCGTTCGCATCAAGCTACCAAACGGCAAGACTTTCAAAGCTACTATATTCGGCAAGATGCATGTCAGTTTCGAGTCCATATTTTCAGATCCAGCGCTCAAATCGACTTTGCTGACAAACTTGAACGAAACTAAACGATACACTGTGAATATAAAGCAAGTCTCGACGACTGCCAAAGACAACCCTAGGAAGATTGTTGAGGCACACATAGAAGAGGTCAATATACAAACCAGAGAGAAAGTACCCATAGAAACTGTTAACTTATTGAGCGACGATGAAGAGGACAATAAATCCGGTAAGATGCAGATTTATAAAACGGAGTTTGGCGAACACAAGGCAGTAGCCATAGATGTAAATGACTACAAAAAGCATCAAAACAAATTAAAAACGAAATGTTTTGTAAAACTAACCAAATTGAATGAACCTGAATCAAGTATTGGTAATGAAGAACTCACTAACTTATTGCCTCACGACTTGGATGAGATGGTAGAAGTGGGCATTCTGGATAAGATTATGGAACGTCCTAACACCAGCTCTTCTGATGAAGAGCTTCCGCAACTTCTCCCTTGCGACTTAGATGGGTTGGAAGTCGTGAATAGTCCACATAAAGTTGTGAAACCTCCTGTCTCAAGTACTCCCAACGAAAAGCTGCCGAATCTACCGAAGGTTACGCACGACTTTCGTGTTATTGACAAAATTAAGAGATCCATGGATACTGCTGCTAAAGTAGATTTACCGAATGTATCGCTCAGTAGTAAATTAAACCTAAGCGTAAGCAGTCCTATTGTAATAGACGACGATGATAAGGATGAACCTATTGCGCCGCCCATTCCAATGGCTAAAGTGCTAATACCGGATGTCATAGAAATTGACGATTCTTCTAATGACAGCATAAATGCTCCAGAAACTGACACAGTCATTTCTGAAAATGAAATAAACAAGGTAGTTGAGACTGCATTGCAACTACCATTACCACAAATACCTAGTTGCTCGAACGAAGCTCTTAAAATTCAGGACGAAGATATAGACGAATTGAAGAAGCTACTATTAAAAGATCTTGGCGTTGATGTTTCTAATGTAGAAGATAAACAAGAAAATGTTGAGTCTTCTGATGAACCTGCGGTGATGGAAGATTTAAAAGGAGACCAAAAAGCCCCAATAGAAACTAAAGAATGCTTCGTGAGGCTGGAAAACTGCGATGCATTAGCTGACGAATATGAAAAGAAAAGAATAATCAAGCAAAAGGTTGTGGTTGATCTCATTAGATGTGATGATTTAATTTCTATGTCATCGGTTGATGCTACTGAAGATAATGATTCCGTAGAAAATTGTTCAGATGATTTAATAGATTTAGAAGCTGTAGATGCTAATAGTAGTTTTAATTCTGATTCTGAACCTAGGAGGAGATCTAGAAGTGGGTCATTCTCCTTATTAGAAACATTCCCAGATTATATTGACGAAAAAGTTGAGTCATCTTGTGAATATGGCAGGAGTTCGCCTGTAATGGATGTTTTTGACACTATAGCTGCTTTGAAAAGATTGCAACACTCAACTACGAATGATTTAAATGAAAAGTTGGATGAGATGTCTTCTGACATCTATGAATATGACAGATCTTCACCCGTGATGGAGGTTTTCGAAACGATTGCATCTTATCAAAAACTTCTCGACGCAACATCTACTAAAGACATGGTTCTACAAAAATTGGATTGTTGCTGTGAATGGTACATTACAAAGCGTGATCTACACTTGGCCGGTGAAAGAATTGAAGCTATTGTAATCAAATATTCAGATATCTCTGCTGAGACTGGAGATAACTCGCTTGCTACGATTCCCGAGACTTCCACTCCCGTCGATCAATCTTCTGAGCTGACTACAGAAGTTGTTCCAACGCTGAAGACGCTTACTTCAAAATTGTTCTTAACTGATCAAATTCTAAACCGACTAAGGCCTTACAACTTAAAAAGGAAACTACGCAATGCTGATGAGAGGGGTGTTGCCAATAAATTATTGAAGGTTGTGATTAACATTCCATCAAAATTAAGCGAATGCATTGATGTATCTAAGGGTACCATTACTAGTAAGGCTCCAGATGACAATACTAACCTGCTTGTACCGCCGCAAGGTGTTCAAAAGTCAAAAGAAGTTGAGTCTGATTTACACGATGATAGCCTTATAGACACAGAAGAGTCGGCTCAAGATCACTGCCAACCTGCAGTTCAATTATTAGAAAATGCCGTCGAAGACCAAACAAATTACTCAAAGGATATTGAGTTCGATGAAACAGCAAGTGACTTAAATGTCGACCACAATCTTGATTCATCTGAAACCATTGATAATACAGTTCATCAAGACGAAGAACACAAGACTGAAAAGTTATTTGATGACATCCAAAAGGATCATTCAACAAATGACGACCTAATCAATGACTCAATTAGAGAAATAAATACTTCAGACGTAAAAAATATAGAAAGGGTCAGTGAAAATGTACAAGTAGATTACGAAGAGACTGAAACTACACACAATGATGTTGACGACACGTCAGATATTTCGATATCTTTGCTTGATGAAGTAGTGAATTTGGATAATAATAGTGAGATTGAAGTCAAAATTGCAGACAATCTTAGTGAAAGTCAACAAGTAGATGTCTCAGAAACTGTTTGCCAAGAAGTGGATTTGAAAATTGAGAATACAAATAAAGATGGCGAAAATATTTGTGACAGTCAAATGTCCAGTACTGAAGAACTTGGTCAAAAGTATGCTGAGGAATTGCCAAATGATTCAGAAACTTTGACCAATGGAAGTACAATCTCGAAAACTGGCATTGAGGCAGAAAGTAATGATACAGAAAATGTCAAAGAAAATCAACGAGTGTTTGGTACACAAAATTACATTGATAAATTACCAGACGTCACAGAAACAGTATGCGATGAAACAACAAACTCGAAAGACGAGACTAGCTTGAAAAATGAAGAAATACACAGTGAAATCCATACCGTAGACTCTGAACAAACTGTAGAAACACAAACTTATGTTAATCAGGTGCCGGCTGTTTCAGAATCAATGAACGAAATTAGCGACGAAGTAGTTGATATCAAAAATAATGAGGAGAACCTATCAGATACCCTCGAAATTACACCAATACATGATTGCGATAGTCCAGATTCCCAAATATCTAATTTGGATTATCAAGAAATCACACCATCCAACACTGAAATGGAAATTCAGGCCGCTGATGCCAACAAATCTACTCAAATTGAAGATGAGAATACACCTGATCCTGAAGAAGTGTGCGTTGAAATTCCAAAAACTCATGAAATTGAACAAAATGTGGCAGAAGAGCAACACATTGTAGAACCAATGCAAGTTTTGAATGAAACTGAAGAAATATCCAGGGAAACCCACACACCAGAACATCTTGAAGAAATGCCTGACGAGCCAGAAACTTCACGTGTAGAAACGGTTGATACAAATGAAGTTTCAGAAGCTGCAGGCGATGATAAAATTGCCCCGACAACTGATAATTATCGAATGAATACAATCGAACATGTTCAAGAGTATGTCGAGGAAACAACGATATCAACGGATTGTAGTTTCGAAGAAAGTCATTCGACTGGTAACGAAACAGTTCAAATACCAAATTGTGATGGAAAGACACAAGAAACTTCAAACTCTGCCAATATTGTGGAAGACCAAAATAAAACGCCAAAAGTAGAATCAATGATTGTTTGCGAAGGAGTAGATTCTAAAGTTGTATGTGAAAATAGTCCAATCGATTCTCAAGAAGTTGTTCAAACATTTACAGATAGTATTCCAGAGCCATTACAAATTTCTAAAACTGTTATTGACGAAATAGTTGACTCAATAGTTAGTCAGGAAAATCATCAAACTGATTGTAACCTCATGAATGACACACAAGAACAGATTGTAGAAGTGTCTGAATCGCCATATTCGGTGTCGGAAGAGTCCCCTGAAATATGCAAAGAAACAGTTGATTTACCTTCTGAAAATGAAGATTTGGAAAATAATTCCAATAATAATACGCCAGATTATGATGAGACGTTGACTGAAGTTCTACCAGAAAATTGTGACAGTAATACAGACTCAAATACAGAACTGGTTCTTAACGACACAATTCCCAGTCAAAATAACAACGAATTAAATAACACAAATGAAATATCACAACGAACATCTTGTGACATGATTAAAACAGATCTAGGTGAATGCAATAAGAACCAAATCCAGCAAAGTAATGATTGCGATTTAACCGTTAGTACCACCGACATCACCGATATTGTGAGCATGGACAAATTACCTGATGAGGACGTTATTACACTACAACAGAATAATAACAGCCAAGAGCTATGCACAAGTGTTAGAGAGACAAGCTGTGATAATAATACTGAAAATGTTGACGCTGAACATAGAAATAGGAAGGTAGAAGAGGATATTGCGTCTGAAGAACTAACGGAAAGCTCAATGGAAGAAGAAACTAAAAAGCCTGAAGAACTTTCAAATGATCGAAAGCTAGCTTCACCTGGAAAAAATGAAAGTCAAGAGACATTCGACAATCATGGTGAAATAAACATTGAAGTTGAAATACCGGGTAAAGATACTCATGATCTACCTGATAAGCAAGATACATGTGCCCCAACACCTCCCATTAGCTTCGAGTACCAAATTGAAGTTGAACACTATTCTGAAGAATCTGTAGACAACAGTTCTATAGTGAATGAGCCTAACAAAATTAGCCCTGTCATATTGAACAACTCGGATGTCGAAAAAGAAATTGTCATTAGTGACGTAGATGCTAATGCCGATGCAAACGATTGTCAAGATTCTATTATCTTGCCACAAATGGTAACTATAGAAGATGTAAGCAGAATAACCAAAGCAGAAGAAGTGAATAGCCCGTATTCACAAAGTACCGATGCCAAAGATGAGAGCGAAACTGAATGTGATTACGACAAGACCCAAAACATACAACTTTTAGATCACGGCTATGCCTTCATTGATTCGCCTTTTAACAGAGAATGTACAACGGTCATTGAGACAGAAGTTTCTGAATTTTGTGACATAAGCCCAATACATAGCGATGACGAAAAAGATAATAACGAAGTCATTCTAAATGGCATAGAATACGAATTTCCAGATGTAGGCACCTGCTATGTTTTCCCCATTGCCGAATCTAGTGCATCTTATGACAGCGACATTTATAATGACAGCCCGGAAGAAATAATCCAAGTAACACAAGAAATCTGTGAAGATGGTAGTGTTGACAATGTGATAGAAACTAAAGAAATTGGCGTCGAAGAACCATTCCTGAAACTGATCATACCTAAACATACGTACTCCAATATGTCCAGGAAGGACTCCAAATTGTTCAAAAGATCACTCAAGCGCAAAATTGATATGTCAGACATTAGAATCGGCAGGAAAAGATATAGGAAATCCAAAAATATTGATTACCCAAGGACCACCGCTTCGGCCATTTTAGATACGGCTTACAGCAGAGAGTACAAGGGAATATTTGATTACTGCAGCTCGTTAAAGTTTTCATATTCGCAGCCGTTTCACAAAGAGTTTGTAGATGTTGAGGAGATTGTAAAAGATTGGCCTCTAAAAGGAGAATGCGTAAGTGATTTTCAAGATCAAATTGAGAGCAACGATCTACTGTTTTGTGATTTGGATATCCAACAATATGATTTCACATTAGACCCAATGCAACAAACACTGGCTGAAGAACTATGCGCAGAATACACAGAATCGGATCTGCCCAATAGTAGTGTCACCGAAACCAATTTCAATATGGGTTTTGGTGAGAGGTCCGACAGAGTCATACAAAATTTGGAAGATGTAGGTGACGATTCAAAATTTTCGGCTGCGACTCTGTCGGACGTAAAACAACCTCAGCCGTTTTTACTGTCCGAAGATTATGAAACCAATCAAATAGAAACCAGTAATACAACAAGGGAAGAACAAATAAAGCAGTTAAGGCGTTATATCACTTACATTGAAATGAGAGAAAAAGTGCGGTCGTTCTTCAAGAAAACAACAGCTGAATTGAAATATGATTGGCTGAAGAAAGACAAGAAGTTGGATAATACTGAAGGCAGGGAGCTGACAAGTTTTCCATTTGAGCTTTATAATGCGACAGATTTTTTGGAGATACCCCCAGTTAATGTGTCTGTACAAGTTGTTCAAGTGGGACAGCTGCCAGTTAGTGCTGCAGCTCAAAATCCGGTGACTTGCGACCCTCGGGTCACTCAAGTGTCAGACGCCAGTCCCCCACAATGCTCTGCAGAAAATAGCCCTCAAGATGATCAGCCAACGATCAAAACGGAATACACAGAATTGACTACAGCGGAATTGACTTTACCTTTAATGCAAAACTACGCGGCGGAACATGACCATGACCGTGTTCCACATCTCTCGACTCTGGAAAATATTCCGATTGAAACTGAAATTAAGATAGAGCTAATGGAAGAAACAGAAGTGAAGGAAGAACAATGTGACACGTATGATAACAACCACTCTCCGAGTATGGACAATCAATATTTAAACGACGTGGATTACTCGTTTGCTCCTCATGCTCCTAATGCCACTCCTGTTTTGCAGACTGATCAGGACTATCAAGCTTTTTATAATTCAAAGCATGATACATACCCAACTCAATTGCAGTACCCAACACCAGTGCAACCGACACTACAAGAACTCGCAACACAACCAGAATACCCGCAGCAAGAATACCCAACCAGAGAAGAATACCGAGCTCAACAAGAATTCTCAACACAAGGGGAATACACAACAAAAGAAGAATACCCAACACAAGATGAGTATCCAACTCAAGAAGAATACCCACCACAGACCGAATACCCGCCACAAGTAGAATACCAGCCACATGAAGAATACCGGCCGCAAGAAGAATATCGGCCGCAAGAAGAATACCGACCGCAGGAAGAATACCGGCCACAAGAAGAATATCGTTCACAAGAAGAATACCGTTCACAAGGAGAATATCCGCCACAAGAACAATACCCGACACCAGAAGAATATCCATCAGAAGAAAAATACCCCCAACAAGAAGAATACGCGCCACAAGAAGAATATCCGCCACAGGAAAAATTCTCGCGTCAAGAAGAATACCCAACGCAAGAAAAATACGCCACAAACGATGACTACTCGCCACGAGATAAATACCCAACACCAGAAGAATATCCGACGCCAGTAGAAGAATTCTCAGAAGAACAAGATTATTCAATACAAAATTACGCAATGAAAGAAAATTACTCTACAAAAGAAGATTACTCTACAAAACAGGATTACTCTACAAAACAGGATTACTCAACAAGACAAGATTATTCAATACAACAAGAACCACCAACCCAGGAAAAATATTCAACACAACAACAACAAGAAAACCAAACACAACAAGAACCGGAATTACAACAAGAAATGTCAACACAAGATCAACCAACGCAAAAAGATAATTCAACGCCACAAGAACAACCAATACAAGAACATCCAGCGCAAGAAGAAAACCCAATACAAGAACAAACAAAGCAACAAAATGGTTTGCCTGAGAAGACAGACCAAATTGCGTGTGCTATGAGTGCAGCGGGTATTAGTGCCACAGCTGAGACTATTGCGAATACAAGAGCTCAAGCCCTTGTTAATATTCTATCACAAAAGTTGACTACAAATAACTTCGCTAAAGCGACACCTATAAGCGCAGTAGCATTACAGCAGGCCTTGGCGCAAATCCTGCCACCGCCATTAAATCAGACAAATTCCACCGAAAATAATCAGCAAAACCAAAACGCGTCGGCCACCCCACAAGTGTTACACATCGTTCAAGGGAAAAACGCTTCTGGAAACCAAATTACTTTAGTTGATAACTCACAACCATCAGTTATCAATGGACCTAACGCTACGCCTGTGTTACACATCGTGCAAAATAAGTCTGGTACTACTGGTGCTACTTCTAACGGTGCTACTACACAACAAACTAATTCCTTCAGTGGCATATCCCTTGTAGACGCGGGCTTACAACAAGGCGGCAACCAACTACTCCATATCGTTAATACAGGAAACCAAAAGAACAGCAATGCGACTGGACAACTTTTGAAGAGAGTAAACTTGTTGACAAACCTCGCGAATGTCCAGGGTTCGAATGAACAGAAAATGGTACAGTTCGTGTGTAAAGACGGCAAAGCTATTCAGCTGAATGCGCCTCATCAGCGAAGCATGGTGCTAAGACTGCAACCAATAGAAACTCCGAATGTTCAAAACAATGTTCAAAATACACCTAAACCAGCTGAGAACCAGGACTTGAGTCCCACTTCTGCCGATGCCAATCAAGAAATTAAGTCACGCTCGGTATATGAAGAAAACTACGCCCAATTCATTCAGAACTCCTCTACTAAAACCACAGTACCGGAAAAATCTACCAGCCTGCCGAAATTTAATCAAGCCTTTGGAAAACCAGTGTTCCAAGATGGCAGCGAAAAACCGAACGATATAAATGCTAACAATACTCATTTATCTGTGAACACAAATTCCGAAGGCGAATGCCAGTCATCAGAAAATGCCATGAATCTTGATCATATTGGCCAGATCGGCAGTCCACCATTGTTGTTACGAAAATCCGCGCCAACATCTCAACCTCAAGCGAACTTAGTACAACAAATAAAACAGTCGATGACTCCAGTTAACTTGCAAACAATGCACGGAGGAGTGATATACACCAGACAAATTCCCGTTAACATCGGCGGGGGACAGACTATCAATTTAATTACCGTGCCGAGTACTGAATTAGTTGATGAATCTGGTCAAAAACAGCAGCAAGCAAGCACCCAAAATGAAATTGAGTCGCCGATCATAAAAATTGTGCCTCAAAAAGCATCTGGCAGCGAGGGATCTTCTGAAGATGGGAACGCGCAAATGAATGGGCAAAATGAAAGTAATCCAAATCCACAACCTCAACCACAGCCGGTTTTAACTCAAATGCGTATAAAGCTCCCGATGCTCAGTAAGACGCCCCAAATGGTGTCCGGTGGGAGAGTAGTAAGACCGTCCTTTTTCCAGATTCAAAGGAACGTGATTGGGGGCGCTAACCAACCTGTTTATCAGCAGCTAGTATTGACAGCGGCCCCTCCCCTTGGCCAAACTATTAGGCTTCCGCAAACTCAGACAAGTCGACAAGTCAAAGTCCCGAATGAAAACCAGTCGTCACCAGAATCGCAGATGAGTTCGTCTACTCTGGAGCAGCTGAGAGAATTCGACATGGTTCTAGAGCAAGTGAAAGAGAGAAGCAGTGTTCCTCCGAACTCAAACTCGAGTACTACGTTTCCCAAAATGCACACACCACAGACTTCGGATACAACTGACGGGTCATCGTCTGCGAGCTCATCGTCACCAACAGAGGCTACGCAACAGGTGTTATATTCGATTGGCAACAACCACCAGCAATTGAATGTAGCATACGTTAATCGAAAAGCATCTGCATCGACACCAAGCACATCTTATGTCAGATCACCGGACTCATCTGGGATGGTAGATTCTCCCACGTCTTCGACTCACTCTCAAATACCACACACGGTGACGTCAGAACCATCACACTCGGAAACACCACCTCAACCTAAGCCGAAAAGTTCTAAATCAAAATCGCGGCCTAAGGCGTCATCCCATCCGCCTAACACAATGAAGATTACCGTTCCACCAAAAACATCTACTCAGAAACCGCTCGAAGACGAACAAACTACACAAAGGATACTTTATATCTTGGCAGAGTATAAAGAGCAGGTAGAAAACTCACCTGATAAAGATAAACCAGCACCGAGGAGGAGGACTAATCCTCCTTCGAATCCCTCTGGTTCTCACAAGCGCAAGAAGAGTTCAAGTGGATCAAGACGCCACGGTCGTGAGCTCAGTCCGATCGGAGACGACACGTGTAGAACAATGGGCTCTGAAGACAGCAGCTGTGGTACATCTCAAGGGGACTGCAACGAAAGCTGCTTAGATAGCCATTCGCCTCAAGATAGTCCGCGGAAAGTGGTCCGCAAACTGTCGTTCGAGCACGAGATTCCTCCGCAACAACAACCGCGGCCGCAGCCGCAGCGAAACGTCATCGTCGCTGACGGCCAGACGATCACCGTAGCGCGTGGTACAGCAGGAAAACCAGCGACAGCCGTTCTGATGCCAGCTAATTACATCCTACCAGTGTCTATGGTCAAAGGGGGTCAACAGATCGCTATAGTCACGAACCGCGGGCCGAAGTTGCTGACTGTTAGCGGGGGTGAAGGTGGGGCTACAAATGCGCTTTTGCTGCAACGGCTGATTGGCCCGGCTGGGTTGAAGCCGGTTTTGACAAGGCCAGGAGTTCGTCATGTCAGGCTCCCGACAGCAGCGCTGCATAACCTTCAAGCTTTCAACTTGGCTACTGCTACGGCTGCCCAGCCTCCCGATAGCACCGCGTCACCGGCGCCGGCGCCGACTCCTCCCGAACTAGTGGACACTCGGGCGAACAGTTCGCCGTGGACTGACCGGGACGGGAGCGACGTGAAGCCGGAGCGAGGTTCGAGCCCGGAAGGGTCAGAACCGTGGCACCTGCCCACTGGTGAACCCCACGACTATTCTTACGAAGAGACAGTTCGGGCGGACAACCTCGGAAGGACAGTGCTGGTAAGTATTATTTACTTGTATTTAGTACTTGTTTGTGGAACCATCAATTTATATGTCACTTATTTATTACAAGAGTTACGCTGTTTAAAATGGACTCGCAATGATTTGTCTTTTATTCACTTCCAATTTCCACATTTTGTCGAATGTTGGTTATACCGAGAAGTAATGTCACATGCGATTCATTTTATCCTAAGCGTAAACTTGTAGTATCGAAATATGCTTGTTTTTAATACTATATCTAAATACTTGATGGTTCTTACACACTTATAACGTGGCTCTGACACATTTTGACGCTTCAGGACCCGATCCAAGATCGATACAGTCCAGATATGGAGGCGCAAAGGATATTTGATAAGATGTTCGACGTTGAGTCGAAAAAGTCGTACTTGGGCGATTCGCCGCGTTGCGTTTATGACATTGACGCGTCCGATTGCGATGATAAGCCCTATCATCACCAGGTGATAATGTCGTAGTGTTGGCGCTGCCCGTTCAACTAGTATGCCTATTTTGTAGAACGTGCACGCCTCGATTTTTTTTGTCCGGAACGCCTTATTCATAACTTCATACTTTGATGACAGACTACACTAAAATTGTTGAGAATTGAAACATCACGGTATGTTGTTTATGAATAAAGGCCATCGTTATGTGCTGATGCCTTTTATCTTCACCCAATGTAGACGCGACAATATAACCACAGTAATATACTTAGTTTCGATGGATTACTGAGAGATTTACATCCTTCAAAAATTTTACACTTTTTATTTAAATTACATTGAATAAAAAATACTAATAGGCGTTTAAAAAATGTCTTCTGTCAAACTAAATAGTCTAAAGATAGAGAGCGAGAGAGAGATATCAATTGAAGTTACTCAGGAGCTTTGAACAAAAATATTATTAAACCAAAGCATAACAACTTGACTGTAAAACATAGACAACAACGCAAGGCTTCAATGCTTCTTATTTTGCGTTAAATCTGTGTTAATTGCTACAATAACACAATAATGTCGCCTCTATATTGCTGGCATTTACCACAAACGATTTCACGGACGTGTTCTAGGTCTTATATTAATTGCCCCTTCTTCATTTGAGTCTTTTCATTTATGATTTCACATCACCCAAAGTTCTTCGGGAGTCTTTTCTTTCTAATCATTGTTTAGCTGGTTAGATTTTTTAAATTTTAATTGTGCATGAGGAATTATTCCCCAGTCATTGTCGAGTATACTCCTGCATTTAGTCGTGCATGTCCCTTTCATACGAATATCATTGTTATTGAATAGTTATCTTCATTAGTTGATGTTCTTAAAATGTTTTATTAAATAAAGCGATGTACTTATAAACTAAACGTGTTGTCACAGATTAAATAGATTTTCAGAAGTCTCACTCCTTAGAAATTTTAAAGAAAAAGCTACTCTACTTCGTGTAGATAGAGACGTTTATTCATAAGTCTCGTGGAGTAGATACAGAAGTTGCCTAATATATAGCCTATGTTTAAACGATAATGAACCTAATTAGTATGATTCAAAGATTCAAAGATTCAAAGATTATTTATTCACCGAGATAATGTGGTACAATAAAATATGTGGTCTTAAATTAAAAAGAGGTGCAGCTTATCTCACCAGCGTAGCTGGCATGTGAATTTGTGCATAAAAAATCATTATTATAAATTACAATTATAATTATTATATAGCTATGTCAATAATTCAATTAGTTATTCAATAATATTAATTATAATAATCTTACTTCAATAAATTAAATTAGATGTCAAATTGTTTATTGTAATTTACATGTCAAATAATCCTTAACTGAATAAAAACATTTTTCACATAACAATATGCGCGAGAGTTTCTTATACATTTACTAACAAAAGCACCGTTTGATTCCGAAACTCCTTACACTAAGGGGTGAGACAGACCTGGTATAATCTCAAGATGTACCGCTTTTCCGTATGGATCACAGTTTTTTGTTACATCAAGTCATTATTAGGCTTTTATAAATCATCCAGGTGGCTTTATGCTTGCCATAAATGTGTTATTAATATTATTAAACTCTTGGTTATAGTTACTTTCTTGAATCTCATTGTTTTCGTTTACAGTTTATTGACAATTTTTAGGTCTACACTTGCGTCAATTTTGTACCCCTATATCTAGCCAGGGAATACGCCCATTTGAACCCTATGCGTTACATAATAGCGTCTTTATTCAGACCGTTATTTCCTGTCTGCCAGAAATATAAGGCTAATTGGCCTATTCCTTCCAAAACAAAATGTCACCCTTTCTTGATGGGCTTTACCCGCATCTAGGTTAAGTAAATATCGTGTAATCTAAACATTTAGTTGTAAATGCATTTAATGAAAATATACCTTCTAAAAGAAGTCTAGTAAAAAGGTTCTGATACAGAATAGATATCAATTTTGATAGAATTATATTTGGTCCAATTTCTTCAAACTTATGACTTCAAACTGACGTCAAAGATGAAAGAAAAAAAAAGTCTGTAATGTTATTAGACCAAACATGTTCCTCAATTGATAAACATTACACACATATTCCCCATTGATGCAAGTGTCGACCAACCCTGTAGATGTCCATTATAACTGATAAAGTCTACGCACAGGTGGTGCAGAGGAGAGACGGGACCAGACAACATCGGCTCACCCACGTCTCAGCCGCCGCGTTGAGGCACAAATACGCTATACTGGAGCACGAATTGAGGCTACAGGTAAGGCTACCTAAGTAAACTCAGACAAACGTTACTTCGACATTACGTTACTCCGACACTTCTTAATATCGACATGACTTTACTTCGACACTACACTACTCAGACAAAGGATATTCGCCTTCGCCTCGGAGTTCAGTTTTTGAGCTTACAGGTAATATAAAAAATACTCCAATTTTTAAGACTTCAAAAATGTTACAGATTGTCAATTCGGTTACATGCTTTTTTGTATGTTTCTTACATTAGAACTCTGTCATTCGTAACAGATATGAGGTTGATCCCTCCCTTTTGAAGTGGTAGAAAAGTTAAGTTACTAAATAATAATTTAAATACACAACTTTAGTTAATTTACCATCATGATTGATATTTCCGAAGTCGGTCAAAATTAAAATTTGGCTAGTTATAAAAAGAAACGTCGCACCCATATCATCAAGTTAGGCTCAGAACACACGGTGAAACGCAATTGAAACGAAACTGCAACTTCTGGTTACTTTTGAGTTGCTTCTAAGTTTCTGCCATAGCGTCCGTTGAGAGACTACACATGACGCGACCAGTTTGAAAGCGGTTTGAACTGTTGTGTTCTGGGCCTAAAGGGTGATGATTTTATAATATACCAGATTCGGCTGTTTGTGGCCTCATCAATATATAAACTTTGTTTCCCTCAGAAATCACTATCGGAGGAGTGCGAAGACTTAGGCGTGGACTCGCCGTCTGCGTCGGAGCTGTTCCCTGAAGCGGAGTTGTTGTTCGCCGCGTCGCCTGCGCACGATCACAACCAAGAGCAGGGGCATCATTCGCACACACGTAAGTAATTCATTTTTGTTTTATAGAATAAGTTTTAGGGCCAGCATAGACTTTGCGAGATGCGGCGAAGAGACCAAGAAGACAGTACTTTCAATAAAACACGCTCGTCGCGCGCCGAGTCAGAGTTGTTGTTCGCCGAGTCTCCTGCGCACGACCACAATCAAGAGAGTAACTCGTGCGTAACTTTTCTCCGGGACAAGCTGTAGATACTGGTTTAAAAACCCCGGGGAAAAGTTACACTAGATCTGCAACGAAATTAATCAGAAGAGCATAGAAAAATTTCGAAAAACAATTTCATTGCTGGATTATTAGGACAGACAGAGGAAAGAGGGAAGTACTTTAAGAGCTACAGCTACTAGCTACAGCAAAAACACTAGACTGGCTGAATTTTAGGAATTTCCAATCAATTGTTGTCAATGTTTAAAAAGCCAATTAGAAATAGAAAAGGCACCTGATGTCGTGCCCTGAGTGCCCAAGCAACTGCACCCAGGAGGATTTGATGAGTGCTTCTGACAACGCCACTCTTGTGGCGGAGTTTTGGGCTGACATTGTGTAGGTTTGTTGTCGACAAGAAAAGAAGAATAGAAAAAGTGTAGCGAACTTTTAACGTAACTTTCAAGTAACAAATTGCAATACTTCTAATACTGTAAGCACTACCTGAATGCCAAGACCTTATTGTAGTATCAACTGGTGACCGCTAATCAAATCTTTCCACCTTCCAGCGCAACCAAACCACATCCAAGCTAGCATCCCGCAACCAGACATGGACGACCAGATAGCCACCGACCAGTTACTATCCCGGGAGGATATCCCGGACGACCAGCAGGAGATCCCGATAGGTCTGGAGGATGTGGTCGGGACACCGTTGCCAGCGCCTCTGGATGCGGAGGAGTTTGCTAGAGCACACCCTAATACGACTTTCCACAGCGAGCCCACGGATGATGGCGAGGTGAGCTATAGAGGATTGTTTGAGTGGCTTATGCCCGTTTTCACCATCAATCCCTAATTTTTAAATGACCCCTATGAAAACAAAATTCCTGTTATGTGTTACCATAGGGGTCACTTAAAAATTAGGGATTGATGGTGAAAACGAGCATTAGCATTAAAGGGAAATGGTAAATGAGAAGTCTAGACATTAATTAAGACACTATTACGATGTCATAATACAGTGTCGACATTCCACCGGCTCGCACTAAGCGTTATTCTAACATAGCTGCCTTGTTCTGCATAAAAAGATGAATCTGTAAATTAATTATCTACTTGTCTGTGAGTGACTGAGGTGTTATGTTTACTTGAAAATACTACATATTATTATATTCCATTTGAGCTTTCAGACACTAAGACGAAAGATTTACACGGGTTGAAAGCAAATGAAAACTAAAACTAAATGTATCTTATTATTCAAGTGGTTACTAACCTATTTTATCTACTTCCAGGTACAGCAATTTACGATAAGCGGGCTGAAGGCGCGTCATATCACGTCCACTATATTCCACGCCACACGCGCGCCCGCCACCGTTCTTATGGCGGCTCCTCAGACCACCGTCATATCCCAAGCGCCGCCTGACGCTGGTCACACCGTCAAGTATGATACTTTAGACAACATGATACATACCATACCTTCCCACAACGGGAATATCAATCTATCCTCGGTCCTCGTCAAAGACGAAGGCCTTACCAGGTTTGATCTACTCAACGACACCAGAGAACTACACCTATCGAATACAGCGTCAACTATAGTACACTCTGCGGGAAACGCGACGCAAGTCATCAGGCGAGTGTGCTACGAAGACGACAAACGATTCCTCATGGATGAACCTGAAGCTTTGATAGCTGGAGATGACGCAAAGATGATCGGAGAAGACAGCCGCGACGAGACTCTGCAGTCGATGGCGGATGTAGAAGATGACAGGTCCTCGCCGGAACGCCACGCGGAATTGTTTTGGGAGTCGAATTCCGCGTCAGAACGGTCAGACGGCAGACGGCCTCTCGACTTCAGTAGTGACAGCGAGAAATGCTGCAAGAGTCCGTCGTACGATGAAACAAACTCGACTGATTCCAGCGGGGTCGGCACCCATATGAGATTGGATTCGGTCATCAAAGACGCGAGGGGGATGGAACGCATTGGCAGCGCTGACGGGTCCTCCGCTGATGATAACCACCCGCCGCTTCGCACGTACCCGCCTAAAAGAACTTACCATCCAATCGACGGGGATATGGAGCGTAGCCTGTCCGGAAAGACCCGGGCCGGGGAAAGATCTCCGGGCGATCCGGACAGCCGGCGCCGAGCGTCCGGACGCGGCGTGGTCAAACGCGGCTGCCATTGCTGCAACGGCTCCCCTGCCCCCTCCCGCCCCAAGAAATCGCGACAGCGAAAACCAACCATTGACTTCACGACGAATTAAGACTTAATCCCCCTTATTACAATACAACCGCCTCTGTGGTCTTGTGGTAAGACCACCTGCTTCAGACGCAGAGGTCCCGGGTTCGATTCCCAGTGGGGACAGATTTTTCTGTTCGGTTTGGTTGGTGGTAGGGCTTGTTCTAAGTCCGCCTGGCTAGCTACCACCATCTTACCTAAGTCTGTCGCCATAACAACAATGTTAACAGCATTATTGTGTTCCGACAGTTAGAGGTAAGATAGCCAGTTCCTCCGTGGTTGAGGATTCCGGGTGAAGCTCGCTTCCACCTTCGGTCTGATCGTCACTTACCATCAGGTGAGATACAGGCCAAGAGCTTCCTCGTTGTGGATAAAAAAAAAATATTACAAAAAGTTAGACTCGGTTTTAACCCTGGTTTAAATTGCCATTCACTATGGAAATAACATTTTAAACAAGAGTTCCGTTCGTCCCGGGAACTTTTTTGTAATAAGGCCCTATGTGATCTATTTGTACTTCGGGCGCCAGACGCCCCCCAGACTGAACTGCGATCTCTTTACTGATGAGGTTACACTTCTTTAGGTAATAAAATTGTTGAAATTGTTTTGTATATAATTTTATATGTAACTACCGGTAGCTAAGTTCGCGTCGGATACTATGCGATGTATTTTGTTAATGTTTACTTACGTTCGAGTTAGTAGTTCCTTTTAGGTGTTATTTTTCGCTAAGTTTTTACTAAAGTGTCACCTATAAGTTCAAATTTGTTTCTTGCGGATCGAGATAAGTTTTTTAATGATTGTTAAAACTTTACTTCTTGTAATATATCCATATACATATTGTATTGATATGTAACTGTATAAAAATGTATTTCTATAGGTTACCTCCATTATAGAAGTAAGCGTTTCCGTTAGTGAATACAGGCCATACTCAAATGTGAATTTAATCGTCTTTTAGCGGTATAGTGATAATGTATTTAGTTGAATCATAGCTCTTCATATTAATGATGCTAGACTGATGTTGTCGTTCGGTTAGCGTAGCCACGCGTTGGGCGCCAACGTTTTGTACTTGTTTCGTTTTGGTACTGTATTAACGCTTAGCTTTAGTTGTTAAGCAACTTCCACGAGAACTGCACAAATTGAAAGATTCAAAGACGACGGGAGCTTTAAAGTTTAAACTTCATGCGTGTTATTTTTGAGATTTCCTTTTTGGTAAACATTATTCGTGGTTAATATCCGTGCCAATGCGAGTTTGTCGCGGTTTTCTGCGCTTGTTCCAAAGGGCGTTGTCGCTATATTATTATAGAAATTATTAACATTTTATAGTAGCGATGTGTTAAGCTAGTGTGAATTTGATATCCATGTAAATATATACTTCGTCCCCGCGTTGTTCAAGGGGGTCTCTAGTCACTATAGTACCGATATAATAGTGTTTATCTATGATACCGAGGAGCCCAGTGGTGTACTTTTGCCCACGGCTTTGTTTGGCTCTGAGCCGTATACAGTTTATTTCACGCAGTATTTTATCGCTTATGTATATAAAATGCCCATGTATCGATTCACGTCGCGACATTTATCAGCGAAAATCTAATTTCGCGGTTAAGGGCGACTCATTCCGAATTGTATATAGAGAGAGGGGTGTTTAAAATTAGTGAATTTAGTGGGCGGACGTATTATAGTGAAAATTGTAACTGAAATGCACTCAATGGGTTGGCGAATAAACAATATTTCAGAAATTCATGTAGCTGTAAGATAGGAGTATTAGGGAAAGAAGACGAAGGCACTAATCAATCCAGTGTAATGATTATTGTATTTTATCGACAACTCGATGTAAATTGTTCCGTTTTGGATAGTAATTTTCTGCCATCTTTTAACGTAAGATTCAATTTTTATATAATCCAATATGATGTTGTTATCGTTCGAAACATTGTAGGTGAATTTACCTCCGATATTACTATCAAACATACAGTATTCAATGCGTTTTTGTTAAACTTTTCACTTAGAACTTATTAGCTGTAAAGAAAACTAATCTTTAGGAAGTTTCATCATTTTTTTTTATTAATTGAACCTGATGTTTTCTTGTTTATGTAAACTTATTTTTAAAACTGCTGCAGACGAAAATGATCATTAAAATGTATCTTTTAAAAAGTCATGTTTTTATTTATATGTTCACTATTAGTTTCCTTCGTTGCCGGGCTCAGTCCGGCATCGTTTGTCTTGTTGGTTTTTGCGGGTAGATATAATATTCTTGTAAATATACACACTTGTAGTTTAAATATTGAATTTAAAAATTGTATGAGAAACACGTGATGTTCTGGATAATAAATGATACAAGAATATAAACAATCACATTGTTTTGGATTTATTGCTCCTTTCAGCCAGCTTTATAGTCTTTTGTCAATCACATAAAAAAATATTCCTAGTCTAAAAATAGTGCTTAAAATTGTCTATGGGTCACCATTACTCCATCTTCTATTCTCCTTCAGTTTCTTCATGACGTTCAGAACCTCTATCCTAAACTCCAGTCGCTCATCCTCATTGTACTTCACTACAGTCGGCAATAAGGACGCGAAGAACGCCTCATCCTCATTCATCAACCGGGGGTCACTATCCTCAACCTCTACGAAATCTATGTCGTTACTAGATTCGTAAACCTTCGTCTGTTCTGCCGTCTCCTTCTTTTTAGATCTCTTTCTCGTGATATGTTCTTTAAAGCTAGTCTCTTGTACTGGGGTACACGAGTCGTCGCTTTTTTCCAGTCTTTTCGACCTTTTTCGGGGTTCAATTTCTCCCTCACTCGGGTTTTCTTCTTTCATATAAGGCACGTTGACTTCCTCAACGAATTCTTCTTCCTCATGGTCCTCTCCTCGGATCTCACTGATAAGGAATTTGAGGAGGTCGTAGTAAATGTACCGTCGCTTCGACTTGCCCATCTTCGCTCGGAGGCTTTTCACGAACGTGTCGCGAATGTTCGTCCATTTGTTGACGATGTGCTCGCCTGGAATTAAGAGGCACAAATTATATAAGGATCGAATGCAAAGGTAACCGCATTAGTAGTACGTTACTAGAGGAATGGCAGACATTGCCCCAAAATACCCTTCATATCATTAACTGCAGCATGCTCAGATGAATGGAAACCATCATCAGAGCAAGAGGGGGAAATACCCATCATTAATTCATTCATTTGGATAGTGATAAGCTACCCTAATTTTTAATCTGGCCACAATTTCTAATTTTTGTTCAAAACTGAAAAATTGAAATTTCGTTTCGATGATTTTTTATTAAATAAAAACGACTAAATATTTAAAAAATATATGTTATTTTATTTTATTTTAATTATCTCTTTATTTTGTATAATAAATATTTCATAGATCAGTAGTAATTTTCCTTATTTTCATACTTTTTTTTGCGTTCCGCTAAATCTGCCGGTGTGTGTACCTACATCCCTTCTTCCTGCAAGTCTTCTCTTAGATAAAAAAGAATTTAAAAAAAATGTTTCTTATTCCCGTAAATATAAATTTTAATTAATTTATTAATCCCATCAGTGGGGACGGTAGTAGGTACTAATAAATAAAACACATGCAACAACTAAGTACGAGTAGTTACAACATAATCAAGAAGTAACTTTTCCTAAAATACACAGAATGCTAAGCAAGAGATGTGATACGCGTCTAGTTTGAGAGCCCCTTGTTAGCGTTGTTAGCCCATAAAACAACAAAAGCCGTGTGGACTGTGGACACTGCCGCAAGAGTGACCTTACGCAGGCAGGGAAAAAATCGTGACGTTGCAAAACGGACAACAAGAGACACATTCAATCATGGAAAGAAACATTGAAATGTAATACATGTTTATATTGCAGCCTTACTTATAAGCTATTAATTAAAATTAGGTTAAAAAACTGTTTTCACTAACCTGTCAGCCGTTTTTCCTCCGGAGGAAGCATCTCGTAACTCTCGTCCATCAAGTTGAATATTTCTTCCCACGCATTGCGCCTTTCCAAACGGTCTTTGTACACTTCCAAGCTCTTATTCCAAAGGCACGGACGGTCCCTTACGCCTTGAATTAGTGTTTTAACGTCGTATTTGAACTCTTTCATACTTAAAACTGTTTATAAAATCGTAAACAACTTATTTCCACACTGTTTACACTGCTCAAGTCGACACGTCACTGACGCCAATCGTATTCGTAGTGTCGGATCGGATGTGATAATGCTGCCTCGCTGCTTGTATAGAAAAAGACAGAGACAAAAACTCGCGTGCGAGGTCACCGACATTTTAGCGTCTCGGGTGCCGTGACGTGCGACCAAAATAACTTGAGCTTCCCTCTGCCATTGTTTTCTTGCTTTCTGTTGAGCTGGAGAGGTCAGCCTAATTTGGTTTGGTTATAAACGTTCCATCGTCTGTGAATGAATTCGTGTCGGCAGTGAGGTTGTATACTTTTAATCCAAAATGATCACACTTGGTTAATTGTTTAGATTGGTTCCTAATTATGAAGGCAAATAAAATAATAGCTTATTATTTTCAAATTATGCACTAAGTTAATCGTCAACATAAATTTTGTTTATGAATAAGTAGGCTCCATCAGCTGCAGGAGAATTTATGTAGGCCTACTTACGCATATTTTAATAAAGGGCACTAAACTTAGATAATGAGTTGTTAAATTAGTGTTAAAGGTAGGGTAAACTGCCAGTCATTGGACACTTATTGGACAGTTATTACTGAATTAAAAATAGCATTTCTATTTCAACAACTGAGAGATTCCGACTGCTGCAGTGGCGGCGTAGCATGGGTTGGCACCCGGGGCGATGACCAAACCCCCCCGTTATAAGTCCTAAGGCACCCTCTGGTACCCCCCAGGATTTTGGGGGTTACCTACTGATTCGAAGATGACAATCGCAAACCGTCTACACCGCAAATTTGCCATGCAGATGTGCCAGTGAGTAGGTACTAATCTGCGCGACTTGTGTCACCCCCTGATGCTTGGCACCCGGGGCGGACCGCCCCCACCGCCCCCCCCCCCCCTTACGCCGCTACTGGACTGATGGATATAAAAGCGCGTTTTTTTGAAGGAATACTTATTTATTTTAGTCATAGTCTTAGTCATAAATCTATTGTATTTGAAGGAATACTCATTTTAAGAAAATTCAAGAGTTGTTTTGTCCAATGACTGGCAGTGTCCAATGACTATCGGTTTACCCTATGTAAAAACCGTGAGCGAGTTTTCCCTAGAAGACTCTTTGGGATAAGGCATTGTATAGGCAATAGGGCAAACAAATTCAAAAATTTTGTATGCGGAGATCAGTACCAGACCAGCACCATCAGGCATAATCTTTGTTTTGTCGTTCATGCAGCAGAAATTACACTAAAAATGCACCAAGATTTCATTATATTATATCTTTGATGATATCGAATAGGATGTCCACTTTTTTCGGAAAGTTTTCACTGGCTTTCAACATTTTTTTTTTAAAGATTATTAGCAATTTGTATTGCCCAAATTACTAATAGTCCCATTAGCCCCTCGTCTTAAGCTAAATAAGTTTATGTTACGAGTGGGCTCACCACAATACTTAGTCGAGCGGCGGTGGGATTCGAACCCGCGTTCCTCGGATCTCGAGTCGGCCAGTCCGACCTCTTGACCGCTCGGCTACCGTGGCGTGGCTATTAAAATTGTTTCGCCATTTCCTATCTTTAGCTATGTGCCATCATGGCGCCCAAAAACGCTGTATTTCGATTGCTACCTGATTAAGCGCCTGATATTTTACAAACATAGCGTTTCTGAGTCTGACCGCACGTCTCGGCAAACGAGACTCGGGGCTGGTGACTGTTATGACCTGAGCCCCGATTACGGTAATTTTTAACGTCAACAATCCAGACACGCTTCTCGATTCTGCGATACGACTGGTCGTTCAACAGCGTACGTCAGCTGTTTTGACCAATCGTATCGCAGAATCAGAAACGCGTCTGGATTGTAGACGTTATAAAAGTTACCGTAATCGGGGCTCAGTTACGACCATAGTTACGATTAAGCGCGTAGTGCCCATGCAGCCTTAATGTCTTCTATGAGTATTGAGCACCTAGCCTTATATTTTCTATTGATCCTGCTGCGCGCGCATTGCCTTCCTGTCATCTGTTTTGTGAGTGAGAAAAATCACATTGACACACTCTTCGAGGTTATATTTTTAGATATTGAGTTAATTTTAACTCTTTTTGAACTGGTTAAACACTTTTTAACATCTATAACTGAATATCGCATGATTTTTAATTGAAATTTGTGCCATGTTAGTGTAGTTTTTATTCGAGGAAGTGCCGGCTTGACGACCGCAGGTAATGCAGAATTATTATTATTTTTTCTTTCAATCTTTATTCAAATACATTGTACCTACGTAAGTTAATAACATTAAAGGTAATTTCTAATGGTAGTTAATACCCAGGTGCTATAAAACGGGGGCATCCTATTGAAATAGCAAGCAAAGTGTTTGGTAGAAGAAAGTACCTAATCAATAATGCCCTCACAGATTACGAATGTTATTTATTACAAATTTCAAGGGCGAATAAATAACAATGTTACATTTCAAGGAGGATTGCTATTATTAACTTCTCCTCATAAGGGAATTAATTCAGTTGAATGATTGGCGATAGTTCCTTAGCTCCTTCACAAATAGAGTAAGCAAAGATTTCTGTCTGAAATATTGCGCGTAATAGTACCTACATACAATAGGTATATTATGGAAGATGTATTAAATATTTTTTTTTAAAGATAATGTATATAATACTTTAATATTGTAATCAAAATCTACCGTCGCCCAGAGAAGCATCAATAAATAAAAAATCTGCGACATCGTAAGTTAATGTGGTTCCTTTCTTCAAATTGGAAACTGAATAGAAAAATCGTAAATCATCATAGTAGGTCCTCCTAGATTAATTGATAGCCTGAAAATGTAGAGTAAGTATAAATAATGTTCATGATAGAGCTATTAATTGTCAAGAGAGACCCATAATTATGCTGTCGTCTCCAGCATCATAGCAAGTTAAAGCAGCTGCAGCAGGTATTTTCCTCTACTCGAAAAAACCGTATATCCTGGTGATAGAGTACTTAACTTCAATGATAGAGATGAGAACCATCTGACGTAGGATCATCGTATGAGGTTCAAATACCTTGAATGAATATTTTTCCACCTTTCTTACAAATAACTCATGAATACTCATTATCGATTGGTTTTTCCTGCCCTTGACACGGTCCGTTAGAAGACTGAATGACATGGGTTGCATCATCAACTGCTTTTCTAAGCCATGACGTCATGACCTGATGGTGCGCGCTATAGTAGTATTCCATGACTAATTGCGTAGGTACATTTTGAATAATAGATCGTATCACTATATGAATAACACTGTAAGGAGATCCGTGGATAGAACGTAAAGGGAATTTCTTATCTTATGTTTTAATTTACGTGGATTTTGTAAGAAATTATGCTGAATACTGACTTATAGCTTCACCTTACAAAATAAATCCCTACTGGTCGCTGTCTCATAAAAGCCTAGAGCTTTTCGTTGACTAAATGACTTGCTTGAAAATTATTTCCACGAATTCAAAGTTGCGGAAAAACAATAAAAATATCGCAATAATCCTTTAATCATACAAAACAATGCTTCAAAGTTCAAAGTCCATAACTAATAACTACTGGAAAAATCAAAGTCCGTTACGTAACATAAATGTAGAGTCTAAAGTTCAATTGATTGATGACGTAGCAAAAACCCCACTGACCACTTCGATGACGTAGTCTGAGGCTTGGAGTCAGGATAGTGACTTTTGACATTGAATGAAATCCCAATTTAATATAACGTCATGCGGTCTAAAGTTCAGTTAAAATGGAAATGATGACGTAGAGACGAAGATCTCGATAAAAAATTTGATCTAATCCTCATAAAATTTGGGTTTGAAGTCTAAATGGAATATTATAACTTAAACTAAACTCCAATAAATATTATGAACTACCTAGTTTTGTTGCTAAATAGCACGCCTATTAACTCGTTTCGTAGTTCTGTATGTAACATGGTGTAAGGATTCAAAGTCGTGACGTAAAAGGACGAAACTATGACGCAACAAATGAATCCAAAACTCTACTTGCTTGGTCGGAAAATTTCGGTGGCTTTTCACAAGACAAAGATGCTATTTCTGGTAAAGTCACAAATGTAGAAGTAACACTTCAAGAACAATCACTTTTTAGGTATTTTCCGGAACAAGATGTGTATGTAATAAAAAAATACTATTGGACCTGTAATACTGCCCTACTGTAGGTATGCTCGGTACTTAGGTCACTGATGTAGGTATACTTGAATTAGATTCATCATCATCATTTCAGCCACAGGACGTCCACTGCTGAACATAGGCCTCCCCCAATGACTTCCACATCGCACGGTTGGTAGCGGCCTGCATCCAGCGCTTTCCCGCTACCTTTATCAGGTCGTCGGTCCACCTTGTGGGTGGACGTCCCACACTGCGTTTTCCGGTACGTGGCCTCCATTCCAGAACCTTGCTGGAATTGCTTGCCGTCAGTTCTGCGTACTATGTGCCCTGCCCACTGCCACTTCAGCTTGCTGATCCGTCTTGCTGAATTAGATTGGTTAAGCATAATATTACAAACAAATTTTCCCAGTGAAGGAGCATCGGTTAAGTAGGAAAATTTTCAGTCAGTCTAGAACATTCAAGGACTTTCTCGGGTTCGGTTTTAAGTAAAATTGTAACAGACGTTCAGCACGTGTGATCGTTACGGTCGGAAAATCACCAGAGTCGAAATTAGGTTTAAAAATGGTATAAAAATGCCTAAATATTTTCCTGAGATTAGATTTATTTATTCATAATTATGGATATTAGTATCTCGGGAAAGTTTCGATATTTTTTTTTAAGAAATAACGTAACATCTAAAACTACGCCGTGTTTTGACTCTACAAATGGGGATTTAAGTGACAAAAAATAAAAAAATCGCTCTTTTCTAGACCCGCATCCTACTTTACTAAATGTCACATCATTTTAAAGTTATTTATGTATCACATCACATCAATTTGTAATTCATTTAGTAATAATTATGCCCCCAATCAAACTTAAACCTAACTCCGTTCGCTTGTAGACTAAATGCCAGTCCCAAACTTCAGCAGTACATACAAAACCTACGCGCGAATTAGTTTTGCGTTACGAAAGGTTGCTGAAACTGTATTTTCATAAAATATAATAATATTCTGCCTTCTACCAGAGAAACAGTGTTGTGAAGAAAGTTTTGAAGTGAACTTTATGAAACTCTGGGGGGTCAGTGTTTAATTATTATGTACTCGTAAAGTTCCAGTCAAGAGCTCTAGGTTCTAATTTTGGTAGAGTTCAAAGCAATATTTTAATATTATTTCTCGTATGTATTCAGTGACAGAAAGTGGTGAACTTTATTTAATTTGTCACAAATATTTAGACTGAAGGCGGACAGACTACTTAATGGTAGCAGGAAGGCGCTGGATGCAGGCCGCTACCAACCGCGCGATAGAAATCATCGGGGGAGGCCTATGTTCAGCAGTGGACATCCTGAGACTGTGCCTAAAATGATGATGATTTAGACCGAAGTTCGAACATTAAAACATCTTGTTTCCATCCTTTGAAAAGGATTGCGTGAACGCAATGATTGCCAGTATGAACTTGGAACTAGTTCCGTGAAAACCGGGCCATAGAGACTTAGGTTGAGTTGCACCACCTGTCTTTAACCGTAATTATCAATAACCGGTGTTTTTTGTATGGAGTTTGACAAATTTTTGAGATTAGTTATAGTTAAAGTACCTAAGTAAGAGCAACACAGACACAGCCTTTAGCTTTGTTTTGTTACTTCATTTGTCGTATCTCCAACAGAATGTGGACCGTATGCGTGCCAGGATGGGGTGCCGCCGTGGCTGCGGGGGCCCTATTACTCTACGGAACCGTGGACGTTGCCTACTTCGCTCGGATGATGTACACCGTGGCTAAGGCCAGGTACTTCAGGAAGAAGGCCTGCATTCTGGACACTACTGAGGTTCACTGTGAGTATTTTATGTACTACATAAAGGTAGCAGGAAGGTGCTGGATGCGGGCCGCTACCAACCGGCCTTTGTGGCCTATGTTCAGCAGTGGACGTCCTATGGCTGAAATGATGATGATTTTTTACTGCGATCTTTAGCCTGCCTGTCAAGCAAAATGTTTCTTTTGCGCCTGGTAAATTAGAGATGGTTGAGCAGCTGTAGGGGACGTTTAATAAACTGATGATGATGATATTGATGATTATTTTTAATTGTTTAGGGTTGCAAATTGTGTGATGGCGCGTTGATTTGTCTAGAACAGTGGAGGACCCTAAGTTCAAATTCCTGCTCTGATTTTCTAGGTTTTTTTTGCTTTAGGAGAAACTATTACTATTTTTATTTAGGTATAATTTATAATACCTATAGGTACTACGATTCTTTTAGTCTTTAGCTACTTTTCGATGAACAAGCCTTAGAAACAGGTTGTTCCGAATCATGAAATTATGCTTATGGCCGATTTAAAAAAATCGCAAGTGGATTCTATAGATTTTCCTATAATTAAGTGCTTACTTTGTGTATGTAATGTTGTTGGTATTCCTCAATAAATAAATAAATAAGATGTGACTAACTAAATACCTGTAACAAACGTTGTAGGTTAAGCAAGTAATGGTTTAAAATTTTTGGATAACACACCGATTACACTAATCTGTATTAAACACAACCTTGACATATGCCTGCCTACATACTTATTGTGCCACAGTTTTAATTAGACAAGTCGTTAGCCCGCTTTTGTAATGTTTTTGTTGTATGAAGGTGTTATTAGTTCACTACTATTACAACTATTGTGTTGTGTTTCTTCATAGCCATTACAAAATGATAATACACGAAGACTACACGTCGACGATAACGACGTAAATAAAGACTGGTATAGTTTCCTATTATTGTTTATTTATTTACGGATGGCTTGATTATTATCATTTTTTTTATATTATTGTTTATCCTTAGTTACTGTTTATTGGTCTTCTAAATAAGTAACTGCTAGGGTTAGGTACAGTCACCGTCAAATATTTCGTGACACCCAAAGGAGCCAAAAAGTTCGCAACCCGTCTTTGTTACAGTTGAAATCAGGTTGGGTTATCAACTTTTTGACCACTTTGGGTGTCACGAACTATTTGACGCTGACTGTAGGACATCACGAGAGGACAAACCCTCTCGTTAAAAAGGTGATGATATTCGAAGTAACAATCCTCGAACCTGACATCATTGGGCTATTCACGTTATTTCTATACAAAAAGATGTTGTATTTCGGCACCAGAATCACACCTTTCACACACTAATCACGGGTCGTTTATAGAAAAAACCCTCTCGATTAAATATTAATAATCGTGTCATCCCATCTAGTAGGATTGGTCTCCCTCCATCTATTTGTAAGCAATGACTTACATTTGAACACGCTATCAGCCTATCCAGTAACCAGTGCAGATTGGCAGAAAATACTTTAGGTTATTGCAACTTCATCAACATCATCCTCGGGTCATGTAGTCTCTACTACAGAACTACTATTCCGATTTACGAGAGGTAAATGTAGCATTTGGCCTACATTCCTTTGCAGGCCTGATGGGTTACCACTTGCATTTATTAAATATTTATTCTCTTAAACTCAACCAGCACCATCTTCTTAATCTCATTAGATTAAGACCCAATCGTAAACACTTCGTTCACAGCTGGACAAAGGCCTCCCCCAAGGTTTTCTACTATGCACGGAGTCGGTCCACCTAGTAGGAGGCCTGCCCTTAAAAGTGCTTTTTAAAAAAATATTGCATATTAACACTTAATATGCAATAATTTTTTTTAATTTGAATTTGAATTCTTCCAGCGTGGTGTCTCCTTAACGACATCGACACGTTACTCTACCACATGAACAACGCGCGTTACTTGCGAGAGTTGGACTTCGCACGTGCGGACTTCTATGAGAGAACTGGTCTCTATGCCAACATCAAGGCGGCAGGGGGCGCTGTGGTGCAAGCAGCGGCTACCATCAGATACCGGCGGTACTTGAAACCGTTCACCAGGTTCACCATTACTTCCAGGGTAAGTGTCCAGACTACTGAAGTTCTAAATTCTTGAGTATCTTGTAAATCTTAAATGAGGACTAGATGAAATATCTTCCAGGATCTCCAGGTCTTAAGCTGGCCTCATCTAGCCGCTACCCTCGACCCTCACCAGATCGTCGGTCTACCGAGGGGCTACGGTACACTAAGTACCACTTCTCGTTCTCACCACTGCTACTTGATACAATTTATAATTTGACCACCAGGGCCAATATCATAGTCCCAGATGAAAGCTGAACTCTCAAAACAATTTGGGAAACTAAACAGTATAATTTTGAAGCTGCAGCCCGTCTTTCTTCTAGCAAGGGCCTGACAGGAGACAGACAACTGGCAGTTACTGTGGTTATGATATCAACCATCTTCATGCCTTTCCAGGCAATATACTGGGACGACAAGACAGTCTTCATGGAGCACGAGTTCATAGGCCCCGGCGGGTTCGTGCACGCGGTGGCGGTGTGCCGGCAGCGCGTCATCGACACGTCGGCGGCGGCCATTGCTGAGTTGCTTCTTCAACTACACTGCGCTGGTGCATGCAGGCCGGCTCCTGGGAAGATGCCTCCTGAGGTAAAGCCTAGTCTTAGTACAGGACCTGACGTCCTGGAGATCTTATGTTGAGGCTAGAAAGCTGGCTTCATAAGTTGTTTCGTGAGGTTGTGCCAGCAGTTCATTTAAGGTTCTAGCATCGCATCATTGCTGCTGCAGTTGCACTGTGTGAAAGCTATGCAAGCTGGCTTTAGGAAAGTTACCACCTGAGGTAAAACCTAGTTTCTTCTGGAATCCACTGCGCGGGAGCATGCAGGCCGGCACCTGGGAAGATGCCTCCTGAGGTAAGACGTAGTTCCTTTTGGGCATGGTGAGATATAAGTGATTTGGGGTTAGAATACTGGGGGCTATTGGATTTTCTTCTGAGGTATGTGCCAGCAGTTTTTAAGGCTCTAGCAGCAGTAGCTAGCGGCGATCGTGGATCATCTGTAGTTGCAATGTGCGGGGGCATCCAGGCCAGGTCCTCTTTGAGATGCCTCTTGAGGTAAAACCTACGTTCCTTACGGCTGTAGGGAACTGTGAGGCTAGAATCTGGTGGTTTAAGAAACATTTGCATGCGTGTGAACTTGCGTGAAGTTTATTTACGGTTCTTATGGCCCGAAACCAACGCCAGCACCCTAGCGCCTCCTCTAGGGCGTCATGAAACTGTTAGGTTATAATGGCTGGGTTCTTGATTTTCAACTGAGGAATGTGCAATTCGGTCATTCTCCGGATCTGGATTATTTTGTTGATTACCCCGACCTTTTTTATTTTTGAATTTAGAGTAAGTTTAGGTAAAACATTTCAAAATAGACATTATTACGAGCATATTTTTTATATTGGCCCATCTGTAGCAAGCAGGAATAAAAAGTTATGCGACATCAAAATTTTCATGGTCGGGGTAATCAAAGTTGGGAGTCAGAGTAATCAAAAATAAATCAAAATATTTTATTTTCTAAGGATTTTTTTAAGTTATGGTAAAATAAATGTTATATTAACTAGCCATTTGTTATTTTGATGTATAAACGACAATACTGTAAAGTTTCAACAAAGTCTGTTAAGTAGTTGTTGCGTAAAAGAGTAAAAAACATACATATACATTATACATATAATATTAGTGACTCAATGTCCTATGTCTCCGATATGGGACAGAAGGCGTCCACAACAGTCCTCCATCGCATTCGGTCTTGAGCTTCGTGTTTGATCTCGCTCCAGGTCTTAACAGTGCGCCGCTATGTTTTTTTGGCGCGACCACGTTTGCATTTTCCCTGGGGGTTCCAATCTAGAGCCTGCTTGGGGATGTGATCGGGGTCCCTTCGGAGAGTGTGGCCGATCCAGTTCCACTTGCAGCGTTTATTCTGCTGAAAGATCGGTATTTCGTGGCAGCGTCCCAAAAGTTCGTCGTTTAGCATCTAAGTAAGTAGCTTTCACTCATACACTTGCCAGCGAAATTGAAAAATTTTGTATTCCTGTGCCGCTGATACTAATATTTACGGGTCTGCTGGAAAAACAATACCACAAGTCGCAAGTCTTTATAGCCCGATCAGGAGGACACAGTTGAGTGATGCAGGGAAGAAGAACTCTACGTCTCTCAAAGCTTCTTTGGAGAAGTAAGAGAGTGTCGAAATTGAGCCACTGTAATTGCTTTTTTTCGTGGGACAGTTTTGAAAGGCTATTTAAAACACTTAAAATATGAAATATCACATTTCTTTCATATCATTTGGAAGTCTTATTTAATGTATTTTATGGCTATACTATTTTTAAATTACTAGAATCCCCGAGAAAGAAGGAATAACACAATTTATGAGTAGAAATAGAGTTAGGACGCGCCACCGCTATTAGATTTTTGGTCTTTGAAAATTTTTTTAGTACATAAAATAACTACCTATTGTCCTGAAGACTTTGCTATCGTGTAAAACGCTGTATAAACTATAAACAGAAAAAAAATCATCGCTCTAGTTACATTTCTCCCATCGATTCTCAGCTCCGCCGCGTAAAAAACGTGTTTGGGATATTCACCCTAATAGGAGATAGGATTTCATTTTAGTAAAGGGTAATTTTGCTTATTAAACGTTATTTAGTTAATCATTCATTAGTAAAATTACAGTATTATTGATTACTCGGTGACAAAAGTCGGGGTAATCAAGGTCGGGGTAGTCAAAAAATTAAGGTTTATCCTGAGCCCTGCCCAATCTGTAACTTGAATCCCATATGTTTTAATACACAAAAATGCGGTTACATGGACCATTATTCCTGTACATTCTCAAGAACTTTCCATGTAAAGAAACCTAAAAAAATAGGATAGATTAAATCAATCGTGCACTGAACCAAGGTCGGGGTAATCATATTCTTATCTCGATAACTCCGAAATCCTGCGACGAGTTGCATTACCGATCACCTCGGCACGCAGGCCACCACTAAAGGTTCACGGGGGAGGATAGAGCTCGTTTCTAAATTGCGTAGCTAGGGACGTAGGCGCATATTAGTGACGTGTCGGGGTAATCACGGTTAACGCCCGGACACAACTTCAAATAGTTATTTTACAAAACCTTTTAGTCATATAGTTATATCGTATTTAATTTATCAATGTTTATTTAATCAGTAATCGATTACATAAGCATTGAAAGCGGTAATAATAACGGATTAATTTATACGAGCAAATTTGTTCTGAAATCGGGAGCGCGGACACGTCGTGGTAATCAATTTTTGACGACTTACGATTTTTTTTAAATTACTTAATTAACTTTTATTAACTATCTCTGTGGTTTAACAACAAGAACCAAAGTTATACTATTAGATAAAAATATTTGTTACTAAAATATTATGATATTCGGGTACTTTTTGGCCCCGGACACGTGATTTTCTTGGCCGGTGGAATGACCCGCTTGCAGTTTATTTAAGGCTCATATGTCGCGTAAAACTTCTTCATTGAAGTTTACTAAAGTATAACAAGTGTATCTTTCTCTCATTTCAGCTGGAACTCTGGGTGCAAAGCAACGAGCTCAGTTCGGCCAAACTTCGCGCGACCAACGCCCCCCTCCCCACTCTCCAATCCCACCCCCTCAGCTGCGGCGAGGTCATCCCCACCTCGGTGACCGAGTGAGAGTACCCTCACTGCCCCAGCGATCTCCGCTCTCGCACTCGCGCGTCCAACGCACGCGAGAGCGAGTGAGATAGCACGAGGGTGTCCGCGCTAGGGCAGTGAGTTTTTTGTTAGTCGAAATGTAGACGGCGACGCGAACGGTCGTGCTCTGACTGTATCGACATCAAAGCTACATAAATAACCAAGTGGCTTATGTGTGACTTTATAGGTGTTCTAAGCTCAAAGTACAAGGTCGTTTACAAAATTACAATAGTTATCAAAGTGGGTACAAAGTCTTACATCCTGGTTTTATGATGCCTTGATTAGATAGCTAGGTGGTGTGATCATTCGGTTAAATTATTACTAGTACTAGTAATGATAATTTTGATGTCGATACAGAAATAACGTTTATCTTGTATGTTATATCATTAAGTATCGATTTTCATCTCTCTAGTTCTAATCAATTATTATCATGTTATTTTTATATCTCGTAATGACATGAGTACTATCCCAATGTGCCTATACCATGATTCTAGTGAAACCTATTTATTTATACATCGTTGTTTAATGTTGTTGGTGTGTTTTTGCTTAATACTTTATTGTGCTTTTTATTTTTTTATTTTACTTATTTACAATTGCATCTTATTTCCATTAATTTTTGGTTATTTTTATCTGAAAAAGTACCTACGTATGACATTAATGATTTTTCTCTAAAAATAATGATAAGAATTTTCTGTAAAAGATGCAGATTGTGAATCTGCTGTCTTTCCCGAAAACTATAATCCGGGCCTCTTCAAGGCGAGAGTGAATAAGCACTTCAGGGCAGATATGTACCATCCTAGACTGCATCCCACTTAACATCAGGTGCGATTGTGGTCAAATACCTGCCTTGTTATGCATAAAAAAAAATTTAAAAAAAAACATGAATATGTATATGTAATCACTAAAAACATCTTGTGAATAATAACACTTGTGTGTCACAGTGATTTCGAGAACATTAAAGTGTGATATTTTTTTATTTTCTAAAATTAAACCAAGAACAAAATGATACAGCACAAAACTAATTGTTTGATCTATAATGATAAAAATGAGTAACAAAATAGTAAATGATTTATTCGTATGAACGGTGAAGAAACAAAGCATAGATTCAGTCTGTTTTTTTTGTATCAATCTATTTTTCGGTCACGACAGTTAGAAGAAAGAAATACTCAATTACTTACATGGCTTATGCAGTATACTTAATTAAGATCGTGAAGCTTTGTCAATGTCAGTTTTTTCCGTGCATAAGCTGGATTTTGATTATAAATAAAATCGGGACTATTCCCACCTCTCGTTCCCACCGCTGCAACTCCTGTGTAGCCAGGATCTGCAGCTTGACCGCCACTAAAATCCAAACAGTGAAGGTCAAGTTTGTCCCGGGGGAAAGTTGAACTGTCATTGGACCCACAACGAAAATAATAAGAAGAACGTAGGAGTTCGAAGTTAAGGTTTCCTCCAGAGCAAAGCTAATGGCACAGGTGGGAATACAAGCATTGATTAGTAATAGGTGTGAGTGACTTTGAAAAAACATGTGAAGTCTGTGTTGACGACAAAATTCAGCTTTTATGCTTTTTCATTTGCTGTTTATTAATTACTATATTACTAAAATTTCCGGGCATGTTCAACATACCTACTTACTCGTAGTTAAACTGACTCACAAAATAACATCGGAGATTTTTGGCACCAAAAAAGTATTGCCGTAACAAATATTTTGTTTCATCATCTCACAAATAATTTGGAAATGATTCTTTGTGTGAGTAATTATGAAATTATTTTAGTTGATAATCTGACAAAAATGTATAAATTGTGATGCGTATGACGATTACTGTATATAACTATAAATGTGTAACATTGTATTTAATTATTAATGTAATAAAGTTTAAACAAGTTATGAGGAATTTTATTTTAGTTTGATTGTACTGATTTCTTAAAAAGCTCTTAGGATATTGAAGCTTTAATCATGTACTAAAATAGGGATTCTTTGAAAACCATAATTTAACTGAAGTCTTTAATCTTATATTTAATTTAAATAAGTAAAGATTTTAGAATTTTTCTAAGACACAAAAAAACCCAGAACGAATAAATCTTAACTAATTTTTTTCGAAAGTAAAAAGATAATACAACAAACAAAAGAAAAGATCTTTTCGTTTTTAATTTAAAATGGACGTTTTCTAATTATTAACTTTCAAGGAATTACTTTTGATAGTGTCCGAGGTATACGAAGATTTATTTTATTCGTTAAATGACTCGTGGGAGAAGACTGCGTGATCGGTTTAAAAATAACCTACCTAGTGTATTTTTAACTGGCGATATTGCTGAGGTGATGCGAATTCTTTCATAAAAATAGCAGGTGACAAATCTCTTTTTAACCGGGTCAAGACAGAAATACATCTGATGCGTTTACCTGTGCTAGTTCTTCATTGTGCTAGCTCTGTGGTTAGGGCTGCCACACGTCCGGGTTTGCTCGGACATGTCCGGAATTTTGAACTTCCATTTCGTGACCGGATCATGATAAAATACATCTGATGTGTTTGCCTGCGCTAGTTCTTCATAGTGATAGCTTTGTCTTTAGGGCTGCCACACGTCCGGATTTGCTCGGACATGGCTGTTTCTCTTTCATTAGTGGGTCATGCAGAATCAGTTATACATGGGTCATAGATCACTTACACTTGTCTTGACTTTTTCAGTCTTTTTAAAATGTTTATTTAAATTATTATTTGTGATGTAATATCTGTGTAAGACTGTCAAGGCCTCAGTTGGATAACTCTTGGACATTACAGGAAACGGATTATGATATTGAAGATACTTGTAATCTGTTTGTAACCGATTAACGTTTAATTGACTCGATTACTTACAAGAATCGATAACTACTTCTATACTACGGATAAATTAAGTCGATAAAAATATTATCTGTTCACAGACAGGTACTTACATAATTATGTAAAACTTTGTTGTGACTGGTTTATAGACTGAGGAATAGAGAGCTCTGTTTTGTAAAAAATATTATCAGTTTTTTGCTGTGCCTACTTATGTAGTACCTAATGGATCATCATCAGCAGCCCTTTACAGTCCACTGCTGGACTATGAGCTTCCTCCACTATAGTGGAGGGTTTTCCATAATCCCCACACTAGGCAAGCAGGTTGGAGATCGCATTTTAAAATATTGATGTTTTTTCTGTTTGAAGTGTAGTCCCTAAGTCGCCTCTTAGGACACCCGCGCGCCGCAGGAAGAATTGGTGTCAAATGTATTCTACTCTGCCGTCACCACACGGCTTAGTAATGGATACTAGATTTTTATTTCAGATTCTGGCAACCCTATGGTTAACCAATTTGGTTTATAAGTTTAGCCGCACAGTCATTAGGGTATTTTAAAGAGTGTCCTACCTAACTAACAACTTTGTCAACGTTCAGACTATAATAGAACATTACGGCACCTTTTCCACTGCTGCAACTTCTGTGTAGCCAGGATCTACAGCTTGACCGCCAATAAAAACCCAACCAATGAAGGTCAAGTTTGTCCCGGTCGATAGTTAAACTGTTATGAACGACCTGCCACGAAAACTACAATGAAAGAGTGTCCGTTACCATACAAAATGCATTATGTTTATGATTTTAATACTATATTTACAGATATTTTTCAAGAATAGACAGTATTGAGTATAAGTCTTTAAGTAATAGCAAGCTTCATTTCAGTCAAATTCACCTACTTAAAACATACTGGTCTGCCACTTCACGGCAGATGTGGGCATTGTGTGTGATAAAAGATGTAGGTACTTTCTTAACAACCGTTAGGTGGACCAGACTACTAAGAAAAAATGGTCAAGAGCGATTTGGACTCACACACCAATGGTTCCGTATTAAATTAGTTATTATATTATCTGTGGTAGGTGATCCAAGTTAAAAAGATGACACAAAAGGTTGACAAAGGTGACTTACGCCCCTATTCACAAACATTACTATGAGGTCTCACAGTGCGCGTGGACGCACAGGGTCTCACACGAACCAATCACAGAGCTCTACTTATTCAACGCTGTTCGATTTGCTCACTCAAGAAGAAGCAAGAATCGTTTGTAAATAAGTTTCTTCCGATATTTCTTATCAGCAGTGTTGAGTCAGCATTTCAGCTGATATATTGTCTCAAAGTGATGGTAGAGCAAAATGTATTTGGGACTAAGAATGTGCCCTGAAAAGGGCATCATTTCCGCCATAGGACGTCCACGGCTGAACATAGGCCTCCCCCAATGATTTCCATAATGATCGGTTGGTAGCGGTAGCAGCGCCTGCATACAGCTCCTTTAAAATATAATAAGAATCTTTTTTTGCAGATGTGAGAAGGTATTATGATATTCTACATACTACAAATCATCATCATCATCATCAACAGCCCTTTACAGTCCACTGCTGGACTATGAGCCTCCTCCACTATGGTGGAGGGATTTGCCATAATCTCCACGCTTGGCAGGCGGGTTGGAGATGTTGATGGCGGGTTTTAAACATACTACAAATACTTCAAGCTAAATATTGTGGTATCTTGTATAGTTACTGGAATTTTGCAATATTTATATTTTGCAAAAGGCATTTTAAGTCTGATGTACTGCCGATAAATATTATGTGATCCCATAATCTCATACGTGCATTCGATAAGAGGGTGAATCATTCACACCTTACAGATAATTTGATTATCATGTCTAGAATTATTGTTCTACATTTTCCGAGCTCGGTTAGCAATAATCGCCTGATTTTGAATCTACACGTGTAGGTATTAGATCGTATTATTTATTTCAATAGTTTACTTCTTTTAGCTAAGGTTGAAGACAAGTATATACACATCAGACTTCCCTAATCCCTGGCCAGCCTGGAGAGTGCAGGCCAAATCCTCCATTCATCATCATCATCATCATTTCTGCCATAGGAATCCTCCATTTGCCTGTGGTAAATTGGAGAGGGTCGTGCTCCGTCAGACTTTTACCTGATGATTCTTCTTTAGCACGATAAGTTAGGTAGTCAATTTTTTTTATTGTTCATTGGTATGAAGTATACTAATAAAGTTTGTGTTTGTCTCTACCAATCAATATTAGACTATCGAGTTAGTGGTTCTGGGTTCGATCTTGAATGGTACTCACTCTGTACTACTAAGCAATTGTTCATATTCTGGTCAATACAGTCGACAGCACATGAGAATATCAATTTTTGATCCTACATAGTAAGGTTTTCTACTTGAACGATGCCGCCACAGTGCTTAGGTTGAGGTGCCATCGTTTGTACCTATAATAGTTTTAGGCTTGGTGCCATGGATGCACGTTAAGCTAGTGGGCAAATTGAGCCATTATCTGACGCCTATAGCGGCTCATTAAGTTTGACACCAGGTTTGTCACCACTTGATGAAAATTGTGTTTTTAGGTCTAAATTGTTTTTTAATTCTGAGTGAGATTTTTTTAAATTCTGAGTGAGTAGGAAAATGTGTACCTATTCAGAAACTAAGTTCACTTTAGTGTAATTTTAATATTCAGATTTCAGATATTTGTAACTAATAAAAAGTTTACTTGTTTAAAAGATTAAATAGGTAGTATTGTGATATCTTAGTTACTAAAGTGAACTTAGTTGAAGGGAATCGGGAAATAAAATTCATGTTTAATTGTAATGTACACAATTTATTCATATCGTATAGTGTTTCTTATACAAAGATAATAAATTGTAAAATCCTCATTCTCGGTCCGAATAATAAATAAATACTTAGTTAAACTCCCTTCAGTCCTATCACATGCCCTTTAGGGGTGTCAAGGAGTTACTTAAATACTTCCGAACTAGCCTTCTTAGGATTCAATACATTTAAACGCCCGCTGTGCATTGGCGCGCTTACTATGTGCACAAGTCACTAAGTGACACGCGCTCAGAACTTCTAGCTAGCGCGCTGAGAGCTCGCCGATACACAGCGAAGACTGACTTATTTACATGGTATCCATTCAATGAAATCGCCATCTTTTATAATAAATGTACAAAAATATTCCTTTAGGTAGCTATTAATAGGTAGGTATGTATTGTCAAAGGCACTGGTATCTTATCCTGATTATTAGTCAATAAAATCTGCGTTACATGTTCAACTATGCGATTTCAAGTTTAAAAGGACCTATCCTTACTTTTTTTGGTTTGGAACTTAACGGGCAATCTGATCGAGAAATACTATACATTAATTTTTATAAATAATCTATGTTGGACTTATGTTTACTTACAGCGAGCTTAATCTAAACTTATAAGAACGTAGTCTTTAGCCATCGATTTTCACTAACGAGTCTTCGAATAGATGAAACAGATCTACTTGCTTATACATATACATACATAGCTCATCACTAAAAATGCATTTTTTTAAATCTATCACTGAGTAGACAAGTTTTATCTGCTCGAAAAGTCTTTAAACCGAACGAAATTAGTCTCATATCAAACAGGGTCCGTCTGCCATCTTCTACCCTACAACATCGACCACATACAACTACTAGGAAGGATTACAATAGGCGTTGCGACTTAGCCGCTTACAGCTGCACAATATGTTACAATATATCTTCTCTTTACAACGTGGTAACTCTACTGGGAGGGGTAGGAGACAGTTTGTACGAACAAGATCGGCACGTCATCAATCCGCGGCGGGCGCGGGGCGCGGCGTGCGGGGGGCGCGGGTGCGCTGTCGGCTGACTCCGGGCGCCGGCGCGGCCGCTCAGTGCTCGTGCGCGCGCGCCTTGTTCTGGTGCATCATGTTCTTCAGCGTCGCCACCTCCGTCGCCAGCCGCGCCAGCTCCGCCTTCAAATGTGCATCGTCCTCCTCCACCATCCTGTCATCGGGTCGCTGCGGCCTGTATTCAGCGCCCAGGGAGATACCAGAGTCCCGCTCATCGCTGGACCCCTCACCGTCCCAGGACGGCGACGACCGAGGCCCGGGCTCCTGCTTGATGTGTTGGAGCGAGAGGAGGGCGCTGGCGACGTCCTTGTCGCCGAGATGGGACTTGTGGCGCAGCTTGAGGGGCAGGCAGTTGTTCTCGGGCGCGTACTGCTCGGCCGTCTCGTCACCGGAGCCGGAGAGGGAGGACAGCTCGTAGGGCGAGGGCGCGCGCCGCGAGCGGGACAGGTTGAGCACCGAACCAGGAGGCTCATAGTGCGCTGGATGAGGGTAGTACGCCTCGGGTGCGGGCAGCCTTTCAGGGTAGGGTTCAGGCGCTCGTTGCGGCGGAGGGGAAGGAGGGGACGCCGGCGGCGGTGGTGGCGGGGGCGGCGCAGGCGGGAACAGCGCATTGCTGGAGAGTTTACTCCTCTTTGTGACGCATAAGACCTGGTCGCACGTGGGCAGGGTAGCCAACACCTGGTCGATGCTGATCAGGGTCTCGCCGCAAATGCCGTACTTCTCCTTGATGGCATCCAGCTGGGCTTTGAGAACGTGGTTCTCCTTGGAGAGTTCCACGACGCGTTGCTCGAGGACCATGTCGTTGAAGCGACGCTTTTCGCGGGAGCGCTTGGCGGCTTCATTGTTCCGCCGGCGGCGGTCCCAGTAGCCGTCATCTTTCTTGTTGTCGGGGATGAACTCGCGCTGTTTGCGCTGGCCGAAGAACTCCTTGCGCTTGGAGAAGTCAAAGTTGTAGTCCGGGTCGTTGGGGCCTCCGTTCATGGGCGGTTGGTCCATGGGGAAGTGCGGGGAGACGGACAGGCGGCCGCGGGGGGGCGGCGGCGCGCGGGAGGGGGCGGGCGCGGGCCCGAGGGGGGCTCCGCCGGCGCCCAGCAGCTGCTGCTGGCTCAGGATGAACTCGGCGACCATGTTGCGGCGGACGACTCCGGGTCCGCACGACTCTTCACCGTGGTTCTGTAACAACGAAACGTAACATTAGCGTTACAGAAAAACGCAACGGTTGCAGTTGTCTAAATGATGTCGCGATTACAAAACGAGACGGTTGCAAAAACGCTGGCGCAACATCCCGCTGCAGCGCAGTGCTGCAAGCACGTGGATAACCTTTGTGAAACCATATTGCCACATTAAACGCTTTTTACTCCCTTCATGTTTGCTAAACTCATTAATAAATATTTCCTAACCTTTAGCAGTTACACAAATGCAATTTTAAGGTTACACCGGATTTCTTCCGTTACAAAAGTAACTTCCTATTAGTAAGTTAGCGCTTGGCTGCTCACTTAAATAATTATTTGCAATCGAAGGATGTTACTGGTAGTTCAAAATTTTATTGTTATAAGTTTGGTATTTGGACTATTGGTGCTAGCATTTGTAAATATTAACAATCGTACTAGTTAACAATCCACATAGTTTCAGAGCTGGTATTTCGCAACGAGCTCACGTGGAACCTAACGTGGTGCCTGACGTGCTGAAACATCAGATTGACGTTAGCAACATTTAATTCGATTGCCAATCGATAGATTTAAACTATGTCGTTAACCTCAGTTACGTAAGTTGTCTTCGTTAATTGGCAATGGTTAAGTAAAGTTGTGTTAATTCAGCTAGCAATTACAGGTTGTGTCAAACAACGGCAGGAAGTTGGAAGCGAAAAGCATCGAAATCAAGTCGTTATCCGCGAAAAAACAATGGAAGAATCACTAATAAAGCGGCCATTGTTGCAGCGATAACCGATTCGAATGCACTTTTTCTTAATTTTTTTTAAACAATGTCAGCACTGGCCAGTGACTAGTGCATAAAAAAAGCGATCACGTTCCTCTACACGCGGTGCGCATGCGAACAACGTGAGAGTTCTTTCTAAATTTGAGTTTATACTTTTAAGATCAGATTTGCATTTATTTTTGGTCGTTAAACCGCCATAGACAAACGTGACCGGCCAAATTATACGAGATTATTCACGAATACCTCGATATGAAATTCGAAGGAGGTATTTAGGAGGCTGTGACGATTTTTAAATTGTTTTTCGGTTTCGCATTGTAAATACATATTTGCGCGCCATTTCCTATTGTGAATTCTAATTTGTGTAGATTTTTTCTTGAGTTCACTTTTTAACCCTTTAATATTCTACTGTCGCTTTCTATGAAAAAAAAAGCAATCAGTCAATTGAAGTCTATTGTTACATGTGAAATTTTCAAACGTGGAACTCTTTGTCTATGGTTCACATGTCAGTTTTCAAATGTGGAACTGTTGGATCCGTCGCCGTGGCCTCTAAACATTTAATTGAAGCTCCACTGACATTTCGCGCGCGCAATTAACCGCGGTTCGAACAGTTAGCGTAACGGGCGCTCCGCCCCACTGACACCGATGCGAGATCGGGTACCGCAACGTGGTAACATGGAAATTCTGGGAAAGGCGCGTAGCGATAAAAAAAAGCAAACAATTAATGAGGGCTATCGTTTTTATACTTAACAGTTGGCACCCCTGGCGATTGACAGGACCTTACTCTACAGTTGCGCCATCTTGATGAGTGCAAATGCGATAGTCCTCCTACCACTTTAGCGCTTACCAGTTGGCGCCACTGTCTTCGCTACTAGCAAGTGACAGGACCTTACTCTACAGTGGCGCCAACTGGTGAGCGCTAAAACGATAGCCCTCATTGACTCTAAAGATATTGACGTTGAGATGTCATACTAATAAGAAGGTACCAACGTTTCGTTATTGAGAATCAATAAAGATGACGTCTTTGTATAAATTATGGAATACGTCACATTGAAACAGCATAACAGTTAAATGGACTCCGTTACATTGATATTACCATGATGTACCGTTGCTTATTAACATCTCTTCAAGTATGTTTTTTATGCCATCTTTGTGTGGGTTGACTGATGTTCGATAAAAAATTTTGGGAATTTTCTTGACTGTCTATAAAAAAAATCGGTATATGACAGAATTGTTCTTTTTTTAAAAGCAAAGCGATTTGCTCATGCTTTGTTTGCAATTGATTAAAAACACCGGTCCGTTACGGTGTGACGCTTCGCGGAACAGACAGTTGAACACCGGTTAATTCGAACGGTTAGCATCAGCGATAACCATAGACAATCTGCTGCATAATTCTTGGAACAGGAAAACTGATTGCTATTCCTAGGACAATGTTGTTGAAACTAGAGTTGGAAGCTTCAATTAGATTATCATAGAGCAAAGCTCAATATGAGTGAGTCATTACAAACTATTTCTAGCAGACTTGACCCACTCGACGGCCAATGTCGATAGCTAACGGTTGCACAATCACAGCTCTGACGATCGACAGTTATCACTAATCATCGTAGGTACTCTCGCCTACCGTTACCCGAAATCTGGGACCGTACGGTATCCGAAAAACCGTTTTTGACGCTCATCACTTGCGTCCAAAACCCGTAATACTGTTACGAAACAGCTATTAATGTTTCGTCACCGTTTTAGCAGTTAGCTATTTGCCCGTTCAAGGTTAAGATGTGTGTAATCTTTGTAATGGATTAACTGGTTTTTAAGCTCTATTTACTTTCCAATTGATCGGTTTGTTTTAGTAATGTTACTGTTATACACATTTGTGTAATATGCCAAACGTTTTGATAGCTTAAACACAATAATTAATAGAACGAGTCGTTTTACTGTCTTCATTAATTGTTATAGTGGTCTAAATAGTGCTCCTTGCAAGACACCATTTCTCAATAGCTGAGAACGCTATTGCATATATTTCAAAACTAAGTATTGCTTAATCGATTCCTAAATTCAGCTCGAAACTAGATTTCGATCACATTGCAACACTCACTCGAGATTTCTCTGTAGCAAATCAATAACAAATTGTATTACGAATAGCATGTGTTGTTCTCACATGTAAAGATGTATTTATGTGCATTAATGTGTAACTACACGTGATGGGTCGAGTGCTCGGGCCACGTGTTCAATCCTTGCGACCGGCACTATAATTAGATGCCTTTTTACCATTTCAGGTCCACGTGACGTCGCGTAACAATCTGCCTGCCTTATAATCAGAAGCCTTATAAGAGTCCAAATTGCGAGAAACTTGTTCAGAGTTGTTCCAAGTTTCGTGTACCCTTTTAGGCCTGTTTAGGTAACGCTATACTTAGTTATTATTATTAAACATAAGATAACCAAGAATAGAACTGTATTGTTGAAAATATAATTTCTGTCGGAATTATATCGTTCTCATAAAAATGTAGTAGCTTACGTTACACCTGTTATCAGGTTGCTTGCCATTGACTCATTTTGCTGATAAACGCGTTTGAATAGCACATATTTGAAATGTTACGAATCGTTGTTGAAACACTTCAGATTGGTGATTTACAAAACCGGATTCCCGATTTGTTGATAAAACTAATTATGATTCTTAACAGTATGATAAAAACACGATGATAGTCCTATGACTATGACTATTCTTCCATAGTCATTTATTCCATAAACAAATGATGGTGTGTTTGTTGTAATTTTTGTCTGGCAATCCTTAGAGGATTTATTTGACACATCATCAGTGGGTCTAGACAAAGTGCAAATTATAATCGCAAACCAGTCGAAAAGTGGTCGCAAAGCCCCTTTTTTGTATGGAGTTTTGACGGATTCGATTTTCGATTCGATCAAAAAGTGCGTTTTGTCTAAGGGGGCCAGGATCTTTTTCCAAATAGGTACAGTCGATCCGTTGATTGACCTTCTCAAAAAGCCACCTGTAGTCTGTGCTATCAGCAGATTCTAGGCTAGACCGTGCGTCCGTGACCTTCGGCTCGTCCTGCAGTCCACGTGCTGGCGTCACGCGGCGGCCCACACGTGCCCCCATCACGTTGGCTTGCGTAACACGCGAGCACGTTCCCCCATCCCCCCCGCCCCTTTATATAACCACAACGTGATCTAGAACGTGAAATTTAATTGACAATCAACGGTAATCGACGTGCCCTTGACCGATTGTTGTCTATTTATACATAACCCCATCAATTTCTGTATCATTCGCGAGAGATGCAATAATGTCGTCAAGAATGCAAGAAGATAATGCTTCTGGTGATAAATTTTAAGGATTTCTTTTTGTGCTTGGAATTCTAAAGATTACAGCGAAACGGTCAGATTAGGTCATAGGTTTGCTTCATAGTCTAAAAATACATGTTTTCGTCCATCGGACGTTTGCGGTATTAAACGGAAATGTTTTGAATAGTGTACGTTGTATAATGAAGCTATTTAAATTATCAGCGGGTGCTGAATTTTAAATTCGAAGGCAATCGATGACACCGCGCTGTATGTTAAGCGATTATGCTTATACCGTTGCAGTTGCAATGCTCTTGACCTTTCTACAAATAGTAATGTATAAGCCGGCGGCCATATTGGAAAAAGTAGAGAAAGTAGTACAGCGGTAACTTTCCACGCACGCCGCCGGCGTTATTCGCGGGAAAAGCAGGCCGGCGCCATCTTTGATTTGACATTTGGCCAGCAAAGGTTTCAGTGGAACAAGTAGTTTAGCTTTAGCCATTCATCTCATAATATATGCGCAGCGACGCGCAGTTTGTCATAACAAGTTTGCCGCCTCGTCACTCTTCACCTGACAGTTGTAGGTTGGCGCCAAATGCTCATTGTCTATGGATTATGTAAAGATGCGAATGTTTTGAAAACTTAGTCGCGCCGGCAAATGTTTTGTCTTAGATGCGTTGACGCGTTCCTTCCTTGTGTAATATTTTGTCTCGGAAGGTTAGCTTGGCTAAGGTCAACATTTCTGGAAGCGTTTCAAGCGTTTTTGCTGTAATTTTTGTATACTTGACCGATTTTTCGCTCGCGTTGAGCGTAAGACCTAATTAACGGGATGTGTTTATTTTGGGGCGGCCTCTATCGGTCGCCGCGATAATGCTTTGGTGTCAAGGTCTCGTTTTGTAACTCCGCGTGGATCAACAAAACGTGTCAAGGCCCTTCCTCTTTCTCTAAGGTTTTCTCTGCATTAAACTGATAAACATGTGTAATCGTTAAACAATGACAGCTCCACTTTGCCGACCTTGCTCCATACCTGCTAATTACAAAATTATTAAGAAACACTTAACCTATTTTGTTTGCTCTAGTTTCAATTTAGCTCTGTTACGTAAATACATTGTTTTAGTTCTAGGAAGTCTTCGTAAACAGGATTTGCGTCGCATTCCTGCTTGTTTTTAGATTTTTCAGTAAATGACTCATTTGGGATTGCCCAGTTATATTTATGTTATCGCAATAACTGTACCCGTAATTAATATATTTCATATCTGTTTGTCTAGTGTTGGAATTATCGATTGCTATACGAGTATAACCATGAAGATAATCAATATCGATTGGTTTGATGTTGCGTCACACAGTCATATTTGGTTTAGCATTATCTGTCAAAGTACAGTTAGGGCCACGTCGGCCCACTTCCACCCAATTGGTTGAGCACACACGCTGTAAGTAGGTTACAGTAACGCGGGCGAGATAAAAAAATGGGTCAAGTTATCTTTACTTGTCCTCGATGAAAACGTATTGCGCGTAAACGTTACGTAACGTAGCGTGTGTGTTGCGTTACAAGTATACAAAGGATAAGAGCGTAAAGCTGTAGAAAATTCTTTGTCTGATTAACAATAGTCCGTTTTTCGAAGTCAAATAAATACTCGCAGTTAAATTCTACGTTATTAAGCAGGTGCATCTGACTTCATCTTCGTGATCTGCGTGCATCTGAACCAGGGTCACGATGGTAGCGAGAATTCCGCCATGCATGATTCGAAATGCATACGGCCTTACTACCTTCCGGACAGCCTTGAGGCGGTTCCTGTATTACATCATCTATGCATTTCTTGTGCTTTGTTGAATTTTACACGGAAGTGGCCTTGGCGGGTAGTTCGATAATGTGGGTAGTTGCAGTCCGTTGCGCAACGCGTTGCGTCATACGTTGACATAGACTGACCTTTGCAGGGCGATCGATTGTGCACGCCCGCTCGGCATTTGTTTTGAACTGTAACGCGGCGTACAGCGTCAGTTCTTCAGAGTACATTGTGTTGCAAAATAAGACCTTATTACAATTGATGGAGATGCTACAGTTGGGAGATACTTTTATAGGATGGTACGTTGTTAAATATTTAAGTTCTTTTATGTTGACTGCGCAGTTCTTAGATTAGTTTAAGGTTTTGGAGAGGTTTAAAGGGCAAATCTTCTAGATATACGGGGCTTCGAGAAAAGTTAAGTTTCTAAATTTCTTTGGTCTATGGGTTTTAGTTTTTTAATTAAGTTTTTAAACCATCGAAATAATTTTTTCAATAGTAAAGTAGATTTTATTTTTGTCTTCTACTTTTATTTTGTTTATTGCGATTTTAGCTATAAAAATGCAAGCGAAAAAATATTGTTCAGACGTAAAATTATATCATAATTCTGCGAAAACATTTCGTGATATAATAAGTTTTTATGTAAGAACAAAGTACAAACGTTCATACTCTTATCAGTCGGAAATTGTTTAAATATCAACAATTCTAAAATTATATCTTCTGTTATTTTAATTTGGACAAATAAAAAAAAAAACATTTTATTAACTTTAGGAATTTTTAAAAGCAGATTTTAATGCATCGTTTTTGAAAGTTTTTCTAGATTGTCAATTAAAAATTTCTTCCTTAAATTGTTAAGAAAATATTTTTCTGTTCGTAATGCGAAATTTTTAACTCTACATTTTTAAGTTCGGCAAATATCCATAAATGTCTACCAGGTGAATAAACTCCAATTTCCAGTAGCGTAGTTTCCGCACATCCGCGGGCGAATGCACGCCGACGTCGAACCTTGAACCACTTGGGGCTTGAGCAACCGATTGTTTGCGACAGACTGGCCCGTACCAGCCTCTGCTTACGACACGAGCCAATTAAACCGAACCAATATTTCAAATTCAAATTGCGAAGCCCGGACATTCGAAAATTCCAATTTTAAAAACTAAACTTTTTATCGTTTAATGACTGTCTGGCCGAAAATAAAAATGTAATCATCGTGACATAACGCCCGATAAACAATTGCCAACGTATCTGATAATCCTGAACGTAACCGGGTTGTCTTTGTTTAAAAATTACAATCTTATCATGAAGGAATTTTTACTGAAATCAATTTATTCGTAAACAACAAAATTCTGCATAAACAAGGCGTAAAAGGAAAACAAAGAATTGCGACTTCGAGACGCAACGTGAACATTCATGAAGTTAAACAAATATAATGATGATAGCACGAATTTTTGGCACGAGACCCGAAGACATGAGTAAACACAATTTGACGAAAGAAGTCAATGACATGTGCGAGTGAAAAAACAATTCTTTGAACTGCACAAAGATGGTTCACGATAGGACGACTGATTCAACAAATTCGTCACTCATTGAAATTTATTTCCAGCCAGATATTCAGCGGTCAATGGAATCAGAACTTTTGAATTTTAAAAAGAAATGCCTTCGCTATTCCTATTTCAAAATTCAAATTAAAATTTTACTATGCGCATTCCAGCATCATTTATGCTATGGGAATAGATTTGAATTTAAATGTATTATTTTTGCTTTATCTACAATCCTATTTTGATTTTTTCATTTTTCAAAGTTTTTGCAACCGTCTCATTTCTTACAAGATAATTTTTCTTCTTTTCATTTATAATATTTTCCATTATTATTTACACACGTGATAGTAAAAAAATCCAAACAATTGTGGATACTTACGAAAATATTTGCGGTGTTTATGTACTCCTTATCCGGAATTATCCAAATAGTGGGTACAATGTCATAATCACTTAATCAAAAAATTCACAATAACCGTTCCAGGTGTAGTTCACAATAGTTTAAGAAATAATAGTTTCACTCCCACTTCACGTGTCGAAATTCACTATCACAATTGAATATCCAATGGTTGGTTGGGCACGTCTGCACGGAGCTAAGGATAGCTTGCGACTGAATTTTGTAGTGGGGTCGACTGACTCGCGGATCGGTGCTCACACACGCGCAGAAACGTCTAGGTGTGAGTGTTTGCTGATGTGTGCGTGAGTTTAGTGGTGTGAGTAATGTATTTACGTAACTTACCCCGACTTCGTGTAATCACGAGCATATTGACTCAATGTAGCGTCCGATTTTTTAGCTAATTCGCAATTGAGTCATGTGTTTGTCGCTTTGTGTTCCCCGAATGATATTGATTGATAACAGCTTTTTTGATGGCGCAATGTTTTAATTTCGGTGTGTTTTTGTTATTTTGTCTCTTTTAGTTGTTATCTTTTGTTTTTTTTTGCGCAAATTGTTTTGTTTCAGGGGTTTTTCGCAAAGGTGGGGTTTTCTTTAATGCTTTTGGTTATTGATTAACGTAATATCAACTATTACCTATTTTTTATTGTTACAAAGGTCATTGCCCTCTTTCTCTAGTTTTGGGCTAAACTTGAATTTCGTTCGTTTCAGTCAAATGACGTCCATTGCTGGACAAAGGCCTCCCCCAAGGTTTTCACAATGAACGGTTCTGCGCTGTCCGCATCCAGGCTCCTTTACCAGATCGTCGGTCCACCTAGTAAGAATATTGCATTTACCAAGGACTTATTTATTGCAAATATATATATAGCGTGTGTACCAAGTTAGCAAATTTTGGAAATTGGCAACCGATATCGTAACGCCCGCCACAGCGTTGCGTATCGCGCCGTAATAGATACGACACGCGCAACAGTTTCATTATTGGGATATTAATTTGTGGATATTGCAATACTTTTTGCGATATTACGATGTGGTTTCGCGATTTTGACGTAGTAGCTTTTATTGATACCTTGAAAAAAAGTAGGTCGTATATTTTGGTATGTGGTTAAAGATTAACCCTAGAACTTTTAAGTGAAGACTCCTGAAATTCCGTAATTCAGTATCAATATTTTTTTTTATATTTATGAAAAAATACTTAAATTACAATGTAGCAAAAAAGCGCTCTACTTTATTGAAATTCAGCTGTTAGCATAACTTCTATAGCAATCATCTAAATGACCTCATTTGGGAATCGAACCTGCTATAGATTCACCATAACAACATTAACGACTAATGATTTTATCAATAAACAACTGACGGTGCCAAAAATCCACAAATTTTAGTAGTGACTCTACAATACCATGAAAACCATAACAAAAGGGGTGAGGTGATTCCCATATGAACGGGGAGACCGGATATAATTGTTACGAAGAAACAAACTATACCAGAGTGAGTCATAGACAACTTACTATAATGATCCAAAGCAGAACGTAACGTTATGTAAAAACTATAATCTGACTCATTTTGGAGTGCGAATGCCTGTTCAAAGGTCACTTTGTATTAATTATATATTATTTGGCTCTGACGTCATTCAGCGAATTAAAAAAACAAATATTGGTGTAGTTCTTTTGTTTGATTAAGACCTTTTTTAGGTTTTATTGCGTGTATTAAAACATACACACAGTTTTTAAATTAAATATTGATGTTTTCGATGTTTCATGCGCATTTAGCAATATTTTTCTAAAAATAAGTCTTAAAATACTCAAATACAGCAACATGTTTCAACAATAAAGGATAAACTGCTACGCTTCAGTTTTCATACTACGAGCGTTGTCTAAAATGGTTGCCAACAGATGGCGTTAGCTGTTTAAGAGGCTACGGATATAATGTTCGCGTGCTACCGCGGTAGAGTTTTCAGCTGGCTTTAGTATCTTCTCTACATGAAACAAAGTCGTTTGTCTGTGTGCTTATCTTTTAAACTATGTTATGGATTTTAATGCGGTTTTCAGCAATAGATCGTGATTAAAGATAAAGGTTTTTGATTTACTTGCACCGTTGTTTTTTTGACGTTGGTGGCATAATATTTTTAGAGATTTGTGAAAATAATTTCATTACTTCCAAACGTAAATAACTATTGGTACTTTTACGGCCATTACGACATTTTGCAAAATCCCGTCAATCCCTCATGGTAACAATAAGGGGCTTATAAAAGTAAAACGCCCGTTTAACACTTGTTTAAATTATATAAATCAACATGTCTTTAACTTTTTTATAGTAAGGCCCTAATGGTTAAATTCTTTCATTTGGAGGTAGTTTCACAGTGGTAACCTTTTATCAGGTGATTTGGATGGGACTCTACAAAAATATATACAGACGACATCCCATACTAATTAATATATTTATATGCAAAATATTCAGTACTAAAAGAAGTAACCTACGACGACTTAGCTTGACATGTTTCTAAAAATATCTTTTTTTTAAATCTGTTTTTATTTCGAATTTAAAAATATCTTATTTATGGATACGTAGGTATAGATTTCTGTATAAAATATTTATTTTTAGCAAGCACAGTACACTTATCTTTACAACTTAAACTAAAATTAGTCTTTAGGCTCTATCAAACAGAAATCGATCCTTTTGAAAGCATCTTAGAGATGAATTTTACTTACTCCATTTCCAAGTCATCATTAATTATTCTTAGTTACATAATGATATCAACTTTAATACAAACAGGTTATTTTTGTACAGCTTATAGTCCTATAATAGCTGTATTACGTAAGACGACAACTTATCTATAAGACCATAATTAGATTACAGTTTTAGACAGAAACGTGTGTTCAACGTAATCTGTCTAATCATTAGTGTTTCGTGGATTGAAATTAAGCTTATTTTTGTTTAATTGGTTTAGAAACGTGCTATAAGAGTACAGTCACCGTCAAATATTATGTAGTTTGTGACATTCAAAGCAGCCAGAAAGTTCGCAACACGTTTTTGTTACAATTGGAATAAGGTTGTGTTGTCAACTTTTTGGCTACTTTGGGTGTCATGAACTATCTGGGGGCATGGCAGTGCCCCCACCAAGTCGAGCAAAAAAGCGGCACGGCCGTACCATCCTTTTCTCGAAGCAATTCAGGCCATTTTCGACCGCCTGTAACTTCGTTGTGGATAAAACTAGAAGGCTGAATTTTCATTAGCTATGCAGGCATTGTAAAGACACGGTATATTTAAAATTTCATTCAATTTGAACCAGTAGTTTAAGAATTATAACGGGTCAAAGTTACTTAATTTTGTCACTCACTGACTGACTGACTGACTGACTGACTGACTCACCGATCATCAAAATTCTAAGGCACTTCTAGCAGACCTAGAAGCTTCAAATTTGGAATATAAGTAGTGTTTGTGGTATGAATCAAGGAAAAACTAAAATATTTGGGGGCACGGTAGTGCAACCGCCAAGTCGAGCAAAATTTTTCAATTTCGGTCCAGTTTTCTAGATACATAACTGCTGTCTACAAAATACAAAAAGAAATGAGATCCCATCAAAAACAATACTTGTCAAAAAAACCAAGTCTCGCAACTCAGTTGTTCTACGGTAAAAAGTTGTGAGATCCATGTAATACCAAGTCCAGGCCAAGTATTGTTTTTGATGGGATTGACTTGACTTGACTGTACAATGCTTAATTCGGAGCAACTTTTGTAACTTATGCTGCATCTATACCGCAGTTACATTTTGTGGAGCACCATTACTTTCATCCTGGAACATATTTTTCGATATCATCATCATAAAATCATTATTTAGTCTCCAAACCAGGAATACGACTCTACAATTTTCCAGTGCCAAATGAAGGATATGGTTTACACTCTCCATTCCAGCCAGATGGATAGGTGTGGTGTTCACATGTTTGTCCCACAAAAACGGGACTATTCCCACCTGTCGTTCCCACCACTGCAACTGCTGTGTAGCCAGGATCTACAGCTTGACCGCCGATAAAACCCAACCAGTGTAGGTCAAGTTTGTCCCGGGGGAAAGTTAAACTGTCCCATATTTTTCCCATAGCCGCCTCTTATAATACTCACGGGAAGAGGGGAAGGGTAGTAGTGGTCATATTTTGGAACAACACGGCTAATATGATGTGACACGAATGTAATACACTTGTATGGTAATTCCATGATAAATCAAATCGTTCCAAGTATTTGTAAAGAATTTTAGATTACATAAAGTGTATTCATCCAAACATGCAATCACATAATTTGATTAAGATCGTCTGAAAGCCCATCTTATCAATAAAGTACCTATATATATATACGTTAAAATTAAATAGAAAGAAAGAAAGAAAAATAGTTTAAGCAAACATAAAATAATTTACTTATTTTATTGAACCAAAATGGCTCTTGCTCAGAATTTATCATGTTCTACAGAACATGATGCTGGCATTGTGTAGGTAAATAATAAAACTAAATAAATATAGGTACGAGTAAAATGGCACATACATTATTTTCTCTTCTTCTTCTTTTCGTGTCGACAATAAACCTACACAGTGTCAGCCCAAAACTCTGCCACAAGAGTGACGTTGTCAGTAGCACTCATCAAATCCTCCTGAATGCAGTTTCTCTGTCCATTTACGATTTTGGGATACATAAAGCCCCCTATTACATCGTTATCTTAATTAGTGCAACATAATAACACGGTTAACATATAATATGTACTAGCTTTCCGCCCGCGGCTTCGCCCGCGTGGAATTTTGTCTGTCACAGAAAAAAACTTTATCGCGCGCGTCCCTGTTTCAAAAACCGGGATAAAAACTATCCTATGTTCTTTCCCGGGACTCAAACTATTTCTATGCCAAATTTCATCAAAATCGGTTGCGAGGTTTAAGCGGGAAAGCGTAACAGACAGACAGACAGACAGACAGACAGAGTTACTTTCGCATTTATAATATTAGTTGGGATTAGTTGGGATATGTATATAAACACGAGACACGTGAGCTATTTAATGTGTTTTGCCATTAGACACACGTGATTCCAACAAAACAGGTATTTGACGCAATTTATAATATCTTTGTTCGGTTACATAACTAAGTAAAGGTCATAGCAGAATCGTTAATTGTTTAACTGGTTTGAGGAAAAATAGATTTTTAAGCGGCTAGTAATGATTTAACAGTTGATGTCATAGATATAGAGCAATAGGTACTT